CCTCTGCTGGGAAATGGGATGCTCCCGGGGCACCCGAATGCTGAGATGGCAAAGAAATCACCTGTCCGGTCCCTCTGATTTTGGGGGCTGCTGACCTGCTTGTGGTACAGACCCATCCGGGATCTTGAACAGTTCCTCGGAGCGGCACTTCCTACTTTACTCATTCCTGCACGTCGGAACAACTTCTACCTGTGAACTTGGCATTATGAAGAAAAAGTGTGAAACACTAGAGCAAAACCCTGGTGGGAATTATTTCCTGGTGATATCCTGAGATGAGAGTGAGGGCTTTTCCTCTCCTAATTAGCAGCGATAAGCTCCTCCTCCTCCTTTTCCCAGCTGAGGAATGGCTGGGAAGTAATACAAAACCTTGTGGGGAAAGAAACCCTTTTTTTGCCTCCCTCATTCCCCTGCCTCCTGAGCTCATGCCTTCTTGCACTTTATTAGTATCTAGGAAAATGTGCGCTTAGACTGTCTTTCATGCTTGCTGTGTGGATCTGAAGATATTTGTTTAAATAATAAAGTTTTATTGGAAATGGACGCTGGAATCTGGTGTGGGAGTTTTGAATCATGCGGCAGAGAATCCCACAGATTTCACGTTTTGTGAGGTAGTTTTTTTTCTTTATTTTTTGTCCGCTTGAATCCTGAATCTCAGATCATCCTGACCTATAAGGACGCTATAGGCACCTTAAAAAGCCATTTTATCCAGAATGCAACCAGAGAGGGGCCCGCCTAGACAGATTCCATTGTGTTCTCAAGTAACACATCCCAGGGAACACTCTCATAGGCATCAATTAAGCATTTTCCTTTCATTGAGTTGAACTCTGCACTCTGCAGCCTTTTCCCCAAATTCAAAAACGATAATGGAAATGCACTTAAAACAAACAGAATCCTTGGGGTTTCTTCTTTCTATCTCTTGCTTTTCAATATTGATCTGGGCGTTTACTGCTTTGAGTTTTCACAGTGTGCATGCCAGGAACAGGCGCAAGTGGTTAATTTTGTTTCTGAAATGGTTCTCTCCCCCCCCCCCCAATTTGTTCCTCTCTTTTACTATGTTCTTGTCATTTTTTATATGCTTTCTCTGTTGGAAATACGAGGAAAGGTTCTTTACAAAAAGAGGGAGAGACCACCCTCTTCTCCAGAGATAGCCCAAAAAGCTGTAGTTACTCTTTTGAGACCTTGAAGTTTTCACAATAGGAAGTGAAAGTGAAGTTGTCACAATGGGAAGTTAATTCAGTTCCCACATCAAAAAAGCAAATACCCACCCCAAGATCCATGACCGAATTGACCAGTTACACCCCTTAGTCCTAATTATCCTTCACTTGGAAGCACATTTCATTCAGTTTGGTCAGATTCTATGTAAAGGGCTCCCTAAAAAACGAGTATGATTCTGTGTTACGTAACTCTGGCGCTGGTCTCTTCTAAGCCTGACATGTGGTTGATGAGTCACCATTATTTTCCCTGTGGTTTCCCTGAACTGATACTCTGCTTGTTTGCTGATTCATGCATGTGTGCTCATCAGTCACCAACAGCTGCAAAAGCTGTTCGGTGGGAATAACCAGTTTACTCTTGAAATAAAAAAATTAAGGTCTTATATATATAATAAATGTTTATTGTTGCAGGAAACCCCCCCCCCGTCATTCAGTTTGTGCAAACTTCACACACACTCACACACTACATACGCTATGCTTCTGTTATAAATTCATAGAAAATCAACCATACATCGGATTTCCACTGTTCCACTTTTATTTTACTCCATGAAGGAAGGACTACAAAATGGGGAAGGTTTGATACAGGGCAGCCATAATCCCTTGAGCATACCAGCACATCCACAGGAGCCCTGCCCAGTTGCTATGCCAACCCTGATGGTCCTAGACAGAAGACCATCAAGATCACAAAGAACTTGCATATGGGAGTGGATTCAGCATGGACTGGAACAAAGGACAATGATCAGATCTTCCCTCTGGGGGCAGGAAACTGCAAGCTCCCCTTTGTCACCTGGAAAGTACTCATGGGGAGGGGGAAAGGGGGAACCAGCCAGGTGACAGGACACTCAGGTTACCACCACAACTCCTCCCTCAACATCATAAATGTACCAAGCAAACACGTACATAAATATATATACCACGTCTGAAGCAGCACAGGAAAACAGCCCTGAAACCGTTTTGACTCCCAAACTGACCATATGATTTCTCTGCAAAGTCAAATGGAAAAGCCTCCCCATTGTCTTTTCCTTCACAAATCCTGTCTTAAGGGTATGTCTGTGTATGAATAGGGTGAGCCTGTGACCTGGCTCAGGAACTAAGTAGTTATCATTACAAAATACTAGCCAGGCTCCCCAGGGTATCTAATCAAGTAAGCATTAGCAGGTAACCTGCCAGACAGGAGGTAAACAACCCACTCAGATTTCTGCTGTAGACCGCCCTTTCTGTGATGTAGGTATGATGTGTCTGGGGGTGGTCTTTAACTCCAGGGCTGGCAATTTAAAATGTCTATATAAGGGCGGGAACACCTGGGTTCTGGGTCCTCCTCCTGCTTGTGAAGGGGGCACCCTGTTGCAACAGTTCAATAAAGATCAGGCATACTAGTTGCTTTGCTTCTCAATAATCTCTGGTTGGCCTCTGTTATTTTCTCCGACCAATGGAGAACCTGCAAAGGACTCTATAAGAGCTCTTGTGTCCCCCATAAGGGAATGAGGGCAGATTTTCGTTTATTACACTCTCATTGCTACCCCAGGCTTCCAGTGTTTTGTGTCTTCCACCATTTAAAGACAAAACAAAAAAATGGGATCCTAAGGGCGCCAGCAGTTTTTGTTTCAGATAAGAACTCTGCTGGATCAAGACCAAAAGCCTATCTGTTCTGGCATCCTGTTCTCCGTAGCGCCCAAGCAGGACGTCTGCAAACAGGACTTGAGGGCTGAAGTTGTATTTCTTATTTATCTGGGGTATTTTCATTCCATTCTAGCCGTGTTGTTGTTGTTGAGTCCATGTTGTTGTTGTTGTTTAGTCGTTTAGTCGTGTCCGACTCTTCGTGGCCCCCTGGACCAGAGCACGTCAGGCACCTCTGTCCTCCACTACCTCCCGCAGTTTGGTCAATCTCATGTTAGTAGCTTCGAGAACACTGTCCAACCACTGTCCCACCATCTCGTCCTCTGTTGTCCCCTTCTCCTTGCGCCCTCCATCTTTCCCAACATCAGGGTCTTTTCCAGGGAGTCTTCTCTTCTCATGAGGTGGCCAAAGTCTTGGAGCCTCAGCTTCAGGATCTGTCCTTTCAGTGAGCACTCAGGGCTGATTTCCTTCAGAATGGAGAGGTTTGATCTTCTTGCAGTCCATGGGACTCTCAAGAGTCTCCTCCAGCACCAGAATTCAAAAGCATCCATTCTTCGGGGATCAGCCTTCTTTATGGTCCAGCTCTCACTTCCATACATCACTACTGGGGAAACCAGAGCTTTGACTATATGGGCCCTTGTTGGCACGGTGATGTCTCTGCTTTTTAAGATGCTGTCTAGGTTTGTCATTGCAAAACATACAGTCGCTTAAAACGATAACCCAAAAGGCAAGGCACAAAAGGAAAACAGGATGGGGAGGGAATTGTAGAGTTGGAAGGGACCCTGGGGGTCATCTAGTCCAACCCCCTACAATGCAAGACGGGGGGGGGGGGAGGAAGAACCAGTTCCTAAAGTTATAAACAGAGGTCTGTATGATGCACAAGCACTTTCAGGAGAGGATTTGCTCTCAGCAGAGTGAATGGGCCCTCCTTCCCACCTCTCCGGCTGCTGCAGTTTTTTCGTTTTTTGGCAAGGCCAGGAGCGCAGTGCAAGAAGCCGCCTGGCCATTAGAACAATCTGTACCTAAAAACTTGAAACCCAGTTTGCTTATTTCCTCCTCCCTATCAATCCATTGTCCTTTTGTGTTTGAGAGATGGTAAGCATGAGGTCCGTATAGTTAAAGCCATGGTTTTCCCAGTAGTGATGTATGGAAGTGAGAGCTGGACCATAAAGAAGGCTGATTGCCGAAGAATGGATGCTTTTGAATTCTGGTGCTGGAGGAGACTCTTGAGAGTCCCATGGACTGCAAGAAGATCAAACCTCTCCATTCTTAAGGAAATCAGCCCTGAGTGCTCACTGGAAGGACAGATCCTGAAGCTGAGACTCCAAGACTTTGGCCACCTCATGAGAAGAGAAGACTCCCTGGAGAAGACCCTGATGTTGGGAAAGATGGAGGGCACAAGGAGAAGGGGACGACGGAGGACGAGATGGTTGGACAGTGTTCTCGAAGCCACCAGCATGAGTCTGACCAAACTGCGGGAGGCAGTGGAAGACAGGAGTGCCTGGCGTGCTCTGGTCCAGGGGGGTCACGAAGAGTCGGACACGACTAAACAACAACAAGCATGAGGAGCCTTTAAAAAAAAAACCCAACAGTAATCTGAACCTTCTCTTTCTTTCATTACCCTAGCTGGACAAAACAGAAAGTGAAATGAATCAATCACCTTAAAATAGTTGAGGCGACCTTGCCCTTATTTTTCTGGCAACTGATCTGCAAATTTTTTAAAAAACCCTGTCAGTTTAGTGACCATTACGTTTTAATTATCCATTCACACATATTGTGCCGCAGTTCCATTTTGGGTGCTGATGAATACACTCTAATATTGATGCTTGAACACTCTTGTAAAGGGTTCAAAACTCTTTTTGGGTTGGGAGTTAACCTAAGCTATAAATAAATGCAAAATCCCCCGAACCCAGAAAACTCTTGGTGATTTATTACATCCTATTTCTGTGTTGGGGTGACTAAACTTGGTTTTCCTCTTGTTCCCCTTTTCTCTCACAACAACCTTGCAAGGTAGACCAAGCTGTGAGAGAATAAGGGGCCCAAGAGGCCTGCCTGGGGCTTTAATTGCCTTTATTTGCTGATAATTCTGCAGTCTGTATTAGGGTGAGTGATTTTGGTATATACAGAGACATATATGGTATATATGGAGACTCCTATTAACTGATGCATTAATTGTGTCTGGAATTTCTGAAGAGAAAACGGACCCAGAACTTAATTTGGCGGGAAAACTGCCCCTTCTCCATGATTGGACACTATTCCGGTCACGTGCCTTGATTTCATTGGTCAGGCTTGGGCAATAGGCGAGTTGACAGGCAAAGAAAAATTCAAGAAACAAGGTAAACAGTTTCTTAAAGGAGGCGGCCCTTGCGTCGATCTTATTGGCTAGAACTCCGTGAGGAGCCTGCCCATTGGACTAGCTCAGTTCAGGGCAAGGAATTGAGAACATGGGCGGGGTAATGAGATGCGCATCTGAACAGGCCAAGTGCAGCGGAGCGATTTGATTGGTTAGAACTCTGCAACGTAATAAGAGGAGGGCTGGTCAAGGGAAGAGAAACAAAGAGATTTGATTGGTTGGAACTGGAGAGAGGCGAAGAACGTGTCTCCAAGCTTGGAGAGAAGTTTTCTCACGTGGCTTCGCTTGCAGTGATTGGTCGAGATAGTTAAAAGAGGGAGATGTTTTCATTGGTCAGAACGTCAGAAAACGGCAGGGATTGGTCGCAGGTGTTTCGTTTGTTGACAAGGCTGTTGCCTGTGTCTCTCACTTGGGTCCTAGCCAGTGGTTAGACTGTCCGTTTTTATTTCTAATTTTTAGCACATTCGCCTTTTAGAATCATTGGCTTTTATTAACAGTAGCAGCCAGTGGTTCTGAGTCCAAGTAACCCCCTGTTTAATTATTTTATTTGCAGCCCAATTAATTTACTAGGTCTTCATTTAGTGCTAGGAATCTTAATAATTCCTAGCACTAGGAATTATTTAATAATTGCCACTATTTCTTAGTTCTTACTGCTATTTCTTAAAATAAGAATTCAACCTTATCTTAGCCAGACAAAACCAAAAAAACCCAAGCCTTTCTTCCCACCTGATCCCCCCCAACCAATATGTACGGTGGTTACTTTTAAAACAATCCATGCCCAATTACTATAAATATTAATCACATCTCATTCTGTAATTAGCCACTCAGAAATATTTTTTGACTACCTTGTTTATTAAAAGCACACAGGGTTGCTAAACCCTCTTTAATTTCTGAGTTCTCTTTTATCACCCTAGTTTTAACTGTTCTGATTACCATAATTAGACATGTTTAATAGTGGTCAATGAATTATTGCTTCAATATTTAATGGTCTGGGAGGTGACCTTTGTTATTTGCTTATTAATTTCTCCAGTTCCGGTTAATCATTATCTGCTAGTATTCCTAGCTAATACTCTTTATTTGCTTCCCATTAAAAATATTCTCAACTGTGTGATCAGTTGGGAATTTAACTATCCTCCCCCCACCCCCACACCATACATTTTATACATTTGGTATGAACTTACTAATCGATTTCTAGAGAATTTTGAGATTACACCTCACAACTCACCATTTGAACGAATATTGCTGCTAAATGGCACATCCTCTAATAGATTAAAATCTTTTTGTCTGCATATTCTCTTCTTCATCTTTCTCTTGTCATCAAACTCACCATCATTAAACTCACCAGCAAACACAGCTCTCATTCCTGGCAGTTCGCTGCTTACCATCTCATCTCCCTTAATTAATCAAATTTGGGAATCAAACTGGCACGGCTGTTGGCTTTGTGATAAAATTGTCCCAAATTAGTTTTAGGAAAGAACAGGCCCCATCATAATCTTTTGCCTCCAGCGGTGAGTCACTGAATTTGTGAGGTCTGAAGGATCAACTGATTTCTCAACGTTTTGCCGCTCACTTGGGCCATTAATAAATTGGGAAAGGGGTTCCTTTTGAGATAAAACCGGGCGATAATTTGCAGAGGAAAAGCACTTCCCTCCCAAGAGATCAGGAGCGCCTAGAAGTCTCAGAACCTCAATACTAGAAAAGGGAAACACTCCATTCTGAAATGTTCTATTACCCAAACGTGTTGCAACGTCATACGGGATGTTTTGCTACGATCTGGTAAGGACTTTGCTCTGAGAGTGTGGCTGGGGGGCAGTGCAAGGTGCTGGCAGCTGCCTGCTTGCCCCCACCCCAATTGATGGTTCCTCCATCTCTTTCCCAGGTTGGCAGCAACTGGGGCAGCCAAACTCTTGAAGCGGGAGTACCTGAAAGTCAATGTCCCGAGAACCTGGTGAGTAGAGGCACAAATGAGGGATGGAAGAAACAACAAAAAACAACTTTTACTTGTATTCCGCCCTCCCTGGCCAAGACTGGGCTCAGGGCGGCTAACATCAAATATATAACATTGGTATAAAATCAAACAATATTTAAATTACCTCCCCAAAACAAGTCAGGATCAAATTAAAATCTAATTAGATGGCTTTCCGCAGGATTAGGGTTTGGAACAGTGAAAATGCGTATCTAAAAGGCTGGTGGGTTGGCAGCCGGGTGTCTGCCTCTGGACAAACGTAAATGGATTTGTTGTGTCTTCGCTATGGCCAAAAGACTGGTGTTGAGGCACTGGAAAGATAAACCTGTGGCCAACTTCTGCCAATACAGTGGTACCTTGGTTGTCAAAAACGCCTTGGTACTCAAACAACTTGGAACCCAAACACTGCAAACCCGGAAGTAAGTGTTCTGGTCTGCAAACTCCATTTTTAGTGCCATCCTCATTTTGAGGATGGATAAATTTCACGCATCCCTTCTGAGGTCATTATTAGGACTTGCAAACTCTGTAAAATATGAAACAATATGTTGTGAGCTGGGAATATTACCTTTATCAGTAAGAGCATGGCTGAGGACCTTGAAATATTGGATCTTCCTCCATTATAGAGCCCTATCCCCTAATTCTCTACTTTACGATCTTTTAAGTGATAGTGCAATCTACAATCTATCATTGATTTGTAGGAGAAAACTGGATTCGATAGGGCTCACTCTAACTGACTTTGAAATCTCTGATCCCAAAGATACATGGGAAATTATCAGGAAGACTCTTACAGAAAAAAGTGTTTCTCGCCATGCTTGAGGTTGCAAAAGCACAGCACCTGCTCTCCTATCCACTTAAATCTCCCTTTGTGTAGAGATTTCCAAAAGGGATACATGACAAATCTGAAGAAACATGAATCGTGTAGGCTGTTTATGTTGGCCAGATTCAACATGTTTCCCTCGGTGGTAGTGAGAGGAAGATACTTAGCTATCCCAGAATCAGAGCGTCTCTGCAAATGCAGAAAACAGGAACCCGATACGTCTAGAGCATATATTCTTTTCCTGTGATTTTGGCAGTTATGCCAGAAGACAATTATTTGAGGCCTAAAATTTAATAGACAGATTTTTACACAACCAACTGTTCAGGTCCTGCTGGCGGACAGCGATGATCAAATTACTTTAATAGTGGCTGAATTTTTAAGTGCTGTCCATGAAGAAAGAATGGGCCATGATAAAGAGACTTAGTGGTCTTTAATGGTAGGTGATGTTGCTGTGTTGTATTATATTATCTATGTACATTGATTTATTTCTTGGAGTTAAGATTAGGACTGGGATAAATTGTGTTAGCTGAGCCCGTATTTTATGCAGTCTGTATATGATGTTTGTTTTGTTAATGTGTGGTGTGCTATGCCTAATAAAGGATTTTGAATTTGAATTTGAGTGCCACACTTCCGTTTTCAGTGTTACGCTGAGGTCTGTCTGTTTTTGCTATTTATTTTGCATTTTTCTTTTTGCATCTCTTTTTGTTCTTTTTATGTGACTGTGTGGAAACCCGGTTCAGCTACTGATTGATTGATTGATTGATTGATTGTGTGACTGCAGCACCTTGTTTCTTGCTTTCATTTTATGGATCAGTGGTCTCGTTAGAGTGGAAAACTCATGTTAAATTGCTGTTTTAGGGTTCCAAAGCCTGGAACGGATTAATCCGTTTTGCACTACTTTGTAAGGGAAAAAGCGTGCCTTGGTTTTGGAATGCTTTGGTTTTGGAATGGACTTCCGGAACAGATTAGATTTGAGAACCAAGGTATCACTGTAGATTGAAAATACGGCAACACTCGCAGCTTATGAACGGGATCCTCACAGATGCAGGCATTGTGCAAACAATGTTATTTGGAGCGTGTTTATAAAAAATATATATAGTAGTTATCAATATCCATTATATGTATTAGGGTGATAATAACACGAAATGGCACTTGCTCTGCATATACAGTGGTACCTCGTTTACGAACTTAATCCGTTCTTAAACCGAAACCCTTCTTAAACCGAGGCACACTTTCCCTAATGTGGCCTCCTGTCGCCGGTGCCCTTGCACCGTTCGGCTTCCGTTCTTAGACCAAGGTAAAGTTCGCAAACCGGGACACTACTTCCGGTTTTGTGGAGTTCATATACCGAATACAGTGGTACCTCGGGTTAAGAACTTAATTCATTCCGGAGGTCTGTTCTTAACCTGAAACTGTTCTTAACCTGAGGTACCTCTTTAGCTAATGGGGCCTCCCGCTGCCGCTGCGCATATTCTGTTCTCATCCTGAAGCAAAGTTCTTAACCCAAGGTACTATTTCTGGGTTAGCGGAGTCTGTGACCTGAAGCGTCTGTAACCTGAGGTACCACTGTAGTTCGTAAATAGGGCTGTTCTTAAACCGAGGTACCACTGTATAGCGATATACTGTATGAGGCACCCGCCTGGCTGCAGGGAGGAAAGGATGCTGGAGGAGGCAGGCCATTGGCCTGATCCTGCGGGCGTGCATTGCGTCCTGAGCCAAGTGCAGACTGTGCGGGTGCTGTGCAGGTGACGCCTCTCGTTTCCCTCCTGTTTCAGCGAGGAGATCATGGCCTTCATCCTCGTCCAGGTCCCGCCTCCCGTGCCTGGGGCTCCCAAACCTCGCTTCTCGCTCTACCTCTCCGCTCAGCTGCAGTTTGGGGTCGTCCGCGTTTACACCCGTCAGTGCCAGTACCTTGTGGGTATGACCTTTTCCAAACCAACCCCCACCCCATGTTTGTCCCTTTCTGCTGCTTCTTCCAGGCCTTTTCTTTTCCTCTCTTTTATATTTTCAAATGCATTCCGCAGAATCACAGGATTGTACAGTTGGAAGGGGGTCACCTGTTCCAACTCCCTGCAACCGTAGCTAAACCTATGACATACATACATAATTCCCTCCATAAAGGTAAAGGGACCCCTGACCATTAGGTCCAGTCGTGGCCGACTCTGGGGTTGCGGCACTCATCTCGCTTTACTGGCCGAGGGAGCCGGTGTACAGCTTCCGGGTCATGTGGCCAGCAGGACTAAGCCGCTTCTGGCGAACCAGAGCAGCGCACGGAAACGCCGTTTACCTTCCCGCCGGAGCGGTACCTATTTATCTACTTGCACTTTGACGTTCTTTCGAACTGCTAGGTTGGCAGGGGCTGGGACCAAGCAACAGGAGCTCACCCCGTCGCGGGGATTCGAACCGCCGACCTTCTGATCGGCAAGTCCTAGGCTCTGTGGTTTAACCCACAGCGCCACCCGTGTCCCTAATTCCCTCCATACGCAGCGCATTTTCCTCCCAAGTCTACCAAAAGGTCAGGGGGACACACCCCAAACCCCTTAGGAACTGACATTACAACAGGCTTTCGATATGAAAGAAATGGCTGCGTGAGTGCGCTCGCTTTCCTCATCCCTCACCCTCCTCCTTACCTTCCGTGCCATCGCTTTTTTGGATTGCAGTCCTGAGGGGCAGGGTCTGCCTGTGTGCTACGTATAATATTGGCTTGTAAGTTGCTCTCGGAGCTTTCCTGGCTAAAAAGAAAGTAAGCCACAAAGGCTTTGAATGAACGAAATGAATGGCTTGGGGGGTGGGGGGTGGAGAGGTGGTTCTCCCGAGTCTGGCTGACTCTCCTTCTGCCTCCCCACCCTGCCATTTTCAGAGGAAATCCAGCACATCTTGGAAACACCTCAACCGGGCCCGACAGCAGATCCGCATTGACCTGACAGACCTGGAGCAGTGAGTGATTCGCATTCGCCACCCGGGGCGGGTTTAGGGGCGGCTGCGGAGTTTTCATATCTGCTTGGCCTTGGGACTCCTGAGTGATCCTTGGGTGAGCAGATCTCCGCCGAGACCACATAACACTGGTCTTGAAAGACCTACATTGGCTCCCAGTATTTTTCCGAGCACAATTCAAAGTGTTGACCTTTAAAGCCCTAAACGGCCTCGGTCCTGTATACCTGAAGGAGCATCTCCACTCCCATTTTTCTGCCCAGACTCTGAGGTCCAGCTCCGAGGGCCCTCTGGCGGTTCCCTCATTGCAAGAAGCAAAGCTACAGGGAACCAGGCAGAGGGCCTTCTTGGTAGTGGCGCCCTCCCTGTGGAACGTCCTCCCACCAGATGTCAAAGAGATAAACAACTACCTGACATTCAGAAGACATCTTAAGGCAGCCCTGTTCAGGGAAGTTTTTAATGTGTGACATCTTAGTGTATTTTTGGTCTTTATGGAAGCCGCCCAGAGTGGCTGGGGAAACCCAGCCAGATGGGTACAAATAAATTATTATTATTATTATTATTATTATTATTATTATTATTATTTGGATTGTTGGGGAGAAAACTACTGAGATACCAGTACCTGAGGCATATAGGGAAAATATCAGAGTAGGTTGGGGCTTGGGCAGAGAAGTCCCTTACTTCTTAGTAAGTCTAACCTTTTCTTTCTGCTTCTCCTAACCGCAGGCCAGGGTTGCTGCTCCCCAACCAGCTGGCCATCATGGAAATCCTAGAGGAAGCTCCCGATCCATTTTTCGGGATGATGGAGCCGGTCCTCCCCAGCCCTATGTCCATTCCTTATGTAAGACTGCCTCGCACCCTTTTTCCCAATCTCCCTGCTCTTGTCCTGCGGTGGGGAGGCTGCTGGTAGGGCGTAAGGCAGGGAGCCAGACAGTAGGTGGCGCCAGAGTCCTGGTTCTCTCTCCAGCCTCCTCTTCCCGGCTGAGGTCTGTGTCTCTCAGCTGTAGCTGGTGGCTCCCGGCTCCTAGGCAATGATGGACCAGAGAGAAGGGGGTCAGATTCCGCCTTTTCCCCCTCCGTCTTTCCCAGGTCCGATCCATTCTGGAAACAGCCACACCTGAAAGAAGCCCCCTGCAGCGCCTTCCTCCATCTCCCTGGGACCAGAGGCCAGGTGGGTCAGAAACTGGGAGCCCGGGAACCGCTGATAAATTTCATGCTTTCAGAACCCCGTCTTTCCAGGTGGAGAGTATGGCTTCTCCGTGGGGCAAAACCAGTGTTTGTGATTTGTTAAGAAAACACCGTATTTTTTGCTCTATAAGACTCACTTTTTCCCTCCTAAAAAGTAAGGGGAAATGTGTGTGCGTCTTAGGGAGCGAATGCAGGCTGCGCAGCTATCCCAGGAGCCAGAACAGCAAGAGGGATCGCTGCTTTCACTGCGCAGCGATCCCTCTTGCTGTTCTGGCTCCTGAGATTCAGAATATTTTTTTTCTTGTTTCCTCCTCCAAGTCTATAAGTCTGGTGCGTCTTATAGAGCGAAAAATATGGTAGTTGCTGCCCTGGTTAGCCCACCTTGTACCTTCGAGATGGGTTGCTTGCTCCCTTCCTCAAAATGGCGTCTCTAAATTAGCCACCATTCCCACATTTCAGGGGGTTGGGCTACATGACCTCTGGTTTGCTTCCAGCTCTCCCAATTCTATGCAATCCCCATTTTCTCTGTGGCCTCCGATTTCTCCTCTTCAGCCTCGTTCCCCAACCCTAACCCAAGGTGTTAAGTACGTGTAGCAGCAGATTATTTTATTTATTGCTTATGGATGTGTTTTTTAAAACAAAAATCTTTTTAAAGTGGTGCATTAAAAAGTAAAACTGCAAGTAGCACATCATTTGCTCACATTCTCCCTCTTCCTTGGCAAACCACAATAAGGAAGCAAGGAAACGTAGATGTGTACTAGCATTAGGTATAAAACGAACCCTGAAAGTTATTTGGACCTCGAAGCAATGAGAGAAAAAGATGTTTCATGCTCTGCTTTACTTTAAAAAAATAATAATACATTGGAACAGAACTCAGGCATCGTGATAGTTTTTTTTGTATTTGTAAGATGTATTTTGTGCTCTCGTTTTACATTTTTATGTTGGGAACCTCTCTGTGATCTTTGGATGAAGGGCAGTGAAATATACTCAGAGTCGAGAGTGGATTTCATGCTCTTTATTCAGCTCATTGTGGAAGGAGGAATCAAAGTTTCCCCAAAGTATCTGCTTTATATACATTATTTACACAATGGGCTGCACCTGATTGGCTAATTCTGGAATTCTCCTGTAGGCCAATCAGGTTGTGGATTCACTTCCACCTGGAGCTGGATTGGGTGGCTCCTGCAGACCAATCAGACTGCTCCATTCTGGACCCTATTGTTCTAGGACCAATCATACTCGTGCATTTTGGATCCTATTCAACTTAGTACACAACAGGCAGCGTACAGTTCTAATAAATAGTAAGAGTGTTGTGTCCTCGCTACCTTTTTTTCGATTGTAAGCTCCTTGAGGTCAGAGAACCGTCTCGGTTGCCTGTGCAGCTGTGTCAAGGGCAGCAGGCACAAAACGGTGCCGTGACAGCTCAGAAGAATTGCTTCTGCGTTTTTATTGTTTGACACTTTTAAATGGCGGGTTTCTACTATTGTCTTGTTTCTGCATTGCACTGCTTTGGCACCTTGCTTTTGGCCAAGAGGCAAGGCGCGAATTAATTAAGGTACTAATTGTTTCCCGATTCTTTTTGCCCCGAAGGAGAGCGGCCCATCACAGTCTCCCCGGACACCATCACTCTCAAAGAGGCAGAACCCATTACCTTGCTGCAGATTGAAGTAGGTTTTTGGGAGGTCAGGGGTGTTGGGCAGGAAGGTGGGAGTGGATTTTTAAGGGCAGCGTTTTTGGTTCTGTAGAAATTCATCACCACCAGGCCTAGATTCAGATATCCAGCACCGAGGGCCTTCTGGCGGTTCCCTCACTGCGAGAAGCCAAGTTACAGGGAACCAGGCAGAGGGCCTTCTCAGTGGTGGCACCCGCCCTGTGGAACGCCCTCCCACCAGATGTCAAAGAGAACATCTGAAGGCAGCCCTGTTTAGGGAAGCTTTTAATGTTTGATGTATTACAGTACAGTGGTACCTCGCAAGACGAATGCCTTGCAAGACAAAAAACTCGCAAGACGAAAGGGTTTTTTGTTTTTTGAGCTGCTTCGCAAGATGATTTCCCCTATGGGCTTGCTTCGCAAGACGGAAATGTCTTGCAAGTTTGTTTCCTTTTTCTTAACACCGTTAATACAGTTGCGACTTGACTTCGAGGAGCAACTCATAGAACGCGGTGTGGTAGCCTTTTTTGAGGTTTTTAAAGACTTTGGTGATTTTTGAAGCTTTTCCAAAACTTTCCCGACACCGTGCTTCGCAAGACGAAAAAAATCGCAAGGCGACAAAACTCGCGGAACGAATTAATTTCGTCTTTCGAGGCACCACTGTATTTTAATATTTTTTTGGGAAGCCGCCCAGAGTGGCTGGGGAAGCCTAGCCAGATGGGCGGGGTATAAATAATAAATTATTTTTTTTATTATTATTATTATTATTATTATTATTATTATTATTATTATTATTATTACCAGCTTAGCAATAATCTCAGAATGACCTGCCACAAAGTTCCCATTTGTGCCTTCCTTGATTTTTGTTATTTATGACCGTCATCTTGAATTCCGACCTGAACCCCATTGTTCACCGTTGGACAAATCTGTCCCAGGGATCTTTCCTAGAGGGGTTCAAATTTCTCTTTGAAAGAAGGAGTCTACACCACGATAAGCAGATTTATTGTTGGTCGACACAGTGCTGTAGGCAAAGACTCCCCCCCCCGCCCCAGCTCCTGCTGGAAAGAGGGGATTTCACATTCCCGTTCACATCACAGATCATTTCTACCCTAAGACCGTTCAAATATCCCTCCTACAATTCCTATTGGTTAAGAAATTGTGGTTTACAGGCTTCCCGATCCACCCACATGTACCCCTAACAATAACACAAATCCCATGTCCATTCAGATTAGCAGTTTTTACAACAGGGATGTGTTTTATAATATTCATGAAGCATTTGAGCAAGAGTACTAGTTCTTAAAGGGACGCGGGTGGCGCTGTGGGTTAAACCACAGAGCCTAGGACTTGCCAATCAGAAGGTCGGCAGTTCGAATCCCCGCGACGGAGTGAGCTCCCGTTGCTCGGTCCCTGCTCCTGCCAACCTAGCAGTTCGAAAGCACGTCAAAGTGCAAGTAGATAAATAGGTACCGCTCCAGCGGGAAGGTAAACGGCATTTCCGTGCGCTGCGCTGGTTCGCCAGATGCAGCTTAGTCCTGCTGGCCACATGTCCCGGAAGCTGTACGCCGGCTCCCTCGGCCAATAAAGCCAGATGAGCGCCGCAACCCCAGAGTCGTCCACGACTGGACCTAATGGTCAGGGGTCCCTTTACCCTTTACCTTTACTAGTTCTTAAACTATCACCTGCTATTTCTCCTTGTTATCCCGGGACACCTCTAAACTATAAATCTATCCCTCTTTCAAGGCTAACAATCTACTTCTAACACATTCTTTACTTAATTGTAACATTAGCCAGGAAAAGAGCCTCTTAGGGAGTCAAGATTGTGAGTCCTAACATTTGCTTTGTCTGGGCATCTCAGTTTGCAAGACATGCAGATAAACAGTTCTGCAAAGGGGCCCTCCTTAGGGCTCCTTTGAACCTCTGTCTTCACAGAATCGGTCTTAAGGCAGGCATGGTCACCCTCACCACGCCTTCCCTAAGAATTAAACTCATTTTCATTCATTTATTCCACATTCACCAGATCCTGCAGGATCTGATTTTTTTCTGCAGGGCTGTAAGACAGAGTTGTTCCGCCTGGCCTTTGGCTTGGAATCAATTTGATTCCCTCCCCCTCTTTCCTTTTTCCTTTCTCCTTCTGTGATGGAACTCCTATTTGGGGACTTCCCTGGCTTTTTTCTGCCCCATGTAGGACCAGTCTGGAAAGTTAGCCTTGGTGAAGACTTGACGTTTTCATCCCCAAAAAAGTTTTTGATCTGAGTTCCCATTGAAATGAGGCAGTATTTTAATATTTTAATGTTTACCGTAATCTTGTATTTTAATCTTGTTTTTAAGTTGTCTTTCAATCAATTTGTTTTTATATCGGGTGTTAGCTACCCTGAGCCCAGTCTTGGCTGGGGAGGGCGGGGTATAAATAAAATTTATTATTATTATTATTATTATTATTATTATCATCATCATCCTGCTTTAAATTCAGTACTGAGCTGATAGTGCCAAGTTTGTGGGTTTGATCCCTGTGCAGGACAGGGGGCTGGACTAGATTAAACCTCCGTTCCCCTTCCAGTTCTACGATTCGGTGGTTCTGAATACGTAAAAACCCATCCTTCAAAACTTATTTCCTGAGCAGAAGAATACTCTACCTGCCATTAACGATGGCTATCTCATCAGGTGCTGAGGTGCCCTTTTAAAACTTGTTTTTTTGCCTGGCCGGGATGTGTAACTCTGATGAGGCCTCTCGCTTGTCCGGATGAAGGGTAGCAGCCCAAAGGGTATGTCTCTAGAAACTAGCCGAAATTATATTTGCCGCTCCACCCACTTTCTCCCCAGGCCCCGCCCACTGCCACCATGTGGCCCCTGAAAGGTTGCCCGGCCCTCGATCAGAGCAGTGTTCCCACACCCCTGGGTTAGAGGGTGGCAGATACACAGCAGAGGCCGTGAGTTTATTTCCACACGACCTGTGTCGCCATCTTCCTTTTTCCCACCCTCCGCAGGGCGAGCGAGACCTGCCTGAAATCACAGTCCAGGAAATCGACATGCTGATGGATCAAGGGGAGTTTCTGGTGTCCGGGGAAGAGAAGCCTCGCCGGGTTTCCTCCAGAAAGAGGCGAGCAGAAGAAGGTGAGCAGACGAGGGAGAGGCCAGACTGATCTGATCTGCGTGTCTGTCCTCTTCCAAGGACACAATGCATTATAATCCGCAAACTGGGAAGGCCAGAGACCTGTCCGTCCTTAGGGATCGTCTCCTCCTCTTCTAGTCGCCCCTTTCGCTCCCTGGGATCCGTGGGTAGGGTGGCAGAGCCCACAATTTGCAGGCAGGAGGGTTCGGTCCCTGAGTTTAATTGTGGCTGGTGCCCGTTGGGCGGAATGCAGGGAGGCCAACAGTAGGGGGAGCTAGAGAGCCAACTGGTTCTCGTTTTTCGTCCCCATCGTCCTCCCTGCTGAGTTCTGCAAGGAGCAACTAAGTGGCATGGACTGGTTGAATGAGGAGAAATGATAGGGGGTCGGGGAGGGAAGAAGGTTCAGAGCCCGGGGAATGGTGGTGGGATGACGATGAATAGTCAGAGGGAGAAGGAGGTGAAGAGGCAACAGGACTTCGTGAGCGGGGAGAGTCTGTGACAGAGAGAAGTCCAGAATCAGAGGCAGAAGCTGAAGGAGGAGAATAAGATAAGGGAGGCCAAGAGTCAGAGTCAGGCTGCTGAAGAAACAAGGGTGTTTCCTCTTTCTGCTCCTCTCCCCACTCATCTCCCTCTCTCCCCCTGCCCCCAACTCCACCCCACCAGTTATGGAACATTTCCCTCCTGCTCCAGCAGACTTGCAGACACCCCACGCGTTTTCCGGAAGCCTCTGTTATAAGAAAAAATGCTCCTATATCCCTTCTGGGGTATCCAAGAGCCCATATAGAGTCCTTAAGTAGGTTCTCTATTGGTAGGAGAAAATAACAGAGGCCGACTAGAGAGTACTGAGAAGCAAAGCAGCTAGTAAGCCCGATCTTTCTTAAACTGTTGCAACAGGGTCCCCACTCCCCATACACAGGAGGGAGGAGAGAACCCAGAACAATGGTGCGCAAGGCCTTATATAGACTTTTGAAACTGCCTGCCCTGTAGCCCAAGACCACGACCCCAAAACATCATACATACATCACCGGAGGTGGGCTACAGCAGGATACTGATAATGGTCACGTGATTGCTTTACCTGGGCAGCCTGGCCATTCCTTTTGAGACGCTGAATATTTAGTTCCCGAATCCAGGTCACAGGCTCACCCTTGTTGTTGTTTAGTTGTTTAGTCGTGTCCGACTCTTTGTGACCCCCTGGACCAGAGCACGCCAGGCCCTCCTGTCTTCCACTGCCTCCCGCAGTTTGGTCAAACTCATGCTGGTGGCTTCGAGAACACTGTCCAACCATCTCGTCCTCCGTCGTCCCCTTCTCCTTGTGCCCTCCATCTTTCCCAACATCAGGGTCTTTTCCAGGGAGTCTTCTCTTCTCATGAGGTGGCCAAAGTATTGGAGCCTCAGCTTCAGGATCTGTCCTTCCAGTGAGCACTCAGGGCTGATTTCCTTCAGAATGGAGAGGTCTGATCTTCTTGCAGTCCATGGGACTCTCAAGAGTCTCCTCCAGCACCAGAATTCAAAAGCATCAATTCTTCGGCAATCAGCCTTCTCACCCTATTCACACACAAATACACCCTTAAAACAGGATTTGTGAGCAAAGAGACAATGGGGAGAATATTTGAGGTTACTGGATGAGTCAAAATGGCTTCAGGATTGTTCTCCTGTACTATTTCAGACACATGGTTTATATACTTATGCATGTGCTTGCCTTCTACATTTATGAACATATATATATATATATATATATATATATATATATATATATATGAGATCTTAGAATTCCTATAATACTCCATAGCCAAAGTTATGGGAAATAAATAGAAGGTGGCACTCATTGATTTTCCAGCTCTGTGTTTGGCACTGCCAGATCCCAGAGGACGCCCCCGGTTGTTACAGCCATTCGATTTCCCCCTTTGCTTCCCCCCTCCCTCCCTCTTTGGACCCAACAGGCCTATCATGCCCACTTTTGCCTCTCTCTCCTTTCCCAGAGTCTGCCGAGGGAGTCAGAGAACAAGAGCTGTTGGTCTCCGCTGGGCTGTCGCCTCCCACAAGGTAAAGTGAAATATACTCAAATTCGAGAGTGGATTTCATGCTCTTTATTCAGCTCATAGTGGTGAGGAAGAATGGAAGTTCCCCCAGAATGTCTGCTTTATATACATTATTTACACAAAAGTAAACACTGAATAAAATTGGTTTGGAAGAAGGATCGCTGTATCCTGTTAAGGTCAAACAGGTTTGGCAGGCACATAGTCTTTAAAAAAAAACCCTGCTGGAGCTGTTTGAGCAGAGGCAAAATTTGGAACACAAGAAGTGTGCTTGCGTATGACAAGGATGGGTTCCAAACTCCCAGCATACCTGACCATCGGCCATGTCAACTGTGGATAACAGGAGTTAGGATTCCACCATATTAGCAATATCCCCAGACTAGGAGAAGTTGTTGTCCTGCCTGCCTTAGCACCATGCCATGTGTCTCATTGAAATCTAGTTTGCAGTCCCCTTGGGGCAATGACCTCCCCCCCCACCTCACAAACACTTCTCCCTCTGTAATGTATCATAGACTGCACACATGACTATCGGCGACAATGAACACATCAGGGTCCTTCCTGTGGTGGCCCCTTGGATTCTAACAAAGGCCATTTCCCACAAGTCTTTGCAATTTGTGGTGCCCAATCCGGTGTGTGAATTGTTCCATGAGGAGTTTAAAAAAACAATTTCCGCCACCGTCAACGAAAATGAAACTCTGGCCATATTTCTTGTTTCACAGAGTCGGGGAGGAGCCGCCTGCTGCGAGGGAAGCAGGAGAATCTCTGTTGACGGACAAGATCCAGCTCCCAGGAGAACCCCCTCTGCTGCCTTCGGGTTAGTGGGGCGCTGGGCACGGGAGGGAGCAGCGGGTGAAGGCTGGCCAAGAGCACAAGGACCCTGCTGGGCTAGACACAAAGGGGCGCTTACACGACACACAAGGCAAAAGGATCAGGGAGGGAAGAGGAAGAAGTCAAACTCAGGGACCAGTTCTAAGACCTTTGCTCTTAATAATGACCGGCTGGGGGCCGGAGGGGCCTGGCGTCTCAGCAAAGGGGAAGCAAGCGGCCCTGCCTCCCCTATCTCTCCCGCCAAGGCCACTTGAGGGAATGGGGGGTGGTAAATTGAGGGAGACGAGGCCAGAGAAATCTGCTGGTTATCTGGCACCCTCTTCCCTCCTCTCCCTGCCCTTTTCTCTAACCGCCAACCCTTGCTGGTTCTGCTGCAGAGGCGACCCCCCTCCAAGAGGGAGCCAGGCTGCTCCCTTCTCCCCAACGGACCCCTCTCCGCCCCCAGCTGAAGCAACACTCCCCTCCGAGCCCCAAGGTAAGAGGAAGGGAGGCGGGGAAGGGGGGCCAGCCTTCCAACTGAGAACCGGGAGGGGGCCGGTACCCTCTGGCTCAGTGCAAAACGCCTCTGGTTCAAGCCCAGCATCTGAAACCCTATCATCATCATCATCATCATTTATTTATTTATACCCCGCCCATCTGGCTGAGTTTCCCCGGCCACTCTGGGCAGCTCCAAATCAAGTGTTAAAAACAATATTTAAATATTAAAAACGTCCCTGAACAGGGCTGCCTTCAGATGTCTATTAAAGACAAGATAGCTGCTTATTTCCTTTACATCTGAAGGGCGGGTGCCACCACCGAGAAGGCCCTCTGCCTGATTCCCTGTAACCTGACTTCTCACAGGGAGGGAACCGCCAGAAGGCCCTCGGTGCTGGGCCTCAGTGTCCGGGCTGAACGATGGGGATGGAGACGCTCCTTCAGGTATACTGGGCTGAGGCCGTTTAGGGCTTTAAAGGTCCACACCAACACTTTGAATTGTGCTCGGAAACGTACTGGGAGCCAATGCGGATCTCTCAGGACTGGTGTTATGTGGTCCCGGCGGCCGCTCCTAGTCACCAGTGTAGCTGCCGCATTCTGGATTAATTTGTCAGTATGGACTGTACTGATCTAGGTGGACCAAGAAATCTGACTCACTATAAGCCAGCTTCCCCCACCTTCCCAATAGGTTCGTTGAAATATACTCAGAGTCGCAAAGTGATTTCATGCTCTTTATTCAGCTCATAGTGGTGAGGAGGAATTAATGAATGTCCCCTCAAAGTATCTGCTTCATATACATTATTTACACAATGGGCTGCACATGATTGGCTAATTCCGGAATTCTACTGTAAGCCAATCAGGTTGTGGATTCACTTCTATCTGGAGCATGATTGGGTAGTTCCTGCCAGTGGCGTAGCGTGGGTTGTCAGCACCCGGGGCAAGGCAAGTAATTTGCGCCCCCTAACCCATGGATTTGCGCCCCCTAACCTGTGGATTTGCCCTAACCCCAGATGTTGCGCCCGGTGCGGCCGGCACCCCCTGCACCCCCCACGCTACGCCACTGGTTCCTGCCAACCAATCATACTGTTGCATTGTTCTAGGACCAATCAGACTGCTGCATTCTGAATCCTATTGTTCTAGGACCAATCAGACTGCTGCCTTTTGGATCCTATTGTTCTAGGACCAATCAGACTGCTGCCTTTTGGATCCTATTGTTCTAGGACCAATCAGACTGCTGCCTTTTGGATCCTATTGTTCTAGGACCAATCAGACTGCTGCCTTTTGGATCCTATTCAACTCATTACATAACATTCGTAATTTAGACAAAGGCTGCGGCTCACTGGCAGAGCGTCTCCCTCACGTTCAGGGAGGTTCTGGGTTCAAATCTCAGCCTTTCCAAGTTGGGCTGGGGAAAGGCTTCCTGCGCAGAGCCCCGGAGAGATGCTGCCAGCCAGTGTCTGCAATGCCGAGCCAAGTGGTCTGAGTCGGTCCAAGCGGCAGCCGCTCGAGAGCCTGGGGAGTTTAGGAACGAGCCACGGCAGAACATCCGGAAATTTCTCTTGTGCTTCCCCAGCTCCAGCTGGCCGCGTACGAGCCGTCCTTCCTGAAGCCCGGCAGGCGGCGGAGGCAGCTGCGCTTCCTGGATCCAGTGACCCAGATTTCCCGGGAAGATTTCCAGAAGCAGATCTTGGATCCGCAGGGACAGTGCCAGCCCCTGGTAGGTGTTGGAATTGGTGAACGTTGGGGTGCCCACCAAGCTCCGATTTGTTATGTTTTTATTATTTTTTTAACATATTAATTCCAACATTCATACAACATAACTTCTCTTTTTCATATAAAAGGTCCCTTCCAGCTCTACAGCTCTGTGATTCTAGGCTGCCTTTTTTAAAAAAAAAATCAGGTTTCTAGCCCTGAGAGAAGTGTGGGGCTGAGAGGGGGAGGCTTGCAGTGGGCAGGAGGCCAGGTTGCAGTGCCCCACAAAGCCCTTTGCCCCTCCCCACAATAAGCAGGCGGAAAGCAACTTATGCAAAGTGAGGCTATGTATGCAAACTGGAGGCTTGGTGCAATAATAATAATAATAATAATAATAATAATGGACAAGGCAGTTGAAATTGGGCTGTTCAAAATTTCAGCTTTGCGACTGGACTGCAAGACTCCAACCCCGATAAGTTGGAATCTTTGTGGGCATTCCATGACGTCACAGCAATCCTTCCCCCCCCCCCCATTTTTTATTAGTTTTAACATAACATTAAAATACAAGGTCCTTTGGAACCTTCGGACCTCCTTCCCTCCCTCCATGGGTTTAAGATGAAATTTGCTGCACCTTTTACCATTATCCATCTGTTATATAACCGTAATGATGATCGATAATTCCGCATCACAGCAGTCCTGGCCAATCAGTGCTGGGCAGGGGCGGGGCTTCACTGTTGCCAGGATACAAAGCAGCACTTGACTTTGGCAGGTCACTCCTAATTGACGCCTGCCATCCCATTTCCTGCTTTCCTTTTCTCAGGAGACTCTGCTGCTGCCTCCGAAGAGGTTGAAGACTGCGGAGGAGCTCTTGGGAGCCCCAACTTACGGTGAGGACCCCTCCCTGCCCCATAGCTGTCAACCGTCCCTTATTTGGTGGGAAAGTCCCTTATCCCAGCGCCGTGTCCCGCTGCTGTCCCTTATTGATGATGTCCCTTAAATTTCCCGGGTTTCAAAGGAAGCAGCTCCTCTCCCTCCCTCCCTGCCGGCCAGGGAGGAGGGAGGCTCCAACTGGGTTGCTTGGCTGCGTTGCTCACCCAATAAGGAGTCTAAGAACGACTGGGGGGTGGAGCTTGCATGCCTTGTGCCAATCAAATCGGCCGTGTTGCCTGGGGACTCGCCTTTGCTCAGCGCTTCCCAGCGGAGAGGGGACGGTGGTTTCCCTAGCTGCATCCCCTTTGCCGGGTTGCTGTGCTGTGGGAACCACCGCTTGAGGCTTCGTTTGGCTGCTGGTTGGCTAAAATCCCTTATTTTGGCTGCTGATCCCTTATTTTCGAGGCTGCTGGTCTCTTATTTTCAAATTGGTAAGTTGACAGCTATGCTCTGTCCCCATGATCCCCCTCCCCAGAGGGTCAGACCCAGGTGTGTTGCTGCTTCCTCGCCCCCTGGCTCAAAGGACAAAGCAGATTTTAACCCCGAAAGGTGAAAAACAGCGTGAAGAGGCTGGATAATTTTTTTATCCCTTGCCCTTTTTCGATAACAGATACCAGGACATGCCCCCTATACAGTGGTACCTTGGTTCTCAAACTTAACCCGTTCCGGAAGTCCGTTCCAAAACCAAAGCGTTCCAGAACCAAGGCTCGCCTTCCCATAGAAAGTACAGTGGTACCTCGCGTTACATACGCTTCAGGTTACAGATTCCACTAACCCAGAAATATTACCTTGGGTTAAGAACTTTGCTTCAGGATGAGAACAGAAATCGTGTGGCGGCGGCAGCAGGAGGCCCCATTAGCTAAAGTGTTGCTTCAGGTTAAGAACAGTTTCAGGTTAAGAACGGACCTCCGGAACGAATTAAGTACTTAACCCGAGGTACCACTGTAATGCAAAACGGATCGATCCATTCCAGACTTTTAAAAACAACCCCTCAAACAGCAATTTAAACTTGAATTTTACTACCTAACGAGACCATTGGCCCATAAAATGAACACAATAAACAATGTACTGCAGTCACACAATCAATCAATCAATCAGTAGCTGAACTGGGTTCCACGCAGTCACGAAAAGAGCCACAAAAACAAAAAGGCAAAACAAATAGCGAAAACAGACAGACTCCAACGTAACACTCAAAACGGAGCACGTTCGGCTTCCGAGAAAAGTTCGCAAACCAGAACACTTCCGGGTTTGCAGTGTTTGGGTTCCAGGTTGCTTGAGTACCAAGGCGTTTTTGAGAACCAAGGGACCACTGTAGTTCTTGTCATCCCTGACTGTGTGGGGGCTTTGTGGGGCTGATGTGCAATGGCTTCTGGGAGCCCCCCACCCCACCCTCCCCGGCCAAGGCAGGAGGTGCGAGGCTTTGCCTGCTGTTTGCAGAAACCGGGAAAGGCTTTTCCGCTGCCACGACCTGTTTATCTCTGCATAAGAACATGAGACGAGCCTCTGCTTTCAGGCAGGATAGAGACCCCTGCTTAGCACCTCCCTTTCCACACACCCCCTCCCAAATTGTAACTGCTCCCTTTGCTCCCTCGTTTCCTGGTCCTAGGATGGATGCACCCCACCCTCCAGGGCCTCTGGGCCCGCTGCGCCAACCGCCAGCGCGTGGACTACGCCAGGAAGCAAGCAGCAGAGGAAACACGGAGGAGGAGGGAGGAGGAGGAAGAAGTGCAGAAGGCCGAGGTTCCCAGTGAGCTGGAGGTAAGAGGCTGGGGCTGCTGGAAACCCACGAGGCGTTTGATGGCGGTTGCAAAACATTAAGACTCCCGACCAGAGATGAATGGCAGGTCAAGTTGATGGATCATGCCGAAATGGCAAAAATGGCCGGAAGAATCAGAAATCAGGATGACCAACGTTTTAATAAGGAATGGGGACAATTTATAATTTATCTCACAAACCAATATAGACAGTTAAAATCAGGGGTCAGCATACTTTTTCAGCAGGGGGGCGGTCCACTGTTTTTCAAACCTTGTAGGGGGCTGGACTATATTGGGGGGGGGGGAATGAACGAATTCCTATGCCCCACAAATAACCCAGAGATTCATTTTTAAAAAAAGGACACATTCTACTTATGTAAAAACACACTCATTCCCGTACCGTTTGCGGGCCGGATTGAGAAGGCGATTGGGCCGGATCCGGCCCCCAGGCCTTAGTTTGCCTACCCATGCTTAAAATCGTTAGTAGGATTGGATTAACACTTGTCGTTTAATGGTGAATTTTGGATATAGTGGAGAAAGATAAAAGATTTGGATTATTAAAAAAGATGCAGGAGGAAATGACTATCAATAGGACCCACAAAGGGGAGGAGAGAAATCCAGGAGATTCTTTGGAATCTTGTTTTTATGTATGTTGGTTATGAGGTTGTAAAACTTAAATTTGAAAAACCAAATAAATAAATAAAAATTTAAAAAGACTTGGCGGTTCCCAAACTTTTGTGGTCTGCCACCCCCTTGGTTCCGTAAGCTCATTCCCAGTTGCGCCCTATAAAAAGCTTAATTCAGAATAGCGTTATAAGAATTCTAAGGTGTCGTAAATAAAAGGAATGTTCTTAAGTGCACGAGATAGACACACATGCAGAATAAGAACATGGACCACATGTTTTAAATAGTAAAGGTAAAGGGGCCCCTGACCCTTAGCTCCAGTCGTGGCCGACTCTGGGGTTGCGGCGCTCGTCTTGCTTTATTGGCTGAGGGAGCCGGCGTACAACTTCTGGGTCCTGTGGCCAGCATGACTAAGCCGCTTCTGGCAAACCAGAGCAGCGCACGGAAACGCCGTTCACCTTCCTGTCGGAGCGGTACCTATTTATCTACTTATACTTTGACGTGCTTTTGAACTGCTAGGTTGGCAGGAGCAGGGACCGAGAAATGGGAGCTCACCCGTCGCAGGGATTCGAACCACCGACCTTCTGATTGGCAAGTCCTAGGCTCTGTGGTTTAACCCACAGTGCCACCCGCGTCCCTCTGTTTTAAATAGTGCAGGAGAGCAAACCTTAATGACTCCAAATATTTGTCTGCAGAAGGAAATACCGTATTTTTTGCTCTATAAGACTCACTTTTTCCCTCCTAAAAAGTATGGGGAAATGTGTGTGCGTCTTATGGAGCGAATGCAGGCTGCGCAGCTATCCCAGGAGCCAGAACAGCAAGAGGGATCGCTGCTTTCACTGCGCAGCGATCCCTCTTGCTGTTCTGGGCTTCTGAGATTCAGAATATTTTTTTCTTGTTTTCCTCCTCCAAAAACTAGGCGCGTCTTGTGGTCTGGTGCGTCTTATAGAGCGAAAAATACGGTATGTTGGGGAGACCTCTGCTTCCCAGGGGCTCAGCCCCACTTTCCCCTCTTTTGCAGGAGCTTCGAGCAGCTGAGGAGCCAAGCATCCCTCCTGTCGGCTCATCAGGTGAGCAGGCGAGCAAAGACAGGTGCTTCCGCTCTCCTCCAGCTTTGAAGGCAGAGGCAAAAAGGCGAGAAAAACCACCACGGGATTGTAGAGTTGGAAGGGACACGAGGGTCATCTAGCCCAACCGCCTGCGACGCAGGGCTCCGACGGTGTCGAGCCGGACATGACGGCCAGGTGCCCCAGTGCAGGGTGCGAATTCCGCTCTCCCCATTCATCAGACGGATCACTTGAACAGAGGCGGAGTGGATCGCCCACCAGATCCCATCAGCTTTTCTAAGCTTCTGGGCAGAGCGGTCTGAATAAACCTGCTTTCAGCAGGCGCCGAAAAGGCTGCAACAGGGAAGTCAATAGGCAGGGAGTTCCACAGGTGCCGCCACACTCAAAGGCTGGCTCCTTGCAAAGGCGAAACAGGTATTACGTGGCTGCCGGTTATCCTTTTCCGTTTCCCCTTGCAGAGATTTCCCTCGAGACGACTGAAGAAGAATCTCGGCCGAGTTTTGTGGTAGCAGAAGAGAGGTGAGAGGCCTAGTTGTCCTTCTTCCCCAAAAAAGTTTTTGATTGAGTTTCCACTGAAATGAGGGTGCATTTTAATGTTTTAATGTTGTATTTTAATCTCGTTTTTAAGCTGTATTTCAATCAACTGTTTTATATTTGGTGTTAGATGCCCTGAGCCTGGTCTTGGCTGGGGAGGGCAGGGTATAAATAAAATTTATTATTATCATCATCATCATCAACAACCTTTATTACGGTCCAGAGACCCAACAAATCGTTACAAAGCAATACACGATTCATACAGCCTACCTCCAGGTTAAACAAGCATTTCGCTCAGAATATAGGGATCATTGGTTCTTGCAACCACCGATAAAAACTTTGCCACTGCTAATGTTCTAGCGTTTGTCCAGTATTCCAATAGGAACCTGACATAGTGAGCCTCTGATTTTCCCGGGAAAGGTACCAGCAAGGGTAATATCAGTTCAGCCCTGGCTTGCTCATATTTTGCACAGTGCAACAAAATATGTTTTTTTAAAATTATTATTATTATTCGCTTTCCTTCCCTGGGCAAGTCTCTGCCTCCGTGGGGAAGGGGCGACCCTCTTCTCTTCCACTGCCCCCTTTCCTCTTCCCACAGGGTCCTCCTGGAACCAGAGGAAGCACCGCTGCCCATCGTTCCTGAGCTCCCGGAAATAAGTTTTGAGCTGCCCTTGGATAAGAACGTGATCACGGTGGACTACGTGCGAAGGTGAGGCCTCAGAGGCTGTTCCCTTCCTCTTTCCCAGGGAATCCGGTTCTTAAAAGAGAGAGAGGGCCGCAGCTTTCCAGAAAGGGCCACCCGTTCCGTCTTTCTGGCTTTAAAAATGAAAACAACTGCTTTCAGGAGAGGAAAGGGCAGGCCCAGAGGCAGGCTGCTATTCTCTGGTGACTTTCAAAGACAGAGGTTTTTCTCTTTTGTTTGCTGCTTAGTTATAAAATCACGGAATTGCAGAGTTGGAAATGAAACAGGGAGTTCTTTCAGCACTCCACTGTTGCCCAACCTTGGCTTCCATGGGTTCAGGTGGGGAGTCACAAGCAAGAGAATTGTTGCAGGAATTTATGTATAGGTTGGGGGTGTTGCCCCTCCAGCAGACATCAAGCACACGCAGCCCACTACCAAAACCAGCACAATCGCTTTTGTGACTTTTGTGATTTGTCCCCACAAAACACTTCATCACAGTTTCTTCCTATCTATTCAAAGGGCCTTTGCTGCACGATACCAAATGTAAGAATTCACTGATAAATGTATCTCTGTACTGGCTCACTGGGAAAACTTCAGAAATTCATTTAGACATGTGAGCTCAGCTCCTCAGCAGCCCCTCTGCCTGAGTGATAATCCCTGGCATCCCATACCTGAGTGCCTTCAGCCAGGAGACTGAAGCAAAACAGCAGCCAGTAGGCCTGATCTTTATTGCTGCAACAAGACTTCCCACTACCACAAAGACGAAGCAGCCAGAAGCCCCAATCAATGCTTATATCGGTATTTTAAAGTTTCCCATGATACCGTATTGGCCCGAATATAAGCCACCCTGGCAAATAAGCCACACCTTTAAAATTCAAGGGGGGAAAAAACAAAAAAAGACAATACCTGAATACAGGACACTCCCTTAAAATTGGGTTACAGGCTGAAAATCACCGCAGTTGGTAGACTTGTAACTCTGAGCCGATTTAAGCCTTTGATCTTGCAAGCCCGCAAAAGTTACTGTACAATCGCTGAAATCGCAAACCGCTATTCAGTTGCTACCATCCTGCAGGCGCTCACACCCGCAAATGGCAAATGAACAGTCTCAAGCTCGCAAATTGGCAATAAAACTTTTGTTTGTTTGTTCCATTTTACCGTATGTCTGTTTCAGCAGCGATATCGCAAAAGCCAATTTTTGTAATGTCCCTGTCACTCAAGTATAGTCTTACTCAGGGGTCAGCAAACTTTTTCAGCAGGGGCCAGTCCACTGTCCCTCAGACCTTGTGGGGGGCCGGACTATATATATTTTTGGGGGGGAGGGAGTGAACGAATTCCTAAGCCCCACAAATAACCCAGAGATGCATTTTAAATAAAAGGACACATTCTACTCATGTAAAAACACGCTGATTCCTGGACTGTCCTTGGGCCGGATTTAGAAGGTGATTGGGCCAGATCCGGTCCCTGGGCCTTAGTTTGCCTACCCATGGTCTTACTCCATCACAGTATGAAGAAAAGCATTTACAGTCCCCAGTCCCCGAGTCAAGTCACATACACCCCTTTGCCTTGTTGTTGGGGCTTCATCCCACTGTGGGGCGGGTAGGCATTGTGACTGAGACGGTTATCTGTCTGACACTCTTGGGGCAGGATATCACCAGGTCATGACTTATTGGGAAGGCCCTGCAAACGTCTGAGGGGAACTAGGGTGGCTTCACTCACTCCTCCCCTTATGCCTCATTTCCCTGGGTCCCAAATGCCATTGGAACTGAGAAGATCGATATGAGGGATTTCTTATAAATTTCTAAAGTTTTCCCATTGAGCCAGGACACAGACGCAGTTATCAGTGAATTGCTACGTTTGGGATTGACACTTTCCCTGTTTCCTTTGCTGGAGACCTGGGGCTCAGCGGGGAGTCGCAGACTCCTGAGCTTAGCTTCCTTTGCAGATAAAAAGGTAAAGGGACCCCTGGCTGTTAAGTCCAGTCGCGGACTCTGGGGTTGCGGCGCTCATTTCTCTCTATAAGTTGAGGGAGACGGTGTTTGTCCGCAGACAGCTTAGTCATGTGGCCAGAATGACTAAGCCGCATCTGGCGAACCAGAGCAGCGCACGGAAACGCAGTTTACCTTCCCGCCGGAGTGGTACCTATTTATCTACTTGCACTTTGACGTGCTTTCGAACTGCTAGGTCGGCAGGAGCAGGGACTGAGCAACGGGAGCTCACCCTGTCACGTGGATTCGAACCACCGACCTTCTGATCGGGAAGCCCTAGGCTCTGTGGTTTAACCCACAGCGCCACCCACGCCCCTTCCTTTGCAGATAAAAAAAGGTAAAGGGACCCCTGACCATTAGGTCCAGTCGTGGCCGACTCTGGGGTTGCGGCGCTCATTTCGCTTTACTGGCCGAGGGAGCCTGCATACAGCTTCCGGGTCATGTGGCCAGCATGACTAAGCCACTTCTGGCGAACCAGAGCAGCGCATGGGAACGCCGTTTACCTTCCCGCCGGAGTGGTACCTATTTATCTACTTGCACTTTGACGTGCTTTCGAACTGCTGGGTTGGCAGGAGCAGGGACCGAACAACGGGAGCTCACCCCGTTGCGGAGATTCGAACCGCCGATAGGTTGCTGTTATTTTCTCTTTGACGCTAGAGGATTAGGGTTGACAGGTGAAAAGGCAGGGAGATGCCTGTGTGTGGTATGTCTGTCCGTGAATGGTTTGGTAATGTCCAGCTCCCATTTCCCTGGTAACAGAAGGGACACCCGATGGTCATGCTTTCCGTTTCCAATTTTGCAGGTTGATCGCTGCCAAACTAGAACAGGCCGGAGTCACAGAATTTGACCAGCTCTTACCCCGGGCAGCTTCACGGGGTGTCGCCAGCCGGTTTTTCTTCACATGTTTGGGTAGGTAATGGGAATTCAGTGTGCGTGTAGAAGAGATGTGGCTGTCCTTTTTAAACACAACTTTTTCTGGAGCGGGGAGGGCAAAGCGAAACACCAAAAAGGGAGTTGGGGGGGGGAGGCCAGTTTCTCAGATGAAGAGTGTCTGGATTTTTTGCTGGGTATCTCGGGTTTCCTTGCACCATAACATTTAAAGCCAGAATCATGCCACTTTAAAGCATCACGGCTTATCCCAGAGAATCCTGTGAACTGCAGTTTGTTAAGGGTGCAGAGATTTACTGTATTTTTCGCTCTATAAGACGCACCAGGCCACAAGACGCACCTGGTTTTTGGCGGAGGAAAACAAGAAAAAAAATATTCTGAATCCCAGAAGCCAGAACAGCAAGAGGGATCGCTGTGCAGCGAAAGCAGCAATCCCTCTTGCTGTTCTGGCTTCTGGGATAGCTGCGCAGCCTGCATTCGCTCCATAAGATGCACACACACTTCCCCTTTTTAGGAGGGAAAAAGTGAGTCTTATAGAGCAAAAAATACGGTATTAAAAGACTCCTATTCCCCTTAGAGAGCTGCAGTTCCCAAAGTTCCCTGGGGGGAAAAAGGACTGACTGTTAAAACCACTAGAGGAGGCAAACAGGTTGCCTAACAACTCTCAGCTAACGCTGGGCTTGCAAGTTTCTGCAAGAGGGTCGAGAGCAGAGTTGCTTCCTTTGGCAGAAGCATTTTCCCTTCTCCCAGCCCCCAACCTTATATATTTTCAAGCTGACGGTCCTGTCCTTGCAGGCATTTGGGTCTTAACGGGGGTGGGGGGCAGAGTCATGTCATATCGAGCCTTTGTCGGGTGTTCATCTTTTAGCTGAGTGAGGTAGAATTCGCCCCCTTCTTATTGTATTAAAGGACCCCTGACCATTAGGTCCAGTCGTGGCCAACTCTGGGGTTGCGGCGCTCATCTCGCTTTATTGGCCTAAGGGAGCCGGCGTACAGCTTCCGGGTCATGTGGCCAGCATGATTAAGCCACTTCTGGCAAACCAGAGCAGCGCATGGAAACGCTGTTTACCTTCCCGCTGGAGCGGTACCTATTTATCTACTTGCACTGGTGTGCTTTTGAACTGCTAGGTGGGCAGGAGCAGGGACCGAGCAACGGGAGCTCACCCCGTCACGGGGATTGAACCGCCGACCTTCTGATCAGCAAGCCCTAGGCTCTGTGGTTTAACCCACAGCGCCACCCACGTCCCCTCTTATTGTATTACTTCTAAGTAAATACAGTGGTACCTCTGGTTGCAAATGGAATCCGTTCCAGAGGCCCGTTCACAACCTGAAAAGAACACAACCCGCATCTGCGTGGGTCGCAATTCGCCGCTTCTGTGCATGACATCATTTTGTGTGTCTGCGCATGCGGCGAGACCCGGAAGTAACCCTTTCCGGTTCTTCTGGGTGGCCGTGGGACGCAACCTGAAAATCCGCAACCTGAAGCAAACGTAACATGAGGTATGACTGTAATGTTCTTTTTGTATCTTCGATTGCCTTGGGAAATTTTGCGCTTAAGCGATGGAACGGAGGCGAAAATAAATTTATGAACCAACGGCTGGAGGCAGCGGTGCTTCTGCATATGTTTCTGGAATATGCAGGAGGGGAAGGGAGTATTCCCTCTTGTGCCCAGATCCTGCTGGTGGATTTCACCCAGGCCTGTTTGGCCACTGTTACGCCGGACTTAATGGGCCATTGGGCCTGATCCAGCAAGGCTCCTTTTACGTTCATACGCAATAAAGAATAATGAGTTACTGCGGAACACCCGCTTCTTTTCTTTTCCTCCGCTCCTCCCCAGTGCTGGCTGCAGCCCAGTTTGTACACCTGGAGCAAGCAGAGCCGTACGGACGGATTGTCATTACACCTGGAGCCCGTTTCCACCAAGGCTAGCGAGACCCTGTCGTTCCTGCTACGGATCTTGCCCTGTGGAGGGTGCTGTTGGTGTCCCAACGTGGGGGAACACACCTCTAGAAGTTGGAGAACTGCATCCTTTGTCAAACAGTTGTACAGTTTTTTTAACGCCCCGGTTGCCAAAACCCTCGTTTTCCAATTGAATAAAGCCATTGTGTTTTGGTTTTTCGATTTAAGTCAGCGGTAAGAGCGCAAAGTGTCACATGCTGGCCTCGGGTTCAATCTTGGTGTCTCCAGGTAATTGGTGGGGGAGAGACCCCACTCTGCCTGAAAATCCTGGAGAGCTGAATGAACTGGATGGATGGATTGCTCAGTGGGTAGAGCACGAGGCTCCTAAATCTCAGGGTTGTGCAAAAACAACTACCAGACTTTTAGAAGACATCTGAAGGCAGCCCTGTTTAGGGAAGCTTTTAATGTTTCATAGACTATTGTATTTTAATATTCTGTTGGAAGCCGCCCAGGGTGGCTGGGAAAACCCAGTCAGATGGGTGTGGTATAAATATTATTATTATTATTATTATTATTATTATTATTATTATTAGGCAGAAATTTCCTGCATTGCAGGGCACAGGATCCCTCCCAACTCTGCAATTCTATGATCCCAGTCGTATGACGTTTCCTAAGTCCAGGACGTTGCATTAACTTAAGTTGGCAAACGCCCCCCCCCCCAATCAATGGGCGTTGAACTGAGCTCCCGATTCAAGACCAAAAGAGGGAGTCTGTCTTGCTCCAGTGCATAGCTGTCAACTGTTCCCTTTTTTTTAAGGGAAATCCCCTTATTCCGAATAGGATTCCTCACAAGAAAAGGGGAAAGTTGACAGCTATGCTCCAGTGGTACATTCTGGGCAGCGCCCCTCGCCTGCGACAGATCCTTCCCTAGCGCCTTCAGCTGGAGGTGTTGAGGATCAAACCTGGGAACTTTCTGAATATTACAGGGGCCGCTTTCCTTCTGCACCTACACTGCTTTCTAAAAGTGAGCTGACCTTCTGTTTCTGAACGCCAGTTGCTAGAAGCCGCAGGAGTTGAGAGGGCTGCTGCTGCTGCTTAAATTTGTGTACCGCCCATACCCGTAGGTCTTGGGGCGGTTACAACATTAAAATCGCAATATGAAAACACAAAACGCATAATAAAAACAAGAACGGTCCAATCAACCCCTCTTGCGCTCGGGTCCTGAGTGCGAGTTTCCCACTGGGGCATGTGAGTTGGCCACTCTGAGAATAGGATGGACTAGCCACCCTGATCTAAGGTAAAGGTAAAGGGACCCCTGACCATTAGGTCCAGTCACAGACGACTCTGGGGTTGCGGCGCTCATCTCGCTTTATTGGCCGAGGAAGCCGGCGTACAGCTTCTGGGTCATGTGGCCAGCATGACTAAGCCGCTTCTGGCGAACCAGAGCAGCACACAGAAACGCTGTTTACCTTCCCGCCACAGTGGTATCTATTTATCTGCTCACACTGGTGTGCTTTCAAACTGCTAGGTTGGCAGGAGCAGGGACCGAGCAACGGGAGCTCACCCCGTCACGAGGATTCGAACCGCCTACCTTCTGATCGGCAAGCCCTAGGCTCTGTGGTTTAACCCACAGCGCCACCCGCTAGCAGGCTCCTTAAGGCTTTAAGGGGCTGTGGAATAGTTGGCGCAGGCATATTGACAGGATGGGGCAGATTGCTTCTTGCTCAGAAAACTTTCTTCGGGGGGGGGGGTCCAGTATTTGAAGCAAGAAGTTTTGGCCTGAGCTTGGAGACCCCGTTCTTACGCTACCCTTAATAAGCATACCCTCTCTGCAAGGGAAACACACCTGTTAGTTTCAACGTGTTTTTTTTATTATAACATAACACAATATAATCTCTTCGTTCCAGAAAAATACCAAAACCCAGGTGGTTATATAATCTTAAATACAAACTAGAAGGGGAAACAGCTGGTTCGATGGGTGCAGGAGCCCGGGTGAAAACCTACAGCAGCCTTGCGAAAATAAATTATCACAAAATCCTCTCAGAGACTGTTTGGGGGAAACACGAACTTTGGCAAACAAAATTCATTTGGAATAAGCCCCCCGCAAAGAACGGGAGGGAGGTGGCACTTAAAAGCGCTGAGAATCGCTCCCAACAGGGAAAGGGAGGCAGGACAAATTTGGCTCCAAAAAACAGCCACCCCCCTCGACAACCGTTGGAAAGAGATGAGAAACTGCGCGGGAGGAGGAAGAAAATAATCGGAAGGGGCTGCGCCTTGGCTTCCATTAATGGCAGGACTCGCATCAGCATATATCTGAGGAAAACTTAATACTGCTGAACTTTCAAGTGTGACCCGACCTGAAATCTTTGGCTTGGAGATCAAACAGAAAGTGGGTCTCTCAATGACTAAAACTCCCTCCCCGCACTGCCCTCATTTTTGCTTAGATTTCAAAGAAAGATAAAATACACACTTCCTGGTGGTGGGAGGTTATAGCAACAGGGACAGGCCAAACTCAAGCTCACATTCCCTCTTCCTGTAATGGTTGAGGAATGAGGTTTTTTGGCAGTTTACATGCTTATGACATGCCACACTGCTGGTGTTCTTGAGTGCCGCTGAAAGCACTCCTCAGCCCTCCAAAGTCCATCTCGAGGAAGAAGGGAAAACCATGTGGACTAGCGCCCCCAACTGCACCAATATCCTTTCCTCCTTGCTGCCCTACTAAAAGGGGCTCCTGTAAAACACAGCCGCCCCCCCCCCAATCCTGCTGGGCTCTTGTCTCGGCGCAAAACTGGCTACGACGGTTGCCCCTTGGCAAATGAAGCATGCTGGTTGAGGGCGTCGTAACTGGGCAGCAAAAAAAGGCAAAAATTTGGCGGCAGGGACTTTGAGGCCCCCAACGGATGGATGGAGCAACTGCTGCAGTCCCTGAAGGTGTTAGGCAGAGAGCCTCCCTTGGGGAAAGGACTAGGAATAAAACAGGTTTGGGGGAGTTGGGGTGCTACATACTTCATGCCCCTGCTGATGCGGTGTGAAAAAAGGCTGACTGCCCGCCCCCCAAGACCCCCCCTCAGCACCAAGGGACGTGTGTGGCAAAAAACGAACAGCCGTCACAGGTAGGGGGCACGACGGTGAGGCGAGAGAAGCCTGAAGGGAAACGGGGAAATGAAACCGCAGGGAGAGTCGCCTGGTGTCAACGGGTGGAGGGCAGGTTGGCCGCAAAAACTTGGAAGGGTTAGTCCATACAGAGCCAAGAAGGGTGTCCGGTGGGAGGTGGGGGGGTCGCCTCAAGCAAAGTCCCCTTCCGCTTTCACAAAGTTGGGAGCGTGGCCCCTCCTCAAACAGAGCTGACCGCCGCGTTGACCAAGGAAGCGGCTTCCGAAGGCAGCGAGCGCACCACCGCCTGGAACTCGGACGGGCATCGGGCGGAGAGATTGCGCAGCAGGGAGACCAGGGAGTTGCGGCCTTCTGAGCAACGAGAACACACACAAACAGGAATAGAGCGGTTAAGCTGGCTGAGATGAGGCGGTGACGTCTCGGCCACTGGGCAATACCTCGCTCAACCTTTCAGTTTCCCCCTAGCCGCCAGCCGGATGATCGTGGGGCAGCAGGGGCTGTGGGGCCTAGTGACCATTACAATCCCCGACACACCCAGGTCCTAGCCCGTCGCTCTAACCACTACGCCACGCTGCTGTTATCAGGAATAGTTATTGTTATGACTTGAATTGTTGTCAGCTACCCTGGGTATGAATACCACCCAGTGACTCCGAGGGCACCACATGCCACGTGGCACTGATCGCACAACTAAGTCGCGTTCTTCTCAACACCAACACCCTCTCCCAAAGTGGTTGGGCAGTAAAAATGGGCAGGGGAGAGGAGGAAGAGAAGCTGGTGGCTGCCCAACCAAGAAGGCCCGCTGCCTATCCAGGACGCATACCTGAGGGGATGTTCTCCTTGGCCAGGACGCTGCCGCTGACTCGCACAAGTTCGCCAATCTGCTGCAGGACCTGAAAGAGAACAAGGCCTTCTCAGGGCCGTGGCAAATCCCCTTTTGTGTGGGGGGAGCAAAACACGGAACATGTGGGGTTGTTGTGGATAGTAAGGTCAAGGGACCCCTGACCATTAGGTCCAGTCGTGGCCGACTCTGGGGTTGCGGCGCTCATCTCGCTTTATTGGCCGAGGGAGCCGGCGTACAGCTTCCGGGTCATGTGGCCAGCATGACTAAGCCGCTTCTGGCAAACCAGAGCAGCGCACGGAAACGCCGTTTACCTTCCCACCGGAGCGGTACCTATTTATCTACGTTTCCGAGCACAATTCAAAGTGTTGGTGCTGACCTTTAAAGCCCTAAACGGCCTCGGTCCAGTATATCTGAAGGAGCGTCTCCTCCCCCATCGTTCTGCCTGGACACTGAGGTCCAGCTCCGAGGGCCTTCTGGCGGTTCCCTCACTGCAAGAGGCCAAGTTACAGGGAACCAGGCAGAGGGCCTTCTCGGTAGTGGCGCCCGCCCTGTGGAACGCCCTCCCATCAGATGTCAAAGCAATAAACAACTACCTGACATTCAGAAGACATCTGAAGGCAGCCCTGTTCAGGGAAGTTTTTAATATGTGACATTTTAGTGTATTTTTCATCTTTGTTGGAAGCCGCCCAGAGTGGCTGGGGAAACCCAGCCAGATGGGCGAGGTACAAATAATAAATTATTATTATTATTATTATTATTATTATTATTATTATTATTATTATTATTATTATTAATTATGGGAGCTTACCCCGTCGTGGGGATTCGAACCGCCGACCTTCTGATCGGCAAGTCCTAGGCTCTGTGGTTTAACCCACAGCGCCTCCCGCGTCCCTTTTAAAAGAAATAGCATCTCTCAACTCCCCTCTTGTTACAGGGAAGCCTTGCTGGATCCGAATGCACAGAAAATGGCTGTCCGCCTGGGCGGGGAAGGACTTGCCGCCTACTCTGGTAGCGGGCAAGGAAATGGGTACATGCAGCACAAACCGTGAGGGTGCCTTTTGCAGCCCTGCGCTCAGTCGCTTGTGCCATCTCTCCCGGCTCCTGGGTCTGGCACCCTGACTGCAACACCAGAGACAAAGTTCTGCCAAGGCAGAGTTTTTTCTTGGGGGGGGATCTCTCAGGTCAAAGCGATGGGTTGCGAGGGAGGGAGGGAGGTTGGGGGCGCATACCTGCCGGGGATCGTGCTCATATATAAAGTTGATGCAACAGAAAACCGTTTTGTATTCCTCCAAGTCGTCCTTCAGGGGGAGATTGTGGATCAGGACGGGGAAAATCTGTGGAAGGGGGTGAAACAAGGCGGGAGGGAAAAACGCTTGATGAAGGATGGTCGCCAAGTCCTTAATCGTAGGCCTTGCTGCTCTAAAACGTCTGCAGGGCCCCAGGTTGGCACAGTCTGTCCTATAGACTCTCAATCAGAGTTGGTGAAGAGCTGGGTGTTTTACTCCCCTTTTAAAGCAGCACTGAAGTAAAACGCGTGCCAACTTTTGTGCCCGTCCCTGGTTGCCGTGAGGTGGTTATACAGCCACAGATTTGACCATAGCCGCCTGACCCAAAGGGATTCTTCTACGCAGAGAGAGAAGAGGCCCAGGGGTCGGAGCAAGGGTCCTCGATTCTGGTCGAAACATTGGAGGATGGATGGTGGCTAACAGACTGAGGTTGAATCCTGACAAGACAGAAGTACTCTTCTTGGGGGACAGGGGGTGGGCAGGTGTGGAGGACTCCCTGGTCCTGAATGGGGCAACTGTGCCCCTGAAGGACCAGCTGCGCAGCCTGGGAGTCATTTTGGACTCACAGCTGTCCATGGAGGCGCAGGTCAATTCTGTGTCCAGGGCAGCTGTTTACCAGCTCCATCTGGTATGCAGGCTGAGACCCTCCCTGCCCGCGGACTGTCTCGCCAGAATGGTGCATGCTCTGGTTATCTCCCGCTTGGACTACTGCAATGCGCTCTACGTGGGGCTACCTTTGAAGGTGACCCAGAAACTACAAGTAATCCAGAAGGCGGCAGCTAGACTGGTGACTGGGAGCGGCCGCCAAGACCACATAACACCGGTCTTGAAAGACCTACATTGGCTCCCTGTACGTTTCCGAGCACAAGTCAAAGTGTTGGTGCTGACCTTTAAAGTCCTAAATGGCCTCGGTCCAGTATATCTGAAAGAGCATCTCCACCCCCATCGTTCTGCCTGGACACTGAGGTCCAGCTCCGAGGGCCTTCTGGCGGTTCCCTGGCTTCGAGAAGCCAAGTTACAGGGAACCAGGCAGAGGGCCTTCTCGGTGGTGGCACCTGCCCTGTGGAACGCCCTCCCACCAGATGTCAAAGAGAACAACAACTACCAGACTCTTAGAAGACATCTGAAGGCAGCCCTGTTTAGGGAAGCTTTTAATGTTTGATGTATTACAGTATTTTAATATTTTTTTGGAAGCTGCCCAGAGTGGCTGGGGAAGCCCAGCCAGATGGGGGGGGTTATAAATAATAAATTGTTGTTGTTGTTGTTGTTTATTACACTCCTTCGTTAATCGGGGTTGGGAAAAATGGTGACCACCCCCCTTGGCCAAGGGGATTGGACTCCCCACATCACCCAGAAGCACGGGGTGTGGGAAAGTCTGCCCCTCTCCTTCCCCCTCCCCATACTCTGCTGGAGCAGTTAAAAAGAACGTGTTAAGATAATCTACCATTCAGAAAGGAAGGCAGCTAATGAGCAAAACCCAGTGGTAAAGGAAATGCTTTGCAGAGCAAAGGTTGCATGTTTAATCTCCAGCTGAAAACAACCGTAAAGAGTCAGGGCTGCTCCTGAGACCTTGGAAAGCTCCTGGGAATTCGAGTCAACAGCACTTTCCTCTCCCCTCCCCATTCCTTTTTCCTTTCATGACGTGCACAGTAAATTGCAATGCCCCTGGACAGGGTTTGAATCTCTCTGTGCAGCATGTAAAAATGCTAAGCACTTAACATAAATGCTAAACATAATAAAATATTACTTTATTAAATAATAGTGATGGTGATGGCCGGAAATCAATCAAGGGCCTGGGTTTCAGGATCAGGCAATTTGGATTATCAGAAATAAAACCTCTTTTTTTTTTAATTAATAAAAGTTGATTGCCAAAACCCAATGGATAAGCAGAATGGCAAGTGGGTATTCCAAATCAACCAAGCCAGAATTAAAAAAGAAGTGGTGGCAAAGATTAACTGTTTCCAAAAGCATATACAGTGGTACCTCGAGTTACATACGCTTCAGGTTACAGACTCCGCTAACCCAGAAATAGTGCTTCAGGTTAAGAACTTTCCTTCAGGATGAGAACACAAATTGTGCTCCGGCGGCGCAGTGGCAGCAGGAGGCCCCGTTAGCTAAAGTGGTGCTTCAGGTTAAGAACAGTTTCAGGTTAAGTATGGACCTCCGGAACGAATTAAGTACTTAACCTGAGGTACCACTGTACATGCTGAAGCTAGTGCCTTCAATGTTAAGAAGGTGGTAGAAGATTCCTGTTTCGCACCTGCGCTACGGGGCCTTGCATACTGATCAGGATTCGCACTCGGCTCTCACCTGTCCGATGGGGACCCGTCCAGGATTGGCCATCACCATCCTTGCGACGGCCCCGCATACATTGTCGGCCACCCGGTTGTTACGCTCCTGAGAGATTATGTTGGACAAAAGCCCCAGGACTTTGGGGTAGTGTCTGTGGGAGAGCAAGCAAGGGAGTTAAGGAGAAAAAGGAAGAGTCGGGAGGGCGAGGGCCTGACATGCTGGCAGGAACTGGAGAGAGAGAGCGAGAAAGCCCAAAGGATTTTGCTGGATTCCCACGACCAGCAGCGTCGAGTTATTATACACTGCTTAACTGCCAAGATGGCTTCCAATCAGCTTTAAATACATATAACCAATTGCTATACAAACGGAAACAAAACGCAAGAAAACGATCTCATCGGAACATTGAAACGGTCGCAGTCAAGTTATATAATAAAACAATAGTCAGGAAAAGGCTTGTCTAAACAGGTGGGTCTCATCGGGGAGAGACTGGGGCCGTCCGTGGAAAAGCTGGTCATGGATTCACTTGATCAGTTTGATCGACAGAATTGGCATTATTATTACGACCGCTGCCACACAATCCCCGTTCCACATCTGTAAGAGCTCGGTTGTTTAGCGTGGCAACGTCTGCACTTAGGAACTCCCTGCCGATTCAGATCAAGCAGGCATTTTCGCTGCTTGACATTTTCGGCACGCTCTAAAAACATTCCTGTTTAGACATGCCCACCCAGACGCTTTAAAACGTTGAGGCAAATTTAATCTGTTTCAGCATTTCAGTGTTTCAAAGTAGGGTTCTGAATCTGCCTCAGTTTCACCATTTTATCATTTGTAGGCCACTTTGAGGGTGGTTTTTAAATGTATATATTTATACATACATACATACATACATACATACATACATGCACCCTCAAAGCGGCCTACACTTATTTATATTTATACATTTATACACTGCTGGATTTTATACACACACACACACATATGTAAAGGGACCCCTGACCACTGGGTCCAGTCGTGGCCGACTCTGGGGTTGTGGCGCTCATCTCGCTTTATTGGCCGAGGGAGCCGGCGTACAGCTTCCGGGTCATGTGGCCAGCAGGACTAAGCCGCTTCTGGCGAACCAGAGCAGCGCACGGAAACGCCGTTTACCTTCCCGCGAGAGTGGTACCTATTGATCTACTTGCGCTTGATGTGCTTTCGAACTGCTAGGTTGGCAGGAGCAGGGACCGAGCAATGGGAGCTCACCCTGTCACGGGGATTCGAACCACCAACCTTCTGATCGGCAAGCCCTAGGCTCTGTGGTTTAACCCACAGCGCCATCCGCGTCATATATATATATATATTCCAGCAATGTATAAATTCTATGAAATAAATGAATTAAATGACTAAGTGATAACCCTATCCCTTTGGTGTTTTCACTTTGTATTTTCATGCTGTGATTTTCAGATGAAGGGCAATATACTAAATGAATGAATACACCACAGGGATCTCGGCAGGCTGCTTTTCATTTTGATTACGCAAACACAATTGATACATAATTTGTTTTTAATAGCTTAGTATTTAAGCAACGCATTGCCTTTCTCGTAGTCCCTGAGGGGAGCCTTTCACAATATGCTGGGACGAGATAGATCAGACTTCCTTAAACTTGGCCCTCCAGATGTTTTGAGACTACAATTCCCATCATTCCTGACCACTGGTCCTGTTAGCTAGGGATGATGGGAGTTGTAGTCCCAAAACATCTGGAGGGCCGAGTTTGAGGAAGCCTGAGATAGATAGATAGATAGATAGATAGATAGATAGATAGATAGATGATAGATAGATAGATAGACAGACAGATAGATAGATAGATAGATAGATGATAGATAGATAGATAGACAGATAGATAGATAGATAGATAGATAGATAGATAGATGATAGATAGATAGATAGATAGATAGATATAGGCTGCTTTTCATTTTGATTAAGTATACACAATTGGTATATAATTTGTTTTTAATAGCTTAGTATTTAAGCAGTGCATTGCCGTTCTCGTAGTCCCTGAGGGGGGTCTTTCACAACAAAATGCTGGAAAATATATATATATGGGTGTCAGTGTCCCTTTTTTTGCCAACACCTTGAGAAATCCCCTCTGATTTTGCCTTCAAGGTACAGGTGAAACTCGAAAAATTAGAATATCATGGAAAAGTTAATTTATTTCAGTAATTCAACTTAAAAGGTGAAACTAATATATGAGAGAGACTCATGACATGCAAAGCGAGATATATCAAGCCTTTATTTGTTATAATTGTGATGATTATGGCGTACAGCTGATGAAAACACCAAATTACATCATACATTAGTTTCACCTTTTAAGTTGAATAATTGAAACAAATGAACTTTTCCACGATATTCTAATTTTTCGAGTTCCACCTGTGACACGATTCCAGATTCCGGCTCACTTCAGCCCAGGCTTCTATAAATGGCTTTTCTTCGTTTCTGTGGGGAATTGAAGGAAGCTTCCGGAATGTGTGCGGACTCTTCCTCGGCGGGCCGCGCCGGAAACCCGATCCCGGCCCCCTCCACCTCACGAAGCAAAGGATACTCATGCATGGCTTCCCCGCCATGCTCCGCCAGCACGCCCAGCCCGAAGACGGCGTTGCTGCGCACCTCCCGGTTGGCGTCGCGCGCCGCCCCCATCAGCACCGGCAGGAGGCGCGGCACGAAGGCGCTCGAGGCGCGGCCCAGGCCCTGCACTGCCTCCGCCATGGTGCCCACCGCGAAGGACCTGTCTGTGGAGGAACAGCTGGGCTTCTGCGGGGAGGAGGAAGGGGGCAGGATGAAGCGGAAGCGCAAAAATGAGGAAAATGCATTGTGTTGACTGGGTTTGATACATTGACAATAATTTCTGATCAAATCCCACAACCCTCTGCACCTCTGGCCATTTCCTCTACTGCCCATTTCTCTCTGCTTCACACGTCATGTACACAGCCCAGTTGCTTCGCCAGGCAGGCATCCTGGGTCATCAAAGACAGTGGGCAGTTTCTTTGATGTAGCTTTTCTGATACGATGGCCAGGAAACAGATCTCACCTGAAGGTGATAATGATCGCTGTCTTCCTGGCCATCCTCCTTATGTACATTGCTTATTTATTACCTCAGGGGTTGCCAAATGCACTCCTTTGTAGTTCTGTTCTGTTTTGTTTACCCCAGAAATATGCATGCTTAATTAGTTTTAGTAGTTTAACTTGTCCCCACGTGGGTTTGTTGAAATGCTCAGAGGAAATCTGATTGGTTCTTACAAACACTCTGTAAAAAGTTCTTTTGTGAATAAAACGACCTGGGCCAGGGGGTGGAAGAGAGATTATTACACACACCCTTCCCAGAGTCTTGCTGGTTCAAGCCTCTGTGTATATTCTTATTAATCAGAGTTCAATCCTTCCTTTACTTTCTGAACGCCTCACCCCACCTTTTGGGGCTGTGGGAGAAGGTGGGAAGCCATGCAAACTCTGGGGGAAATGTCCGGGGAAAGCATTACAAGGGTGCAAGCAGGGGTCAGATATGGCGGTGCGGAAATACTTTAGCAAACTAAAAAAAACCCACTCCTGTGAGGTAGGGTGAGGACTACAGCTGTCAAGGTTTTCCCTTTTTTAAAGGGAAATCCCCTTATTCCAAATAGGATTCCTCGCAAGAAAAGGGAAAAGTTGACAGCTATGGTTAGGCCAGCCTTTCTCAACCTGTGGGTCCCCAGATGTTGAACTACAAATCCCATTACCCCCAGCTAGCAAGGCCAGAGCTCAGGGATGATGGGAGTTGTAGTCCAACAACATCTGGGGACCCACAGGTTTAGAATTGCTGGGTTAGGCCTAGACCAGGCATAGGCAACCTTCGGCCCTCCAGATGTTTTCGACTACAACTCCCATGATCCCTAGCTAGCAAGGCCAGAGCTCAGGGATGATGAGAATTTTAGTCCAAAATATCTGGAGGACCAAAGGTTGCCTATGCCTGGCCTAGACACAGCGACAGGCCCAAGGCCTGAATTTTAAAAAACTGGGATTTCATTTCCCATAGCTCCTAGCACGAAGGCTTCAGGGTTTTTTTTAGGGAAGGAGGATTTAAACACTTTCTGAAGTTCATTGTAATCCGAAAAAAACCACAGGAGAGTTTTATGTATGTTACAGTCGCTGCCACAATTCCAATCGCAAAAGGTTGGAAGGGAGAGGATACCCCATTTAAATCAGACTGGCAAAATAAAATAAGAGAGTATGCCGAACTGGCGAGATTATCAGCAAGGTGAAGAGACATTACAGATGATCCCCCCCCCCCGAGAGTGGGATATATACAGAGTTTATGTAAAAGAACATTGTCAAAAGATCAATTTGTTGGCAGGTTTCGATTGAGCTTCAATGTGTAAATAGGATAATTGTATAAAATAAAATTTATAGTAAGTCAAATAATACGGAGAAAGTGAAGTTTAAGTGCATATTTTAGGAATTGAATTCAGGAATGCAAGGGGAAGATTGGAGGTCTTGAAAAATCTAATCACAAATGGATATAAACAGCATGCATTAGTTAAAGAATGATGAACCGCTTACTTTGTATTTTTCAATTTGTCTATATTATCTATTGTACACTTCTATGATAAAGTTTTCAATCCATAAAGCATTCAAACTGAATTAAAAAAACTGAAAATCCAGACAAAATAGTTGTTGAGGGGTATTTGTTTTTTGTCCAAAATCTAAAAAAAAAAAGTACAGGGTTTTTTTTTTGCTATTTTTTAGGAAATTTGCATGCCTGCAGGAAAAGGACTGTCTACTCTTAATTATGTAAGCTGCTGTGGGAGCCTTTTAAAGTTGAATAGCATGGCACAAATGCCCTGAAGTAGATAAATAAGGGCTGAGGTGTCCCGGGACCCGGGCTAAAGTAAATGGGAAGCCAAAGGAAGTCCCGGAGAGGGAAGGGGCAGGCGTCACTCACCATCTTATTCAGGAGCAGTGGCAGGAAGCCGGCGAAGTACGGAGCGAAGGCTTCTCCGCCAGCCGCTTCGGCCAGAGCCGGGATCACCTCACCGGCATACTCGATCAGCATGGAGTCATACTCCGCCTGGTTTTGGGAGAAGAAGAAGAAGAGTTTGGATTTGATATCCCGCCTTTCACTCCCTTTAAGGACTCTCAAAGCAGCTCACATTCTCCTTTCCCTTCCTCCCCCACAACAAACACTCTGTGGGGTGAGTGGGGCTGAGAGACTTCAGAGAAGTGTGACTGGCCCAAGGTCACCCAGCAGCTGCATGTGGAGGAGAGGGGAAGCGAACCCGGTTCCCCAGATTACGAGTCCACCGCTCTTAACCACTACACCACACTAGGAGAGACACAGAGCAGTGAGAGGAGGAAGCAGAGTTTTAGTGGGCAGGCTGAAACTTAGCGGAAGGGAATCTGCTCTGCATGGCAAAGGTCCCGAATTCAAATCCTGGGAGCATCTCCAGGCAGGGCTGGGAGAGAAAGAGACTCCCGTCTGAAAACCTGGAGAGCCACTGCTGCCGTTCAGGTAGACAATGCTGAGCTAGGAGGACCAACGATTTGTCCCTATGCTACTGTTTACATCAGCTGCTTCCTCTGAACCATGAGGACGGCAATCTTAAAGACTACAAGGCCCATAGCTCAGTGGCAGGGCATCTACCTTATGTTCTTGTAGGAAAGAAAAATAGAGAGAAAAAGAATTGAGCCGAGGTTCTCCGTCTTCCTCAGTTGCAGGCTAGGTGTGTTTTTCAAGGAGGAACGGATTGCTTTCAGACGAAGATTGGACAAGTATAATGATACAGTGGTACCTTGGTTCTCAAACGCCTTGGTACTCAAACAACTTGGAACCCAAACACTGCAGACCTGGAAGTAAGTGTTCAGGTTTATGAACTTTTTTTGGAAGCTGAACGTGCTCCGTTTTGAGTGCCACACTTCCGTTTTGAGTGTTACCCTGAGGTCTGTCTGTTTTTGCTATTTATTTTGCATTTTTCTTTTTGCATCTTTTTTTGTGACTGTGTGGAACCCGGTTCAGCTACTGATTGATTGACTGATTGTGTGACTGCAGTACATTGTTTATTGCTTTCATTTTATGGGTCAACAGTCTCGTTAGGTAGTAACATTCATGTTAAATTGCTGTTTTAGGGGTTGTTTTTAAAAGTCTGGAACGGATTAATCTGTTTTGCATTACTTTCTATGAGAAAGCACACCTTGGTTTTGGAACGCTTTGGTTTTGGAACAGACTTCCGGAACGGATTAAGCTTGAGAACCAAGGTACCACTGTACTTGGAATGCATTTATTGAAACCATAAGGGCTAGTGAGGGAAATATATATCAGGCTGCTGCGTCTGTTCTCAGAAGCCCACAAATTATAAGAGTTTAGAAGAAGAAAGGGGTTCTGGGGTCTGAGGCTGCTGATTGCTGGACTTACCACCTCATCACAATCTTCATCCTCGTCTTCATCCAGGCTGGGGTCCTGACAGACTGTCTGCAAAGGGAACACAAGGAAGAGAGTGTTTTTGAATAGGATTGCGGCATATACTGGCCTAAATGCGGCCTAGGACCCACGTACCTACAGGACCGCCTCTCCTGTTATGCCCCGCGGAGGACCTTAAGGTCCACAAACGACAACACCTTGGAGGCCCCAAGTCGCGAGGTGGTTAGATTGGTCTCAACTAGGGCCAGGGCCTTTTCAGCTGTGGCTCCGATCTGGTGGAACGCTCTGTCACAAGAGACCAGGGCCCTGCGGGACTTGACATCTTTCCACAGGGCCTGCAGGACAGAGCTGTTCCACCTGGCCTTTGGTTTGGACTCAGTCTGACCTTCATGTTTCCCTCCCCTTATGGTTTTGAACTATGGGCTACTATTAAAATGAGGCTGCATTTTAAACTGTATTTTAACCTGTATTTTAAATTGATTCCCCCCCCTATGTTTTTACTGTAATTTTACTGGTGTTAGCCGCCCTGAGCCTGGCTGTGGCCGGGGAGGGCAGGGTATAAATAATTTTTTAAATTATTGTTAGGGTTAGGGTTAAAAAATAATTTTTAACCCTATTAAAAAATCAAAAAATAATTTTTTAAATTATTGTTATTATTAAATACCCCTCCAAAAAAAAAAAGCCCCACTTCCACCCCATTTGTGTATGTCCCACTGCTTCCCCAAAATGCACTGCACTAATTTGAAATTTTATATACAGTGGTACCTTGGGTTAAGAACTTAATTCGTTCTGGAGGTCTGTTCTTAACCTGAAACTGAAGCACCACTTTAGCTAATGGGGCCTCCCGCTGCCGCCATGCTGCCGGAGCACAATTTCTGTTCTCATCCTGAAGCAAAGTTCTTAACCCGAGGTGCTATTTCTGGGTTAGCAGAGTCTGTAACCTGAAGCGCCTGTAACCTGAAGTGTCTGTAACCCGAGGTACCACTGTACTCATATAAAGCTTTTTTGGGGGTTCATCTCACCCTGACGCCCCCCCCCCCGAAGCCAAATCTGGCAGGAGCTGCCAGATTCACAGTCCGGTCAGCAGAAGTCACGAGGGCAAGCCTGAGTGGTGGAAAAGACTGGCCCCCAAGAGGGGGGAAAAAGGGGGAGAGCCCTGTAGAAATCTTTGCCCCAGCCTTCGCCAACCTGGAGCCCTCACAGGTATTTTGGAGAACAGCTCCCCTCCCGCCTCCCCACCTGAAGACTCACTTTTTTCTCCAGGATCTCCCGGATGACCTGGCACAGGTCCGTCAGCTGCCCGGGTGCACGGAGGGCCTCTTGCCGGCAGGTTTTCAGCACCCTCGCCAGGCTCTCCAAAATCTCCATCACCACCTGGCGCTCCTTGTCTTCCCGGATCCCTTTGATGTAAGCGGGCAGCACGGTGCACAGCAGCTGGAGGCGAGCTGCGGAAGGAAGGGAGGAGGAGGAGAAGGAGAAGGAGAAGGAGGAGAAGGAGAGTTTGAATTTGATATCCTGCTTTATCACTACCCTAAAGAGTCTCAAGGGGACGCGGGTGGCGCTGTGGGTTAAACCACAGAGCCTAGGACTTGCCGATTAGAAGGTCGGCGGTTCGAATCCCCGTGACGGGGTGAGCTCCCGTTGCTCGGTCCCTGCTCCTGTCAACCTAGCAGTTCGAAAGCACCTCAAAGTGGAAGTAGTTAAATAGGTACCACTCTGGCGGGAAGGTACCGTATTTTTCGCTCTATAACACGCACCTGACCATAACACGCACATCGTTTTTAGAGGAGGAAAACAAGGGAAAAAATATTCTGAATGAAACAGTGGACGTATCATTTTTGTGCTTCATGCTGTGGCCACAGACATGTGATCTGATGGTGAATTTGGGGTGACCCAATGCAAAAATCCTGAGAATCCCTGTGGATCCATGCTTTGTAACCACGTTTTTGCACCATTGCAGCCCCAGGCAACAGTGGGTGCGTGATTTTTTGGGGGGACAGGCTGTAGCCATGGACATGCTATGTGCTCTGATGGTGAATTTTGGCTGACCCAATGCAAAGATCCTGAGGATCCATGTGGATCCATGCTTTGTAACCACGTTTTTGCACCATTGCAGCCCCAGGCAACAGTGGGTGCGTGATTTTTTTTGGGGGGGGACAGGCTGTAGCCATGGACATGCTATGTGCTCTGATGGTGAATTTTGGCTGACCCAATGCAAAGATCCTGAGGATCCATGTGGATCAATGCTTTGTAACCACGTTTTTGCACCATTGCAGCCCCAGGCAACAATGGGTGTGTGATTTTGGGGGGGCAGGCTGTAGCCATGGACATGCTGTGTGCTCTGATTGTGAATTTGGGGTGACCCAATGCAAAGATCCTGAGGATCCATGTGGATCCATGCTTTGTAACCACATTTTAAGTGGGGAGGGAAGGAAAAACACAGAAAGCTAAGAATGCAGGAGAGGGCTATAACGTGAGGAAAGGAAGGCAAAAGTTTCCCCCACCCACCCACCCAAGCCAGCCAGCGTGCTCTCTCTCTCTCTCTCGCTCTCTCTCTCTCTCTCTCTCTCTCTCTCTCTCTCTCTCTCTCTCTCTCCCTCTCCCTCTCCCTCCCACCAGCATGACAGAAGAAAGCATTTTAACTGCATTAAGAACTATTTAGCAGCGAAACCTAAGCTTTGCCATCCCTTAAGAGGTACAGACATTGTAATCTTCCAGATCGCATGAATTTACAGGCAAAACACTGTTTAAGGATTTCATCCTTTTAAATGGAAGAAAGCATATTTGAATGCTGTGTGTCTCCAAAAACAAAAAGCAGGAAGTCAAATCAGAATTTTAAGCCGAACCTGTAATCTCTCTTCCCTTCACAAACATTGTTCCCTCCGGAGGAGGGAGAGGAATTAGAAAGACGCTCTGCTCTCCTCTCTTCTTGCCTGGAGGGGAGGGGCTTTCCCTGCTCTTTGTTCCGTTTGAGCAAACACAGTAACGAAACAGAGCAGGGTGGGCAGTAAGACCCTGAGGCAGAATGCAGGAAAGCAACAGCTTCCTCTCTCACGGAGCTCCCTTCTCCCTGAAGCGCGGTTTGATTTTTGCCTCATTTTTCGGCTCCAGGGACCACACATTCGCTGCATAACACGCACAGACATTTCCCCTTCCTTTTTAGGAGAAAAAATCTGCGTGTTATAGAGCGAAAAATACGGTAAACGGCGTTTCCGTGCGCTGCTCTGGTTCGCCAGAAGCGGCTTAGTCCTGCTGGCCACATGACCCGGAAGCTGTACGCCGGCTCCCTTGGCCAGTAAAGCAAGATGAGCGCCGCAACCCCAGAGTCGGCCACGACTGGACCTAATGGTCATGGGGCCCCTTTACCTTTAGGAGTCTCAGTGGCTAACATTCTCCTTTCCCTTCCTCCCCCACAACAAACACTCTGTGAGGTGAGTGGGGATGAGAGACTTCAGAGAAGTGTGACTGGCCCTAGGTTACCCAGCAGCTGCATGTGGAGGAGCGGGGAATCGAACCCGGTTCATCAGATTACGAGTCCGCCACTCTTAACCACTACACCACACTGGCTCATGAGGACTAAGAGGGGCTGGATCCAGCATCCTGGCCCCACCAGATGCCCCGCCTGGAAGGAGGGCACGAACGCAGCTGTGTTTTCAAAAGCAGACGGGCCAGAGCTCGGTCGGTGGAGCAGAAGGCTCCAGATTCGATTCCCCCCACGGCAACTTCAGGTAAAAAGATTCCCTGCCGGAAATCCTGGCAGTTGGTGCAGACAACATGGTCTGACTTCACAGATGACAGCTTCCTATGTTACTGTTTACGCCAGCCCCTTTCTCCAGATCCAAGAAGACTAGAATCTTGTTTTACTCTTAGCTCAATGGCAGGGCCCGGGTTCAGTCCCCGATGGCACCTTCACGTACAGCAGGGAAAGATGCCGGGCTGAATATCTGGACAACCGCGGCAGCCAGTCAGGGTAAGTGAGACAAGATGGACTTCTTATAATAAAATTTCGGGGGTTGGCTTTTACAGCCCAGCTCCCCAGCACTCCCAAGCCCATTATGGGTCAGAGGAGAATGGATAGAGGCAGGATCCAACAAAAAGCAAGGCAGGTCTTAATTTCCCTGTTGCCACGGAGTTCCCTCCCCGCTTGCAAGGAGGGGAGGACCCAGAACAAAGGTGTGCAAAGACTTCAGAAATTGCCCAGCCCAAAGAGCACCAAAAAGCACCATACGACTGTCGCGGAAAGAGGCAGAAATTTGAGTGTGTGGCTTGTCTCCTGTCTTCCAAGATACCTGATAATATTTGCCAGTTGCCTTATCTTGGCCAGTCTGGGCCATTCTTTTGAGATGGCAATTACTTTGGTTCATGAATCCATTTCACGGATCAACCTCAATCATACATAAAAGCTGCTCTTTTGACTCGCACAGAAGGATAGTTGCTGGACAGTGGCCAATTCACTTCAGTAAATTTCTCAGTTTACAGGATTTATAAGCGAAAAGAAAGGTTTTTCCAAGACACTTTCTTCTACTGCAGAGAAAATTAAGAGAGCCAAGGTGGCTTTGGGATTGCTCTGTGAGCTCAAATACAGTGATCCCCCCCCCCAGGGAATATTTCCTAATTTTTGAAGGGTGAAAGGTTGGTTTTCTGGGAAGTGTGTGCCCCTATGTATGTGCACCTTGAATACCCGAAGGAGCATCTCCACCCCCATTGCTCAGCCTGGACACTGAGGTCCAGCACCTTCTGGCGGTTCCCTCATTGCAAGAAGTGAGGCTACAGGGAACCAGACAGAGGGCATTCTTGGTAGTGGCGCCCGCCCTGTGAAATGCCCTCCCATCAGATGTCAAAAAGATAAACAACTACCTGACATTCAGAAGACATCTTAAGGCAGCCCTGTTCAGGGAAGTTTTTAATATGTAACGCTGTACTGTTTTTTTAACACTTGATTGGGAGCCGCCCAGAGTGGCTGGGGAAACCCAGCCAGATGGGTGGGGTATAAATAAATTATTATTATTATTATTATTATTATTATTATTATTATTATTATTAATTTGTTATAACAGATCAACAGTCTAGCTCTGCACATGGCAACTTCCTGTGTTGCTGCAAACCTTCCAAGCTATATATTGTCCGCCTGAGCCTTCTGCAGTTTGTGTCCCATCCCTAATTTGCGGGCTCCTGTGCTCCTTTTGCTAAGGTAGGTTCTTCCTGCGTCAAAGTCGTGCTTCAAGGTCATTCTTGGACCAACACAGTTAAAAAACAAACACACCATCCCTGAGGTCACTCACCGGCGCTGTGAGGTTCGGACGGATCCCGCTCGCAAACCCGGTGTAAGGAGATGCAGAAATGTCCCAGGGTGTTGAAAGCAGATTTCCGGACGTTGATGTTGGGATGCTGGGAAGAGAAGGAGGAGTCAGGCCTTTTGCTGTGGCCCTTATATCTGCTTTGCTACCACTAACAAAGAAAACGTCCTGCACAGCTGAGGACCAGGCTACCCGAGAGACGGCATCCATCCCTTGCAGACCCTCTGCAGGAGACTTTCTCCTTAAAGCCCCCCAAAATATCAGAAGCTTGTGCCACGGTTAACACAGAGCAGGGCCTCCAGGGTGGCAGCCCCTGTTCTGCACAATACCATCCCTACTGAGATACGACAGGCGCCCCCTTGTGGCACTGTCCGGAAGCAACAGTGCGCATTTTTGTTTTGAGCTGGGTGAAAATGTTATCCACCTTTGGTGCCCTTGCTCTGTATTGCGTTTGTACCGCTCTTAAGCTGTGGAGCTTTTTGAGGTACTGTTTATCAACCCCGTTTCAGCTGTAAATCATCCTGCGATGAGTGCGAAATTAAAGCAGAGGGTCATACATCCGTGAAGAATTATAACCCACCCACTTGCACTTATTCCAGGTCCCTAAATTTAGGGCCGCCATATGTCCGAACGTATCCAGGATTCGTCTGCCAGAAATAGTGTCCAAGCAGAAGTTTTCGAAATCAGTTCAAACGTCTTGGAAAATCTGACAGTTGGAAGATGATTTTTTGGCGAATTTCCTAAAAAAACTTTTTTTTTGTGATTTCGCAACAACTTTGGCCAAAACAAAAAAAAAGCTCTTCTCTGCCACACCCCTGATAGCCTTTGACTGAGGGTTCCTCCCTCCCAGCTGTTATGAGAAGCAGGTGCCCCTGCTTCTCATAACATATTCTCATTTATATATACCGTATTTTTCGCTCTATTGGACGCACTGGACCATAGGATGCACCGGAGCATAGGAGGAGGAGAACAGGGGGGATTTTTTTCTTCTTGTTCTCCCCCTCTAAGCCAAGGTGCGTTCTGTGCGTTCACCCGAAGCCTCCAGAGCCCAGCGGGAGTTCCCGCTGGGCTCTGGAGGCTTTGGGTTCCTTTGGGGCTGGCGGGGGGGGGCAGAGCGCTGCTTTCCCCCACTGCCAGCCTCCAAACCAGGTCGGGAACTCCCGCTGAGCTCCCAAGGCTTGCGGATATCTACCTGAAGCCCGGGGCATGCTGCTTAGCACACCCCAGGCTTCAGGATGCAGGCTGCTATCCGCAAGCCTTGGGAACCCGGCGGGAACTCCCGCCGGGCTCCCAAGGCTCGCGGATAGCTTCCTGAAGCCTGGAGAGCGAGAGGGGTCAGTGCGCACCGACCCCTCTCGCTCTCCAGGCTTCAGTAAAAGCCTGCATTTGCCCCATAGGACGCACACACATTTCCCCTTCATTTTGGGAGGGGGAAAAGTGCGTCCTATAGAGCGAAAAATACGGTATATGAATGAAGTATAATGCCCAGATCAAGGGAAGTAATAGTCTCACTCTATTCTGCCTTGGCCAGACCACACCTGGAATACTGTGTCCAATTCTGGGCGCCACAATTTAAGGAGGATATTGACAAGCTGGCAGGTGGGCAGAGAAGGGCAACCAAGACTATAAAGGGTCTGGAAACCAAGCCTGATGAGGAACGGTTGAGGCAGCTGGGTAAGAGGAGGCTGAGAAGGAGATATGATAGCCACATGGAAGCTGCAGCCAGCTTGTTTTCTCCCACTCCAAATGTTAGCTCCCAAAACAGTGGATTCAAGTTGCCGGAAAGGAATTCCGACTCAACGTCAGAAAGAACTTTCTGACAGCAAGAGCTGTTTATCAGCTGCCTAATTCAGTATAGGGACGCGGGTGGCGCTGTGAGTTAAACCACAGAACCTAGGACTTGCTGATCAGAAGGTCGGCGGTTCGAATCCCCGCTATGGGGTGAGCTCCCGTTGCTCGGTCCCTGCTCCTGCCAACCTAGCAGTTCGAAAGCACGTCAAAGTGCAAGTAGATAAATAGGTACCACTCCGGCGGGAAGGTAAACGGTGTTTCTGTGCGCTGCTCTGGTTTGCCAGAAGCGGCTTAGTCATGCTGGCCACATGACCCGAAAGCTGTATGCCGGCTCCCTCGACCAAAAAAGCGAGATGAGCACCGCAACCCCAGAGTCGGTCACGACTGGACCTAATGGTCAGGGTTCCCTTTACCTTTACCTTTTAATTCAGTATAACGTAGCTTCTGTAAGGGACTGCTGCCCTACAGGTGTCCAGAAAACATCTCCCCCCTCTTTCCAGGTCCAAGCCTCTCCTTCCCCCCGTCAAAGTTTGCCCCCTGCTCCACTTTCCCCAAACATACTCCCCCCCCTGGCCCCCCATTACCTCCAAGAGCACAAAGACTTCCTGGAAGCATTTCTCCAAGAAAGGCAGGAAGACCACGCTGAGATGGAGACAAAAAGAGCTAAGTTAAGTATTGTTGGCAAGGACATCCCAAATGCCTTTGGGGAAGTATTTTTATATGCAACGGCTGCAGCTCAGACTTTGGTGGCAAAGGAGTGGAAGGAAGAAGAAGGCCCGACAATAACAGATTGCATAACAAGCTACAAAAATTTGCTGAAATGGCGCAGTTGACAAATAGCCTGAGAGGCAATTCAAAACAAAAAATTATGGAAAAGTGGGATAGATATAAGATATATGTTCAAAAATACAGTCAAGGTTCGCTATCTATGCTAGCATTCGATTGACGTGGGAGAGAGACTGAGTTGAGAAATAAGACCAAGGGTACATATTGATATAGGGATGTATTAGATAAAATGTAAATAAATATGCAATAATAAGAGTACATTCATTTGTAAAAAAGGAATATACAACGGGATGGACAGGAAATCCAAAGTGTTGGTACATATATGATTTTGGAATCGTTTTTTGTCCTTGTTTCTTTTCTTTAGGTATATAAACTTTGTATACATGCTGAAAATTATAATAAGCCTTGTGATGTAATATGATAATGTTTACCGGTGTAACATAAGAACGTTAATAAATAAATAAAACTCAAAAAGGGGGGGGAGATGTAGACAAAAAGAAAGCAGGGGGGAAGGTTAGCGCGAGATCTAAGCTCTCGTCTCTACTTGGGGAGGGCTCTGGGGTGGGGAATATCTGCCTCACCGGACGATGCCGCTGGACTCCGATTCCCATCAGCCCCAGTCACAGGGGTCAAAGGGCAGAGGTGGTGGACCCAGGTAGACACATGGCTTTGCCCTGCACTGAAGGAACTGCGCCCGTGTGAGGATACTTGACGGAGCACCCTTCCCTGTGCAGACCCCTCTAATCCTACTGTCATCACATAAGCAAGACCAGATTTTTTGGACGCCTGAGGACACCAACTGGGATCTGCTCCAAACATCTACTGAACACACTTCTGTTTGTCAACACAAGCCAGTTTCAGATCGTCCTGCTGTGTGTTTTCCTTTCGATATTTTGTTGGGCTGGATATAAAATCTTAAAACTATCTAAGGTGGAGGGGTAGTGTCCCTGCTGCTCCCCCTCCTTCCACCAACTGCCCCGGAGGGGCTCTTCAGGTTTTTACTTTTTATTTATTTATTTTTTAATTTTTTTAAAAAAAATTATTTAGCATAATTATTACAAAATACAAGCAAAATACTGCAAATACATACATACATACATACATACATACATACATACGTATTTGATAAGCACACATATATAAAAAAGAACAAAAAAGAAAAAAGGAAGAAAAGTAAAAAGAAAAAGAAAAAATAAGGAAAAAATTGGAAGAATTTCTTCCAAATTTATTCTACAAATATTTCAATAATAAAATTTCATTGATTGACTTCCATTGCTTACACTGCACTTCCTACATACATTTTAAGCAAAACTGCTCTTCAGGTTTTTAAAGGGCGGAAGCTTCTCCCCCTGTTGTCATTTCCTTGCATACCCCAAGGTCTGTTACTGATGGGTCAGTCACACTGGTTGTCTCCAAGCCACTCCAGCACAAAATGAGTCTCTCTCTCTCTCTCTCTCACACACACACACACACACACACAAACACGATCATACCTGGCTCCAGTGGCAATCTCTCCCAGAGCCACACAGGCGTCGTCCTTTTCATCCATGAAGGCGCTTTCCACGTTCAACCTGCAAGAGAACCGGAAGCGGAGGGAAGAAGAGGAAATTAGGGATCAGCCTCCTCACAAACGACAAACTCAGATATTCAAGTCCCAAGACAGAATCTCACGCCTAGAGCATTCTCCAAGGCCTAAATTATCCTTAATTACAGTGGTACCTCGGGTGGCAGACGCTTCAGGTTACGGACGCTTCAGGTTACAGACTCCGCTAAACCAGAAATAGTGCCTCGGGTTAAGAACTTTGCTTCAGGATGAGAACAGAAATCGCACGGTGGCGGCAGCAGGAGGCCCCATTAGCTAAAGTGGTACCTCAGGTTAACAACAGTTTCAGGTTAAGAACGGACCTCCAGAACGAATTAAGTTCTTAACCTGAGGTACCACTGTACTTACATCCTGCCCTCAGTCTTGCAAGACATCATGGCGGTGGGCAGCAATGTAAAAACCTCTCAAAGAAATGCAAAACGATAGCTAAAATGAACATGCTGCTCAAGAAGAAATGTCAGCTGCGTAGGCCTGTTGGCATAAAAATTTTCTCAAGAGACGCCTGGGAGTCAAAAGCAAGGGGAGCTTACCAAATCTCTGCTGAAAGAGCTCTCCACAGCATGGGAGTAGAGACACTAAATGCTTGACTTTTGGTTGAGGACAACAGTGCTCCTCCGGACGATTTCAGCGATCTGGCTGGGATATAAGGGCCTCAGGTGGCTTTTAAGGAGCCTGGGACCCATTCTGAAGGGGATCAACCTGAATTTGAGGTGCCCCATTTTATAGATTGTTTTTTTGGGGGGCTCACATGTTGGGTTGATCCTCCATACAATAAAAGCTCCCGAATAAATAAAAACCACTGCATAGGCAAAATTAGGGTCAGGAGAAAGGTTGCTACACAATCTTGGGGAGAGCGAGACCAAGCAGACAAGCACCGCCGGCGACTTCAGAAATGGCCTCTCAAAGTTACGAATTTCTCAGCTTTTACACCTAAATCCATCGCTCCAGGCCCATAAAATCTCCCAAATCAAATTCCATCAGTCTTCAGAGAGCTAACATCTACATAAAGGGTTTTTCCAAAAAAAAAAAAAAAAAGCCACCAAAATGGCCTTTTAAAAAACTTCCACCTTTGCTTATTTAAAGAGTTAAGTTTCCAGTCCACATGGATGCCAAGGAAGGATTCTGAAACACGAAGGGCTCATCCTGCAGCCTGCTCCAGGCTATGAAACCAGAGGGTTTTTTGTTTTTCTGAGGGAGGACCGTTTAAATATGGCTTTGTGCCTCTCACCTGGAACATCCCCTCCCAAAACAAGGGAGATGCCGGCCTTCCTAAAATCCCTCCCACAATGGTCACCTACCCCGAAAGCTCAGAGATGTCGTCTTCGTCTTCGTCCAGGCTCTCCTCTCCTTCCACCTCCGCCTCATCCTCTTCCTCATCATCAAACAGGAGGAAGGAGTTTCCAGTTCCACCGTGAGACTGGGCAGAGAAGACGACAAATGCGGGAGAGGTGAGGAGGCGATTAGGAGACACAAGAGGCGTCATTTTGAGATGCGGGAGAATATGAATTCTCTTGCAATGCTCATCGTTCGACTCTGCAGCCACCCAGGAGCTCAGGAAGCCCAGAAAAGCTAGAAAACTAGGCAGCGGCAGCCGCCGCGATACTGAGCGTCACAAACCTCTCTGCTTACACGTCACAGCACTGAGGTCTCAAAGTTTACAGCTTCTCTCTCTTGCACACAACACAGGTCATTTGTGTCCCTTGGGACCAGTGGGGTGGAAAGCAGGGAGACAAAGGGCAGGGGACGCAAGAAGGTAGACTGGTGGGGCAGGGGAATAGGCCAGGATCAGTGGGGAAGTGGTCCATTTGCCCCAACAGACCAGTTTCCAATGCCTCCCCTGCCCCCAGGAATATGGACATATTTAGGTTTTAAACATGCAATATTGAGCCAGCAAGGCATATGTTTAATATCATTGGTCATTTACAGCATTGAAGCAATGGGCAGTGGATGTGGGTGGCGCTGTGGGTTAAACCACAGAGCCTAGGACTTGCCGATCAGAAGGTCGGCGGTTCGAATCCCCGTGATGGGGTGAGCTCCCGTTGCTCGGTCCCTGCTCCTGCCAGCCTAGCAGTTCGAAAGCACGTCAAAGTGCAAGGAGATAAATCGGTACCGCTCCGGCGGGAAGGTAAACGGCGTTTCCGTGCGCTGCTCTGGTTCGCCAGAAGCGGCTTTGTCATGCTGGCCACATGACCCAGAAACTGTATGCTGGCTCCCTTGGCCAGTAAAGCGAGATGAGCGCCGCAACCCCAGAGTCGGTCACGACTGGACCTAATGGTCAGGGGTCCCTTTACCTTTACCTAGCAATGGGCAAAGTGGCGTTATACCCTTTAAATTTGTTTGAAGCTTATTGTTTTGACTTTTAAAAAATAAATTAAATGGGATGGAGTGGGGGGAGTATACACCGACTTCTGATGACAGGAGTCTCAGCCCACGAAAACAGATGCCAAAATGCTCACCTCAACGCCCTCTGTGGATTTGAGAGAATAGATCATAAGAGTGGTGATGCGAGGCAGGTACGGCTCAATGGCGTCCTCCAGGACGGTCGCGAGAGAACCAAAAAGGCTGTACCTGGCGCAAGAAAGGATTCTTTTGAGCTCCTGTCTGTCTCACTGGCCTCCATTTTAAAACAGGTTGAGGTGGCAGATGCGAAGCTTGCCTCTCTTGGCCAGAAACCCCAAAATTCACGAGTGGTTTGTTTTTTTGCCAGCCTCCCAGATATTTTTACGACGACTCCAATCATCCCCCAACATCCCAAGGGCGTATGATCAATAGCGGCAGAGAGGCTTCTTCCAAGAGGAGATAAATGCATCTATAACTCAAGAGTCACCAGCTGTGCTGGCTGGGGGATGATGGGAGTTGTAGTCCCAAACATCTGAGGTGAAGGCCGGCTTGTGCCATTTATCACATAACCCTGGCTCTTGTGGTCTTCCCACGTGGCTGGGGAAACCCAGCCAGATGGGTGGGGTACAAATAATAAAATTCTTCTTCTTCTTCCCCAACTTTCACTCTCACTTTAACCATTTAAGCCTCAACTTTTTGCCTGTTCCCCTCAGAGAACTACAATTCCCAGAGTGGTTCAGCCATCAATCCCTTTGCGCAGGGAACTCTGGGAAATGTAGTTGTGCGAGGAGAACGGGGGGGGGGCAGGAATCTCCTAGCAACTCTCAGCACCCTTGGCAAACTACAGCTCCCAGAATTCTTGGGGAGGGCAGCCATGATATAATCTTGCTTCAAACGTACGACGTGGAGGTGGCCCAGATGACATCTTCTGCAATGCTGGATTCATTCCATGCTTGCTAAACCGCCTGTTTTTGCTCTCCTTCGCATTCCTCGATCCGCTTTGTAAACTGCTTCTTTGCCCTCCGCCCTTCAAAGTTTTGCACTTTGATAAGAAGCGGGCGCCTGTCAGCGACGCTCTGGCTGCCTCTCGTTGTGGAAAGGCGGCAGATAAATAACTGAGTCAACCAAACAGCGCAGTACAGTTTCGTATAACGGGGATTGAACCCGTGGCTTTCTGATGCTAAAAGGCCTCGGTCCAGTATACCTGAAGGAGCATCTCCACCTCCATCGTTCTGCCCGGACACTGAGGTCCAGCACCAAGGGCCTTCTGGCGGTTCCCTCCCTGTGAGAAGTGAGGTTACAGGGAACTGGGCAGAGGGCCTTCTCGGTGGTGGCACCCGCCCTGTGGAACGCCCTCCCATCAGATGTCAAAGAGAAAAATAACTACCAAACTTTTAGAAGACAGCTGAAGGCAGCCCTGTTTAGGGAAGCTTTTAATGTTTAATAGGTTATTGTATTTTAGTGTTTTGTTGGAAGCCGCCCAGAGTGGCTGGGGAAACGCAACCAGATGGGCGGGGTATAAATAATAAATTATATTATTATTATTATTATTATTATTATTATTATTATTATTATTATTATTCTGAATTCAACTCTCAAGCAACAGGCCCCTTCCCCAAAAACCTTCCACTACAAATCTCCACCAATGTCAGCTGCGAGGAGGATGCTGGGTCCTAACGTTCCCATCGGGAGCGGACGCCGCCTGGTTTGACTTACGTGCACCGCCTCAAGTCCGGATCGTCCACTTTGTCGCACAGCTCCAGCCCGAGCTGGCAGCATTTGTTGGCCAGCGGCAGAAAGACCTCCCTGTCCATGACGCTGGCGAGGACGGCCAGAGTCTCTGCGGGGGAAGCAGAGGGCGAGGCGTGAGAAGCAGAGGCTTCTGGGAAATGGGGGCGTTCCCCCGTTAATAGCAATTCTAGCGATTTATACCCAACCCTGTGCCTGCTGACCATCGAGCCAGCGTTCGTGAGGAAAACTAAATTACCCAGCTATTCCAAGTGGGCGCTTTGTCAGGTTTGCCATCTTGACTCTCAAGGCAGGCTTTGTTATTTTTAGCAGCTGTGTCGTAACAACCCGAAATTCAACCGGGAAGGCTTTCTGAAGGCAGCCCTGTTTAGGGAAGCTTTTAATGTTTAACAGAGCACTGTATTTTAATACTTTGTTGGAAGCCGCCCACGGTGGCTGGGGAGACCCAGCCAGATGGGCGGGGTGTAAATAAAATTATTATTATTATTATTATTATTATTATTATTATTATTATTCCTTGGAAGGAAGCTCTGCCTGTTGAATTTCCGTATCACGTAGCTGCTTAAGAAACCCTGTTGAGGGTGATTTCAAACGCTCAGAGGAGACCTCAGAAATGAGCCAGCAATTAAATGGAGCTTTAAAACGCCCCCTTCTTGGGCAAAGAGAATGAGCACAGATTTGTCGAGTTGGAAGGGACCCCTAGGGGTCATTGAGTCCAACTCCCTGCAACGAGGGAAGCTTTCCCCTGAAGTGAAGCTCAAACCCAAGCCCAAGCCTCGGGCTCTATTGACTGAGCTAAACCTGTAAACAGACCCTTGCTTATTTCTCTTTCCCTTCATGATCCCTAAAGCGGGTTGGCTCAGAAGCCAGTTACAACGAGTTCAACAGGACCGCAAAGTGTGACCAGCTCAAAATTGCAATGGCAAACCTAGACAGCATCTTAAAAAGCAGAGACATCACCTTGCGGACAAAGGTCCATATAGTTAAAGCTATGGTTTTCCCAGTAGTGATGTATGGAAGTGAGAGCTGGACCATAAAAAAGGCTGATGGCCGAAGAATGGATGCTTTTGAATTCTGGTGCTGGAGGAGACTCTTGAGAGTGCCATGGACTGCAAGAAGATCAAACCTCTCCATTCTGAAGCAAATCAGCCCTGAGTGCTCACTGGAAGGACAGATCCTGAAGCTGAGGCTCCAAGACTTTGGCCACCTCATGAGAAGAGAAGACTCCCTGGAAAAGACCCTGATGTTGGGAAAGATGGAGGGCACAAGGAGAAGGGGACAACAGAGGACGAGATGGTTGGACAGTGTTCTCGAAGCTACCAGCATGAGTTTGACCAAACTGCGGGAGGCAGTGGAAGACAGGCTCTGGTCCAGGGGGTCACGAAGAGTCGGACACAACTAAACGATGAAACAACAACAAACAACTTTGAAGAGAGAAAGGGGGTGGGGGGGAAATCTCGCTTACCCACAGACTGGATCTGGACCGGCCTGAGATCCTCCCGGGTGGTGAGCAGGTACGCTGTCAGGTGATCCATGATCGCTTGGAAGTATGGCAAGAGGGATCCCCGGGCGGCCTGGGCTGGAAAGAGAAGGGTAAGCTTTGTGCCCAGGGAACGGACCCAGAATTTCCAGATCCTGCCAGATCTAGGCTGTGTTTGTGTGCCAAGGCGCCACCCACTTAATTCTGATAGGCACCTGCCCAAAAATACCCCTCTGGAAAAGCAAAGGCTGGCAACGGAACGGTTAGCACAACAAGAAGAAAAAGGTGCAGTGCTTTGTAACCACGTTTTTGTGCCATTGCGGCCCCACGAAACAGTGGACGCGTGATTTTTTTGGTGCAGGCTGCAGCCATGGACATGCTATGTGATCTGATGGTGAATTTGGGGTGACCCGATGTAAAAATCCTGAGGATCCATGGGCTTTTCCGTCCCCCCCTCCCAGGCAGCCTCCTTTATCGCTAGCATCCCTTATCTCCCTCCCGATCCCTTACCAATCAGCTGCTTCCTTTCAACACTCCCTTCCCTCTTGTTTGCCTTAGTGACTTTCCTTACCTGGAGCAGTTTTTTGCTCCTCCTTTTCTTCTAATTTCTCTCCTTCTTGCTTTAGTCTTCCTGTTTCCTCTCCTTGCAAGTTCGCTGCCTTTACCTCCCACCTCCGAGGCAGCCTCCTTTATCGCTAGAGTGCCTTATCTCCCTCCCAATCACTTGCCGATCAGCGGCTTTGTTTCAACACCCACTTCCTTCTTTTTTTTAAAAAAAAAAGCGCGATCTGCTTTTTGCCCCTGGGCAATTCGGCTCCAGGGACCATGCATTCGCTCCATAAGGCACACAGACATTTCCCCTTATTTTTTAGGAAGAAAAAAGTGTGTCTTATGCAGCGAAAAATGCGGTAATTTGCCTACAAGAGACACATATAGCAAAAAAAAATAATCAGAGAGTCCTAATAAATAAAAAATTAGGGATGGATTTTATCACTGCTGATGATACCACCTAATTAAGATTCCACCTCAACATTAGGAAGAACTTCCTGACAGTAAGAGCTGTTCGACAGTGGAATTTGCTGCCAAGGAGTGTGGTGGAGTCTCCTTCTTTGGAGGTCTTTAAGCAGAGGCTTGACAACCATATGTCAGGAGTGCTCTGATGGTGTTTCCTGCTTGGCAGGGGGTTGGACTCGATGGCCCTTGTGGTCTCTTCCAACTCTATGGTTCTATGATTCTATGATACCAAAAAACGAGGTGTAGTCTTTTACATTAAACCAACACTAGAGCCCAAACTGATTAACAAAGACAAGAAAAGGGAGAATGTTAATAGTCCAAACTACCGTATTTTTCGGTCTATAGGACGCACTTTTTCCACTCCAAAAATGAAGGGGAAATGTGTGTGCGCCCTATGGAGCGAATGCAGGCTCCTTGGCTTCAGTGATAGCAACGCGAAGCCTCAAGCGCAGAGGGAGAGCTCCCCCCGCACTCTGGAGGTTTCGCGCTGCTTTCGCTGAAGCCGCCCGAAGCCCCCAGAGTGCAGGGAACTCCTGCTGCACTCCGGGGGCTTCAGGCAGCTATCCGCTAGCCTTCGGAGTGCGGCAGGAGTTCCCGCCGCGCTCTGAAGGCTTGCAGATGGCCGCCTGAAGCCTGAAGCCCCTGGAGCACAGTGCAGACTCCCGCCGCGCTCCGAAGGCTTGTGGATAGCCGCCTGAAGCCTGGAGAGCGAGAGGGGTCGGTGCACACCGATCCCTCTTGCTCTCCAGGCTTCGCTTCACTGGAGAGGCGCTGAACACCTTTCCCTCTCTGCGCAACGTCCCTTCAGCGAAGCAGGAGGAGAAATGGAAGGGGCTCCGTTTCTCCTGCCGCTTCACTGAAGGGGCGCTGAGCAGAGAGGGAGAGAATTTTTTTTTCCTGTTCTCCCCCTCCTATGGTCCGGTGCGTCCTATAGAGCGAAAAATACGGTAAACTTCGGGGGAGAATGTGTATTTGGTAGGAATTTATGCGCCTGGCGCTCTCTCTCCATCACCTGCTCCCGCGACGATTAATTCTGCTCGCTACCTGGGCAGAACAGACATTTCCGCACCACCACAGGCCTGAACAAATGGCGCCTGGGACTGCCCTTCCGACGAAGCTCAGGGTTTTATCTTCGTGAGCCCACTAGCAACCCCCTCCGTGATCCCAAGGATCATTGGCTGGTGGTGGGTGCAGTGAATGGGGCTTCCTCCTTCCAGGGACGCTACCCCCCCAATTATAATACAGCGTCTGATCCGTCTTCTCCAAGATTCAAGATCAAGGGTCCACCTCCAGGTGCACGCATACCTATGGCCCCAATGGCGCTAACCGCCAGCTCCTTGACGCGGGGGCTGCCGGGGGAGCTCAAGGTGGCCAGCATCCGCTCCATCAGGGCCGGGAGGTAGGGGGAGATCTTGCCTTCTGCAAGGAAGAAAAAAGGACCGATATATGAGTGAGAGAGAGAGAGAGAGAGAGAGAGAGAGAGAGAGAGAGAGAAATGGTGATGGGGTGATAGGGGAACATAGAATCATAGAATTGTAATAATAATAATAATAATAATAATAATAATAATAATAATAATAAATAAAATTTGTTTATACCCCGCCCTCCCCAGCCAAGACCGGCTAAAACACGCTTTTAAACAGCCCTGGTTCCCCCCTCAAAGAATCCTGGGAACTGTAGTTCGTTAAGGGTCCCAAGAGCTGTTCGGAGAGTCCCTGCCCCACAATTCCCCTCACAGAACTACAATTCCCAGAGTGCTCTGGGACGAGGGACTGATCATTAACCCCCCCCCCCGGGAATTGCAGCTCTCGAGGGGAATAGGGGGCCTTCCCTTAGCGCCCTTGACAAACTACAGCTCCCAGAATTCTTTGGGGGAAGCTGTGACTGTTTAAAGTGGCACGGCAGTGCTTTAAACGCAAGGGGCGAACGTGGCCTAAGTCATGGGATTTGCATGCTCAGGGTTCAGGGCGGGAACGGAGGGGGTGTGGTTGGAAAAAGCCGGCCCAACCGGTCAGGAATCCTCACCCAGGTTCTCCACAAAGTTCTCCAGGGCGTAGTAAGCTTTGGCCATGTGACTCGTGTGAGCCAACTGGACGCCTTCCAAGTAGCGCAGAAGCAGAGGCATGATGTCATCGGAGTAGCGGGCGATGTCAGGCTTGGGGGAGAGAGACAGGAGTGGAAACACAGAGGGAAAAGTTGCTCCTTCCCCCCCCCCCCCTTTTAAAGACACACACTGGTTCTCTCAGTAACCTCAGAAACCTGATAATTTCCCTTTAAAATTGGGTGAGGGGGAATGTTAGTTTTTGTGCATCTCCAACAAATTTGACCACACTGATAAACTGCAAAAAGCAGAGTGCATTTTTTTTATTTGGGGTGGTTTTTATTTCATTTTTAGCATCGGCAAATCGCTGGGATACAGAAGCACAAACTCTCAACCTATGAAATAAAAAGCTTATCTACTCTTTCCTCTCAGTTTTTCAGCCAAGGCTGCAGTCAAGAGTTTTCACAATACAGTGGGATCTTGGTTGTCGAACTTAATCCGTTCCGGGAGTCCGTTTGAGTCCCAGAACCGTTTCAAAACCAAGACACAGCTTTCTGACTGGCTGCAGGATCTTCCTGCACTCAATCGGAAGCCGCGTCAGACATCCAGCTTCCAAAAAACATCTGCAAACCGGAAGACTTACTTCCGGGTTTGTGGCGTTTGGGAGCCGATTTGTTTGGGAGCCAAGCCATCTGACAACCAAGGTACCACTGTAAATGGGCTCAGGGCTAGAATTTGCCAGTTTGCGGCCATGGGGCTCTGCCACCGTCCGAGCAAAGTTTCCTCTTAAGAACGGGTGACAGGAGGCACACTCCATTGTCTCAAAAGAGAGAGAGATGCCAACAGTGTCTTAAAAAGGTAAAGGGACCCCTGACCATTAGGTCCAGTCGTAACCAACTCTGGGGTTGGGGCACTCATCTCGCTTTATTGGCCGAGGGAGCCGGCGTACAGCTTCTGGGTCATGTGGCCAGCAGGACTAAGCCGCTTCTGGCGAACCAGAGCAGCGCACGGAAACGCCGTTTACCTTCCCGCCGGAGCAGTACCTATTTATCTACTTGCACTTTGAGGTGCTTTCGAACTGCTAGGTTGGCAGGAGCAGGGACTGATCAATGGGAACTCACCCCGTCACGGGGATTCAAACCGCTGACCTTCTGATCAGCAAGTCCTAGGCTCTGTGGTTTAACCCACAGCGCCACCCACGTCCCTAATGGTGTCTTGGGGGTGTGTAAAATTTCTTCCTGACCAGCGGTGGGCTGCTGCCCATTGGGACAGGTGGGACGGAAAGCAGGGAGACCGCCATTGGCAGGCGGAGGCGGGGCAAGAGCCGTTGACGGCCACAGCCAGAGCCAATGACAGGTGTGTGAAAAATACCTAGATTGCAGGGCCTGTTTTTCTGCTGAGACAAGGAAGAAGCAATGTCTGCTGCTTCCGGTGGTTTATTTTGCTGTACATACAATAAAGCTGTTTAGACAAACAGCGTATTTACTCTGTCTTCTGAACATAGCTGTCAACCTTCCCTTTTTTGCGGGAAATTCCCTTATTCCAGCACCGTTTCCCGCTGCTATCCCGGATTCTTAGATATCCCGTAGACTGTCCGCGGGACAGGTGAGGCTGCTGATCCCTTATTTTTGAGGCTGCGGATCCCTTAAAGTTCACAGCTATGCTTCTGCATGCTTACACACAAAGCAGCACAAGCTGTGCTCACTCTGCTACAAGTCTGGGAAGCTGAGAGCAGTGGAAGTGTACCGGACCTCCACAAGGTGGAGCCAATAAACCCTCCTTTTGGCGCATCTTCCCCTCTGCCGAGTTGCGCAAGAGCCACAGGGTGACTAAGGGGGAAGGAGCAGACAGGGTCCACCCCCCACCCTACTTGACAGGCTGGTTGGAAGTAAGAAGGCTGGAAGGTGGGGGCCTGGCCATGTTGGGATATTACCGGGAAGACGGGGGCATCAGGCAGGCCCCCAGCTCCAGCCTCCGGCCCATAGCTGTCAACTTACGGATTTGAAAATAAGGGACCAGCAGCCTCAAAACTAAGGGATCAGCAGCCAAAATAAGGGATTTTCCAAGCACAGGTGTGTTCAACTTCTGAGCCCCTCCGAGCCAAAGGCAGAAAGCCCAGCCAGCAGCCAAACGAAGCCTCAAGCCTCAAGGAAAACCACCGTCCCCTCTCCGCTGGGAAGCGCTGAGCAAAGGTGAGTCCCTAGGCAATGCGGCCGATTTGATTGGCACAAGGCATGCAAGCTCCACCCCCCAGTCATTCTTAGACTCCTTATTGGGTGAGCAACGCAGCCAAGCAACACAGTTGGAGCCTCCCTCCTCCCTGGCCGGCAGGGAGGGAGGGAGGGAGAGGAGCTGCTTCCTTTCAAACCTGGGAAATTTAAGGGACATCATCAATAAGGGACAGCAGCGGGACATGGCGCTGGGATAAGGGACTGTCCCGCCAAATAAGGGACGCTTGACAGCTATGCACTGGCCAGCAGCCGGTCTGCCTTGGAACAGCATCAATTAACGACACGAGCCTCAGATACATTTAGAGACCCGTGCATGCTCTGTCAGCAGACTGCTTAAATCTTCTCACAGTAGAAGAGGCGGACAGAGAAATGTGTAAGTATAATGTACAGCATTTTATTCAGCATAGTTCAGGGACAGAGGAAAACATGTCTGCTTCCCTTCGTCTCCAGCAAAACAGCAGTAAAGCACTCACATCCATATATTGTGGTACCTCGGGTTAAGTACTGAATTTGTTCCGGAGGTCTGTTCTTAACCTGAAACGGTTCTTAACCTGAAGCACCACTTTAGCTAATGGGGTCTCCTGCTGCCGCCGTGCCGCCGGAGCACGATTTCTGTTCTCATCCTGAAGCAAAGTTCTTAACCCAAGGTACTATTTCTGGGTTAGCAGAGTCTGTAACCTGAAGCGCCTGTAACCTGAAGCATATGTAACCCGAGGTACCACTGTATAGCAAAAGCAACATACAATGGAAGTTCCCAGCAGACTGCGCTGGAAGTAAACAGGCATGGGATGCACAACAGTCAGGACTGACCCTTTTAAGGCGGAATGGAACTATATCCTAACAGGCCAAGGGAGACTGGTGGGGCCCTGCTTGTCCCGAGCTCCTCCGATCCTGGCCCCCTACCCAGTGATCCCCGAACGTGACTCACCTGCAGGTTCTCAGAGAACTGGCCCAGGGCAAAAAGGGCCGCGTTACGCACCACCTGGCTCTCGTCCGACAGCGCCCGGCACACCACTTGTAGCATGGGCTGGAGGTGCCTGAAAGGGGACGGTTAGCTCAAGGTTAGTATTGGTTTGCTCAAGTGTCAGCTGAGATCTGCCTCAAATACAGTGGTACCTCGGGTTAAGAACTTAATTCGTTCCGGAGGTCCGTTCTCAACCTGAAACTGTTCTTAACCTGAAGCACCTCTTTAGCTAATGGGGCCTCCCGCTGCTGCCGTGCCGCCGCTGCACGATTTCTGTTCTCAACCTGAAGCAAAGTTCTTAACCCGAGGTACTATTTCTGGGTTAGCGGAGTCTGTAACCTGAAGCATATGTAACCAGAGGTACCACTGCACACACACACACACACACACAGAGAGAGAGAGAGAGAGAGAGAGAGAGAGATGGGAGTGTCAGGAGTTCAGCCTACTCTCCAGTAGGACCCTGGTAGAGACACATGCCCGACTGGCATGTTCTCTTCCTCCTGGTCGATCGTTCGGGAGCTTCATAAGCTTTCTTCATCCCGAACATCACAGCGACCGATGCCAACCGACACCGGCACATTTAGGGATCTGCAGAGTTTGCGCATCATGCGCGTGACAGACCTCAGCAACTCAGCATTTTGGCTAATCTACTTTATTGACATATAAACACACACGGAGCACTGCAACATGGCTCCCTCTCTCTCTGGCATCAGGACAGCAAAGAGAAAAAGAACAAAGGACAATAGTCCCACTTCACGGAACACAGTAACACAAACCTCCTGTCTCCATCACTTCCCACTCTGTGGAGTCAAAACATATACCGTCATGTGATAGACAAAAATCCCATGACTGCAATCACGGAGCAGGAATACTAACAGGGAGATCTGTGGCAGTCCAGATTCAGACAGAACAGCATTAAAACAGGGCTGGCTATCTGCATTTCAGAGGAAGAGTGAGAGGAAGCTTAAATCCCCACCACACGATTCCCTCCCCCCAAAGAATCCTGGGAACTGTAGTTTGTTAACAGTGGCAGTGAGTTCCACAGTTTAGCTGTGCACTGTGTAAAGAAGTACTTTCTTGTGAACCGTTGCATATGTACCGTTCTTTCATATGGGGTGGACCCGTAAAAGGGTAAAAGAGTATTGGGAAATAATTTATAATGAATTGGGGGGAAAACATTTAAAAGTACTTTTCAAAAAAACAAACAAACCCCAGAGTCCTTTTTGTTGGGGATCAGACGGAAATTCCCAGGTGTCCAAAAAATATATTTATGTATGCCACTACTGCGGCCCGTGTTTTGTTAACCCAAAAATGGAAAATGAGAGAGGTCCCAGCTAAAGAAGAATGGCAACTTAAACTGACGGAATATGCGCAGCTTGCAGACTTAACATATACAATAAGAGAACAAGAAGAACATACATTTAAAGAAGATTGGAAAATGTTTATTGAATATATGGGGGGAAATTGTGTACACTTTAAAACTTTGGCAGCATTAATTCAACAGTGTAAATAAATTTTGATGGATGTAATAATGGATAACTGAATAGTTTAGTTTATATGAAATATGCAGAGATTTATGATATGCAAAATGAACCATGGAAAGAGAAGAAGGGAAGTTTCTGATATTTTAAGGTTGTTTAAATTAATATTCTAAATTGTAAAACAGAAAATTTAATTAAAAAGTATTTATATATTAAAAAAGTACTTTCTTTTAAATGCCTGTCCTGATAAGCCCCCAACGTTCAGTTTTGCTTGGGGGCCTAGCGTGTTACAAGAGAGGGAGAAAAACTTCCTTCCTTTCCCGCTCTCTCTCTGTACGCCACGTGTACTGTATTTTTCGCTCCTTAAGGCGCACCTGACCTTAAGACACACCTAGTTTACAGAGGAGGAAAATGGGGAAAATATTCTGTACTAAACTATTTAATAAACTACTGAAACGGTACAGAATGCTGCAGCGAGGCTCCTCACGGGGTCCCTGCCATGGGAGCATATTCACCCAGTGCTTTTCCAGCTGCACTGGCTCCCGGTGGAGTACAGGGTCAGATTTAAGGTGCTGCTTTTGACCTTTAAAGCCCTTCACGGCCTAGGACCCTCGTACCTACGGGACCGCCTCTCCTGGTATGCCCCACGGAGGGCCTCAAGGTCCATAAATAGCAACACCCTAGAGGTCCCGAGCCCTAAGGAAGTTAGATTAGCTTCAACCAGAGCCAGGGCCTTTTCAACACTGGCCCCGGCCTGGTGGAACGCTCTGTCTCATGAGACCAGGGCCCTGCAGGATCTGATTTCTTTCCGCAGGGCCTGTAAGACAGAGTTGTTCCGCCTGGCCTTTGGCTTGGAGCCCATTTGATTCCCTCCCTCCCTCTCTTTCTTTTTTCTTTTCCTTCTCCTCCTGCAATGAGGCTACATTTTAATGTTCCATTATTTTAATGTTGTATTTTATTTTTGTTTTTAAGTTGTAATCATTCATCTTGTTTTTATTATTGCTTGTAAGCCGCTCTGAGCCCAGCCTTGGCTGGGGAGGGCGGGGTATAAATAAAAAATTATTATTATTATTATTATTATTATTATTATTATTATTATTACTGGTATATCAGAGTGAGACTGAGAGGGACAGGGGCTGTATGTTTGCTTAGTGTGCATGCCCAAGGAGCCAGCGGATCAGCTGAGACGCTGGGCGATTTGCGTAATTTTCCCCTCTCCCTCATCCTGTGCCCTCCCATCCTCAGCAACCTTCCTATTTTACCTCCTGACTTTCACTGCGCTTGTGGCTCAGAGCTCGAGGTTGGGGTTTTTTTGCTGCCGACTGCTTAAATTTTATCCTTCCCGATCCAACCCCTCCTGTGCCCTGCCGTCCCTCTGCAGCCTCATTGCTCCGTTTAGGGAGCGCGCGGACCTTTGCTAGCTGAGGCTGCTGCAGCTGTTGGTGGCTAGGCACCGCTTTTAAAAGGGCCTGCTGGCTCTGAATCGCCTACCTCCTCCCGGCTCGCTGTAAAGCAAGCAAAGGGAGAACCGCGCAAAGCGGGACTGAAGCCCTGGAAGTGGCTCTCGCTTTGCTTGACTGACGGGAGCCATGGCATTCGCTCCATAAGATGCACAGGCATTTCCCCTTTCTTTTTAGAAGGAAAAAAGTGCGTCTTATGGAGCAAAAAATACAGTAATTTTCACAGAACTCTCTATCCCATCTCTTTTAACACGCCTTTTCTCTAAACCGAAAAGCCCGGCAGGCGAACCCCAACATTTGAGAGGGAACAGCAAACACACTGCAAGAAACCAGCAGGCGTCTCAGCGGCGAGGCACCCCCCAAAAATGTCACCCCGCAGTACGTACTTGTGTCTGATGTGGTCCCCGCAGCCTTCGGCCAGGACCGCCAAGCACATGAGGCCAGCTTTGCGGTGGTAAGGGTTCGTGCTCAGAAGTGCCGGCTCCATCAGAGGCGTCTGGGGAGGAGGAAGACGCGAGTTTTAAAAATACCGCCTCAAAATTCTGCCCTTTTTATTTCTAATTCCTCTCTCTCCATATATATATTATTAGCAAAAACATACATAACAAACAAAAATAAAAGGCATACATTAAAAAGAAAAGAATAAAGATAAAGTAGTCTTACAACAGGCATAGGCAAACTCGGCCCTCCAGATGTTTTCGGACTACAACTCCCATCATCCCTCACTAACAAGACCGGTGGTCAGGGATGATGGGAATTGTAGTCTCAAAACTTCTGGAGGGCCGAGTTTGCCTATGCATGTCTTACAATAATTGTCCTTAGAATGACCTAGATCTTGACTTATGTATAATGAAATTATTAAGAAATCTTAAGATTTATATACTAACGCAGTTATACAATGCAATATCTAAGAAAAGAAGAATAAAACAAAAGGAAAAAAACACGGCTAAGTCAAAATAACAGCTTGGACAATATAAATACCTATCTATTGATAAAACAATTTTTTTTTCCTTCCAGTAGCACCTTAAAGACCAACTAAGTTAGTTCTTGGTATGAGCTTTCGTGTGCATGCACACTTCTTCAGATATCTGAAGAAGTGTGCATGCACACGAAAGGTGCTACTTTAAGGTGCTACTGGAAGGGGAAAAAATTTTGTTTTGACTATGGCAGACCAACACGGCTACCTATCTGTAACTGTATCTACTGATAAATAATACTGAACATAGTTCAAACCAATGTTGGTGTTGTTTGTACATTAGAACTTTCGTTTTGGGTTGAATCCTTTTCCAGTTTATTGTGTTGTTGACTTCCTTCCACCTCACTACGGTTTCAGTTTGAGTATTCCTATTTTTTTACCGTGTATTTGATTAATTATCCTCATCTTGGAATGAAGAGAAAGTATTTTACCATCTGCGAAATTACCCAAAACACAGCCCAGCCTTGTGGTTGGAACCTTGTTTTCCAATTCCACTCTTAACGTTGCCAGGAACAACTCACCAGCTGGGGGAACAGCTTCTCCGGGGGAAGGTGCAGTGCCAGCATGTCTACCACCTGTTTTGAGGAGAGACAGAGACCCACATGAGAAGAGGGGGATGCTGGGAGAGAAAGGAGGGCAAGGGGTGACCCCAATAGGGGTCTCTCCTGAGAGGGCAAGGCAGGACAAGCCTCAGGAGGGAGAAGCCCAAGGCATGCTGGGAGGCCAGAGAGAACCCAGGGAATTCTGGGATTGAACGTGGAAGAGGCATGCCGCCCACTGAAGGGAGAAGCCCAAGGCATGCTGGGAGGCCAGTGAGCCCAGGGAATTCTGGGATTGAACATGGAAGAGGCATGCCGCCCACTGAAGGGAGAAGCCCAAGGCATGCTGGGAGGCCAGTGCGAGCCGAGGGAATTTTGGGATTGAATGTGGAAGAGGCATGCCGCCCACTGAAGGGAGAAGCCCAAGGCATGCTGGGAGGCCAGTGAGGCCAGGGAATTCTGGGATTGAACATGGAAGAGGCATGCCGCCCACTGAAGGGAGAATCCCAAGGCATGCTGGGACTTGGTCCGAAAAAAAGAGGCACGTCCTCATCAAAGAGAAGGTACCCCTGACCCTTAGGGACCCCTGACCATTAGGTCCAGTCGCAAACGACTCTGGGGTTGCGGCACTCACCTCGCTTTACTGGCCGAGGGAGCCGGCGTACAGCTTCCGGGTCATGTGGCCAGCAGGACTAAGCCGCATCTGGCGAACCAGAGCGGCATATGGAAACGCCGTTTACCTTCCTGCCGGAGCGGTACCTATTTATCTACTTGCATTTTGACGTGCTTTCAAACTGCTAGGTTGGCAGGAGCAGGGACCGAGCAACGGGAGCTCACCCCGTCGCAGGGATTCGAACCGCCGACCTTCTGATCGGCAAGCTCTAGGCTCTGTGGTTTAACCCACAGCGCCACCCGTGTCAAAGCTGGCAGCAAATCGCATCGCCAAAGTTGGAGATTGTTAGTGCAGTGGTTCCTTGGTTCTCGAATGGCTTGGCTCCCGAAAACATCGGCTCCCGAACGCCGCAAACCCGGAAGCGAGTGTTCCTGTTTGCGAACATTTTTGGGAAGCCAGACGTCCGACACGACTTCTGCTTGAGTGCAGGAAGCTCCCGCAGCCGAACGGAAGCCGTGTCTTGGTTTTCCAACAGTTCCGGGAGTCGATCTGACTCCCAGAACGGATTAAGTTTGAGAACCAAGGTTTAGTCGTTTAGTCCGACTCTTCGTGACCCCATGGACCAAAGAACCAAGGTACCAGTGTGCAAACATAAATCTTTGCAGGCTTGGCTGAGCGTCAGGCCTAATGGGCACAGCAGCACTCCCCCAGGAGGTATGGTCTCACGAATCCATTGCCGAGACGGAAAATCCCCCCCTTCCCACAGCCGTCTTAAGTGCCCTCATCTCTGGAGCTTTTTCCAAGCAATCTGAGACTATGGCCTGCCACTGCCCTGCCCATTTCAGCTCTCTTCTGGTTCTGGGAGACCATCGGGGAGGGAAGCTTGCTGCAGCAGGAGACGGAGACATCCACGGCTCTTCACCAGCCTGTTCCATCTCTGCCTCTTGGCCTCCCTTCCTCTCCTGCTTCAGCTTCTACCTCTGATTCTGGACTTCTCTCTGCCACAGACTCTCCCAGATCACTAAGCCCTGTCGCCTCTTCTGTTTCCAACACCTTCTCTTCCCAGTCTGCTCCCTCTTTTCCCTATAACCGCGCATTGGTCCCTTACCTTTCCCGCCCCAACCTGGCCACAGTGATCCATGCGACGGTCACCTCCAGGCTTGACTACTGTAATTCACTCTATGTGGGGCTGCCCTTGAACCTGTCCCAGAAACTCCAGCGGATGCAGAATGCCCCATGGAGAGCCTCAAGGTCCATAAATAGCAACACCCTAGTGGTCCCAGGCCCTAAGGAAGTTAGATTAGCTTCAACCAGAGCCAGGGCCTTTTCACCACTGGCTCCGGCCTGGTGGAACACTCTGCCTCATGAGACCAGGGCCCTGCGGGATCTGATTTCTTTCCGCAGGGCCTGTAAGACAGAGTTGTTCCGCCTGGCCTTTGGCTTGGAGCCAATTTGATTCCCTCCCCCTCTTTCTTTTTCCTTTCTCCTGTGATGAGGCTGAATTTTAATATTTTAATGTTTCAATATTTCAATGTTGTATTTTAATCTTGTTTTTAAGTTGTATTCATTCAGCTTGTTATTATTATTGCTTGTTAGCCGCCAAGAGCCCGGCCTTGGCTGGTGAGGGCTGGGCATAAATAAAAATTATTATTATTATTATTGTCGTCCCACCACCCGCTCCCTGGGCTCTGAGTCTTCTTCCCTTGGGGGGTTCCCCAGCTGGTGACCCCCACCATCCTTCTGCATCCAACCACGACACCTCAGCAGCAAAACAAGGCCAAACAGGGGGCCCGAGGGAGAAAGGGAAATATTATGCTCAGGAGGCAAAGCCAGGATCATGCTGGGACCGAAGAAGCCGTCACCCACGGAGGACCTGGGCTGCAAAGTGCTTGGGAGTCTGGACTTCGGCCCTGTCCTCGATGTCTTCCTCCGTCTGCTCGTCCTCCGCGTCCATCTGGCCCGGCGGCGGCTCCGCACTCATGATGGGGAAGAGGGCATTCAGGATGGGAGTGAGGAGCTTGTGCTTCAGGATAGCCTGGGCAGAGAGGAGGAAGGAGTGATTTTTTCCCCTCCTTCCAATAAAGTACAGCAGAGAAGTTGTCCAAATATAAACAGCTAACCTATTAAACCTCACAATCATTTCATAATTATCGGTCTGTGTATTTCTAATAGAATAACCAAATCAGTCATTTTTGAGGTACAGTGGTACCTCGCAAGACGAATACCTCGCAAGACAAAAAACTCGCAAAATGAAAGGGTTTTTGGTTTTTTGAGCTGCTTCGCAAGACGATTTTCCCTATGGGCTTGCTTCGCAAGACGGAAACGTCTTGCAAGTTTGTTTCCTTTTTCTTAACACCGCTAATACAGTTGCGACTTGACTTCGAGGAGCAACTCATAGAACGCGGTGTTGTAGCCTTTTTTGAGGTTTTTAAAGCTTTTTGAGGTTTCTGAAGCTTTTCCAAAACTTTCCCGACACCGTGCTTCGCAAGACGAAAAAAATCGCAAGACGAAAAAACTCACGGAACGAATTAATTTCGTCTTGGGAGGCACCACTGTACAGCAGAGAAGTTGTCCAAATATAAACAGCTAACCTATTAAACCTCACAATCATTTCATAATTATCGGTCTGTGTGTTTCTAATAGAATAACCAAATCTAATAGAATAACCAAATCAGTCGTTTTTGATGTAGCTGTAAAAACTACTCTGAAAACTTATTATTCCAAAAAGGAAACCTTCGCCTGGTTGTAAATATCGTATTTTTCGCTCCATAAGACACACTCCCCCCCAAAAAAGTAAGGGGAAATGTGTGTGTGTCTTATGGAGTGAATGCAGGCGGGAGGCAAGCGGGAAAAGCCCCCAAGAGCCGCACACACGCTCCGAACGACTCTTGCAGGCTTTTCCCCGAGGAGAGAGAAGGGCAGCCCGTCACTGACAGGCTGTCCTTCTCCCACCTCCTAGAAAAGCCCGCAAGAGCAGCGCTCCCTTTAAAGAGCGCACGGCTCTTGGCTGGCTTTTGCAGGAGGTGGGGGGATGGACAGAGGGCAGCTTAGCCGCGCGCAGCCTCTTCCTGGCATGGGGAGCCCTCATCCTGCTGCCCGGGAGAGGTTTCGGTGGCTATCCCAGAAGCCAGAACAGCAAGAGGCTATCCCAGAAGCCGGATCCCTCTTGCTGTTCTGGCTTCTGGGATTCAGAATATTTTTTTTCTTGTTTTCCTCCTCCAAAAACTAGGTGCATCTTATCGTCTGGTGCATCTTATAGAGCAAAAATACGGTATTAAGAAGATACCAGCAGGAATGAGCCTTCCTATAAAAATAATAATGATTTAAATCAAATCTTACTGACGAGTGATTTAAATTGTAATGTAAATCGATTTGATTTAAACCAAATCCACCCTGGCTGGAAGCAGGACTGAGCCCATGGACCAGCTGTGGGTGGGACCGCCCTCCTGTCAATCGCCCAGTATTGCCATGATGCCAGGAGATTGACAGGGTGCCAGTCCCGCCCACTGCAGGGTCAGGGCGCAGGCAAAGATCTGCTGGAAAAGTTCCCCCGCACGGGTGGGGAAGGGGAGCAGGCAACCCAGGAAGAGTCGCCCCACTCTTTCGCTCGCACTGACCTTGCCCTTGAGTTTGATGAGGAAGCTGATGCAGGACAAAGCCTTCACCCGGAGGTTGTCGCCCAGTGATGGGTTGGAGGCCACCTGGGAGCGAGGAAAGAGATGTGGGTCCTTGTTCCGAAGCTCAGTTCTGGCTCCAACCTGAAGGGGGAGCCAGAACACAGGGGAGGAAGGGGAGCCGGACCAGGCGCAACCGCTCACTGACCTCCAGGCAGAAGCCAACGACCGCCGAGAGATGCTGCACGATGATGGACACTTCGGTCTCCATGAGCTCGTCAAAAACCTCCATCACTTCGCCAGCGTGGGTCTAAAAAGGTAGGGGAGTCATCGATATCTTGAGGATTTAAAATGAGTCTTTTAAAGTGTAAAGCAGAAAATAAAAATTATATACAAATAAATAAAAATAAAAAGGATGCGGAGTGAAGAGAAACAAAGAAATGAGAGAGCTATCGAATGCCAAACGGACACACGGAGGCCACAAGGCCCGACATCTCGTTGTTTCAATATGTATTGCACTTTAAGGCCACAACCTGAGGATGAAGGGCAGGTAAGACACAAGCAAGCAAACAAACAATTTTGGTACACAGGTCATATGTACGAGATGAGCTCAGCTGCCTTACGCAGGGTCAGACCCCTGGGTCCAGGTAGTATCCCAGTAGGAGAAGAAGAAGAGGAGGAGGAGGAGGAGGAGGAAGAAGAAATTATTTATACCCCGCCCACCCCACTCTGGGCGGCTCCCAACAGAATACTGAAAACACAAAACAGGGACGGTCAACTCCCACGAGTCTGCAATCTCCTCACAGTACAGTCATACCTTGGGTTACAGACGCTTCAGGTTGTGTTTTTTCGGGTTACGGACCCACCGAAACCTGGAAGTACCGGAATGGGTTAATTCCGGGTTTGGGGGGTTGCGCGTGCGCAGAAGCGCTAAACTGCGCTTTGTGCATGTGCAGAAGCGCTGAATTGCAACCCGTGCATGCGCAGACGTGCCGCTGCGGGTTGCGAGTGTGCATCCTGCATGGATCACGTTCTCAACCTGAGCATCCACTGTATAAAAAAACTGGCAATCATCTACCCATTGTCGATGGACTAGAGTTGTTGAGCTTTTTTTAGGCAGCTAGACTGGTGACTGGGAGTGGCCGCCAGGACCACATAACACCAGTTCTGAGAGATCTGCACTGGCTCCCAGTACGTTTCCGAGCACAATTCAAAGTGTTGGTGCTGGCCTTGAAATCCCTAAATGGCCTTGGTACTGTATACGTGAAGGAGCGTCTCCACTCCCATCGTTCTGCCCGGACACTGAGGTCCAGCACCGAGGGCCTTCTGGCGGTTCCCTCATTGCAAGAAGTGAGGTTACAGGGAACCAGGCAGAGGGTCTTCTCGGTAGTGGTGCCCGCCCTGTGGAACACCCTCCCTTCATATGTGAAGGAAAGAAGCAGCTTTCTTCTCTTTAAAAGACATCTGAAGGCAGCCCTGTTTAGGGAAGTTTTTAATATTTAATGCTGTATTGTTTTTAACACTTGATTGGAAGCTGCCCAGAGTGGCTAGGGAAACTCAGCCAGATGGGCGGGGTATAAATAATAATCTTTGAAACACAGAGCAGCAAAGTGCGTCTCTCTCTCTCTCTCTCACACACACACACACACACAATATTATTATTATTATTAGGAAGCCAAAGAGTTGTTGAGAAGTTGTAGGGAAGTTTTTAATGTTTGATGTTTTATCGTGTTTTTATTATTCTTTTGGGAGCCGCTCAGAAGTGCATCTCTCTGTTCGACAGTGGAATTTGCTGCCAAGGAGTGTGGTGGAGTCTCCTTCTTTGGAGGTCTTTAAGCAGAGGCTTGACAACCATATGTCAGGAGTGCTCTGATGGTGTTTCCTGCTTGGCAGGGGGTTGGACTCGATGGCCCTTGTGGTCTCTTCCAACTCTATGATTCTATGATTCTTTCTCTCTCTCTCTCTCTCTCTCTCTCTCTCTCACACACACACACACACACACACACCACCCACCTCATTAACAGAGATCAGTTCCCGGATGGCTGCAATCACCTTGGGCATCATGGAAGACATCAGATTCTGAGAGGGGAAGGAAGAGCATGAGACGATCAGGAAACAAAACAGTGAATCCTTAAACACTGAAAAATAGCTAAAGAAATAGCAGCCGACCTAGTGATACATTGGCAATAGATATTGGTCATAATATAGACATGGAAGCATGGGAACGATTGTGGAATATGGATAGAAAATTTACAGCACGGTATGGTCTAAGAGAAAATTATATGAAAAAGATATATCTAACACCGAGTAAATAATCAATCCAAATCAAATAAGTGTTGGAAATGTAAAGAGAAAGAAGGTTCTTTTTATCCTATGCGGCAGTCTTGTAGTAAGGTTAAAGCTTACTGGGAAATGATATATAATGAATTGGAAAGGATCTTTAAAATAACATTTGTAAAAAAAAAACCCAGAAGCTTTCCTTTTGGGAATTATAGGGGCAGAACTACCGAAACTGTATAGAAACTTATTCATGTACTCGACTACAGTGGCAAGAATGCTACTTGCCCCAAAATGGAAATAAGCAGAAGTCCCAGCAAAGGAAGAATCGAAAAAGAGGGAACATTCTACCATATGTGGTGGGAATGTAAGAAAGTAAAGAGTTTCTGGGAAGCAATATATAATGAATTGAAAAAGATGTTAAAATACACTTTTGCTAAGAAACCAGAAGCCTTTCTTTTAGGGATTACAGGTAAAGACATTCGAAGAAAAGACTGTAAATTTTTTCAGTATGCAGTCACGGCAGCAAGAATTCTATTGGCTCAGAAATGGAAACAAGAGGAAATACCGACGATTCAAGAATGGAGAATGAAATTGACTGATTATGCGGAACTGGACAAACTGACTGGGAAAATAAGATATGCCCGAAACCAAAAGTTCATCGAGGATTGGGGAAAATTTGTAGATTATCTGAAAAAGATATGTGAGGTACAAACAACGCTAGTGGGGTTTCAAGAAGCACTGTAAAAATTCTAAGAGGTATTGCTGAAAGAAAATAGATGGGGAGGGAAGACAAAATGGCAATGCAACTAAAGGAATGCGTATTGAAGGGTAAAAATGGATGATTACCAGAGAAGTTGAAGGAAGTCCAAAATTTGTATTTTGTTAAAATTAGGTAAAATTTGGATAAAATTGTATGATTATACTTAAAACTAATAAAAATGTAATATTAAAAAAAGAAAGAAAAAAGAATGGATACAAAAACTTGTGGAATATACAGAAATGGTGAAACTTACGGGAAGAATAAGAAATCAAGACAACAAACTTTTTATAAAAGAATGGAAATGGTTTATTGACTATTTAGAAATAAACTGCAAAAGAATATTGGCAGCATTATTGTAATAACCTGAAGTTTTATAAGAGTATATATTTTAAGCAGATGAATAAATGAGCAAATTAAATGAATTAGGATATGCAGAAAATATTAAATATAAATTTAAGGAACTGCAGAAAGAGGGGGAAGGAAGTCGAGTTTTGAAATGTTAAAATGATTGTAAAATTAGTGAGATGGATAGATCTGAAAAGCATCATTATTTTTTTTTTTTAAGAAGAAATAGCAAGGGACTCACCATCTCGTCGGAGCCCAGCACAGGAACCATGGTGCTGAGGCTTCGCAGGGAGTAGTAAAGGGTGGCTGGCTGGGTGCGCTGGTTGAGTGTCTGGTGAAAGAGGCGCAGGAGTTCCTTGAAGTGCGGAGCGAACACCTCGGGATCCAGTTCCAGGGCAGAATGCAGAAGCAGCAATCCCACCTGCGGCCAGAAGGGGGTGCAAAAGTCCCTTTAGGGCTTATTACTGTATTTACTCAAGTCTCATGCGCCATCAAATCTAATGCGCGACTCTGTTTTCAGAACCTTGAATCCACCCCCAAAAAAGTATTCGCTGGTGAATGCAAACGTGCCGCCGAACCGAATGCGCACCTTAATTTTCGCATAATTTGGGGGGCGGAAGGTGTGCGTTAGATTCAAGTAAATACGGTATTATTATTTTAAGGAAATCTGAGAGCTGCTAGGAATGCCTAAATTCGACGGTGGAAAATCAAGGATACTTGATTCTTATTATTTTTACTACATTTTCATAGCCATCCTGTAACAGAAGCACTCCAAGCAGCTCCACAGGGGAAAAAGACACATAGAACATTAAATTAAAAAAATTATGAAACAATAAAGTACATATTTTATTTTAAATGCCATTTTTTTTATAAAAAAAAACTAAATCTGTGCCAATGTTTTCCCATAGCCCAAACCTATTTCTAGTTATCTATCTACATCCACACTCACATACATATACAGTGGTACCTCGGGTTAAGTACTTAATTCGTTCCAGAGGTCCATACTTAACCTGAAACTGTTCTTAACCTGAGGTACCACTTTAGCTAATGGGGCCTCCTGCTGCCGCTGCGCTGCCGGAGCACGATTTCTGTTCTCATCCTGAAGCAAAGTTCTTCACCCGAGGTACTATTTCTGGGTTAGCGGAGTCTGTAACCTGAAGCGTGTGTAACCCGAGGTACCACTGTACATGCAACTTGTTTTTAATGTTTGCTTTTATAGGTTTTCCTAATCGATATTCTAGACTGTATTCTGTAAGCGTTTAAGAGACCTCTTGCATTTGACCAAGTGGCACCCAAATTGTGTTAAATAAACCAGGGTAAAGAGGTTAGCAGAGCACAACCAGCCTACAAGCCACGGCTGTCTCCGCCAGGTCCAAACCACAGCTGGGGGACCGAAGCTGAGAGAAGGGAAGCAAGACCCCTTGAAAGCCCCCCACCCCGTACCTCGCACTGGGTGGGGTCCTGCGAGCGCGCCCCCCGCTGAATGAGCTGGAGCATCTGCGGCCATTTCTCCAGCCTCTCGTTCTTCAGAATGACGGCAGCCAGCTGGGCCAGACCTAGAGAGACCTTATGGCTGGAAAAGAAGATATTTGGAAAAGGGAGGGGAGAAGAGAGGCTGAGAATGCGGCAGCCAGACTGGGGACTGGGAGCGGCCGCCGAGACCACATAACACCGATCCTGAAAGACCTACGTTGGCTCCAAAGACGTTTCCGAGCACAATTCAAAGTGTTGGTGCTGCTGACCTTGATAGCCCTATACGGCCTCAAAGACCCAGTACACCTGAAGGAGCGTCCCCACCCCCATCGTTCAACCTGGACACTGAGGTCCAGCTCCGAGGGCCTTCTGGCAGTTCCCTCACTGCAAGAAGCAAAGTTACAGGGAACCAGGCAGAGGGCCTTCTCGGTAGTGGCACCCGCCCTGTGGAACGCCCTCCCACCAGATGTCAAAGAGAAAAACAACTACAAGACTTTTAGAAGACATCTGAAGGCAGTCCTGTTTAGGGAAGCTTTTAATGTTTAACAGACTATTGTATTTTAACATTTTGTTGGAAGCCGCCCAGAGTGGCTGGGGAAACCCAGCCAGATGGGCGGGGAATAAATAATAAATTATAATTACAGTGGTGCCCTGCAAGACGAATGCCTCGCAAGACGAAAAACCCGCTAGACGAAAGGGCTTTCCGTTTTTCATTTAGCCATTATAATAATTATTATATTATACATGAACACTCACTCTGTTTCCTTCTGCAGGGTGGACAGCACCAGCGTCTTTAACCTGGAAGAGAGAAGATTTCAGGGTTGGGGTTAAATTTTAGCTTGTGAGTGGGAGTGAGTTGTGAAGCAGGAGCTGCTCCAAGTCAACCCCACAGCCGTCTTTCCCTTCTACACTCCCCAGAATGCCTTCCACCTCCAGACTTACATGTCTTGGTCGGACGCACTGATCTTCCGCCAGTGTTTGGTTAGGCGCCTTCTCACCAACACGGCGGCAAACTGCCGGATCTGGGGGTGGAGGAGACAAGAGGCAAATGTGAGAGGCCGGTGAGGACACCGGAGGAAGGGCGGTGAGGTGTGCAGACTGGCTCGCCCCCAAGGGCCGCCCTCCCTTTAAAGAGCTGCGCAGAGTGTGTGTGCGGCTCTTGGGGGCTTTTCTGCGAGGACTGATGGGCTGCCCTTCTCCCTCCTTGGGGGAAAAGCCCCCAAGAGCACACACGCTCTTTAAAGAGAGCGCTGAGCAGAGCCTCCCGCCTGCATTCGCTCCATAAGACGCACACACATTTCCCCTTACTTTTTAGGAGGGAAAAAGTCCGTCTTATGGGGCGAAAAATACGGTACTTAACCTGTGGCCTTCCAGGTGTCGTTGGACTCCCATGACCCCCAGCCAGCACACCCAACGGCTGGAGGTTGGGAGTTTGTAGTCCACGAAGGAACCTCCAGATCTCCCATCCCTGGGCTAAGCCCTGCAGGGTCTTACCTGCGGATTCTGAGAGCTGGACATCACCTGACAGAGGTGGGACACTGCCAAAGGATGCTTCAGGGCCTCTTTCAACTGGGCTGTAGCCTGAGGAGGAAGAATGACAGAGTTGGAAGGGATCCTGAGGGTCATCTAGTCCAACCCGCTGCAGAATCCTGCCCATCGCCGTCCCTGGGGGACTCCAACCACCAAAGTTCTGGTCAACAACCAGATGCACTGACCCACTGCGTCACGACCCAAAGCTTCAGTTCAGTCACTGCAGAGTATAGCTGCGCCGTTTCTCTATTTTCATATATATAATTTTTATTACATTTTCAGTTTTACAATTTAGCATACTCCTTTAAGCATCCTTAAAATATCAAAGACTTCCCTTCTTCTCTTTCCGTGGTTCATTTTGCATATCACAAACTCCTGCATATTTTACGTAAACTAAACCATTCAGTATTCCACGATTACATCCATCAAAACTTAATTTACACTGTTGAGTTTATCTTAATGCTGCCAACGTTTTCAAGTTTACACAGTTATTTGCCATATATCCTGAGACCTCCGGGTGCAGGGCGGTATATAAATTTAATATATAGCAATATATTCAATAAACGTTTTCCAATCTTCTCTAATCGTATGTTCTTGTGCTCTTATTTTATAAGTCCGCAAGCTGAGCATATTCCATCAGCTTAAGTTACTATTCTTCTTTATTTGGGACCTCACTTGTTTTCCATTTTGGGGCTAACAAAACATGGGGAACAGTAGTGGCGTACATAAATAACCATGCCATGTTATTTCTCATGCAGCATGGGTTTCTGCTATACCCAGAGGGACAGGATGCCCTAAACTGGTCCTAAAACCTATTTTTGTTTTATTTTTAAAAAATCAATGGCTTCCATACAAAGGAATTTGTATTTCACAACAGCTCCGAAGAGGCAGGTGCTGTGATTTGCCGTTTTACAAAGAGCACGACTGAGGTAGCCAGCCACTGGCAACTCCTGAGTCCATAGACAAGGAGCGGTTTCAGATCTAGGGGTCCTAAAGTAAGGCTAGTAAAGGTAAAGGGACCCCTGACCATAAGGTCCAGTCGTGGCCGACTCTGGGGTTGCGCCGCTCATCTCGCTTTATTGGCCGAGGGAGCTGGCGTACAGCTTCCGGGTCATGTGGCCAGCATGACTAAGCCGCTTCTGGCGAACCATAGCAGTGCACAGAAACTCCGTTTACCTTCCCGCCAGAGCGGTACCTATTTATCTACTTGCACTTGATGTGCTTTCGAACTGCTAGGTTGGCAGGAGCTGGGACCGAGCAACGGGAGCTCACTCCGTCGCGGGGATTCAAACCGCCGACCTTCTGATTGGCAAGTCCTAGGCTCTGTGGTTTAAGCCACAGCGCCACCCGCGTCCCGTAAGGTAAGGCTACCCACCAGCAAAATTTCTTCCAAAAGAGCGGGGAACATTTATGTCGTATATGAAAGATAAGATGAAATAGTGAAACCAGTAAAATTGGAAACAAACCTCATAACGGGAAAGATTAAGAAAAGTGATGGATAATGAAAATAATATGAAGCAAAATGTATAAGGAGATTAATATAACTAACAGTAGTTGTAAATAAATACAGACAGACAACAAGAATTGTATAGACAAAAGGATTTATTTGTTTATGGATATACTACGGACAAATATGGAAAATGAATAACAATATATAAAATGGATGAAAATAATGCGATAAAATTACATGTGTTATAAAAAAACAGAAGGAAGGAGGGAAGTCAGCGCTTAGGAGCAAGTATAAATGTAAAATGCAACACATTATGTGTATGTGGAGTATGTAACCGGAAAACTAATAAAGATTATGGGGGGGGGGGGATTTCCCCTGCCTATTACACTAACTGACTTGGAGAAGGAGAATTGGGATATCCTGTGAGGGCCGGCCCCCCCGCCAAAATAAGACCAGTCTCTATCTCAGACGCCTCTCTCAGAACAATTAAATTGAAGGAAGTTGAATGTAGGGAGATCCAGGACAGATAAAATAAAATCCTTCTTTGCACAGCGAATTGTTAAACAATGGAACTCCCTCCCACAAGACAGGAGGCAGTCATGGCCCCCAACTTGGATGGATTTAAAAGAGGATGAAGCAAATTTGCAGAGAAGGGCTACTTAGCCACAGTGGCTATGCTCTGCTGGCACAGTCAGAGTCAGCAAGGCTTCCGAATGCCAGTTGCTGGAAACCGCAGGAGAAGAGTTCAAATCTTGCGTTCAAATCCTGCTTGCGGATTTAAGGCATCCGACTCGGCCACTTTGAGAAGGGGATGCTGGACTCGATGGGCCGCTGGCCTGATCCAGTAGAGCCATTATTACGCATCCCCCAAATCAGTTCTCTGCATGTTGCTGGACCTCAACGTACAACTCCCAATCCAAAACCTTGCCCTCCCCTATTTATTAGCATTTCCCTCCATTCCTATCCTGCTTAATTTATTATTATTATTATTATTATTTATATACCACTAAAGTTTATATACCACCGTATACCGAAGGTCTCAGGGCTGTTCACATAATTAATAAATTAATAATAATAATAATAATAATAATAATAATAATAATAATAAAAAATTTATACCCTGCCCATCTGGCTGGGTTTCCCCAGCCACTCTGGGTGGCGCCCCACAAAAGATTAAAAACACATTAAAACACCAGTCATTAAAAACTTCCCTAAACAGGGAAGATCACAACATAAATAATCAGAATAAAAACAACAACCCAAAAACACTCCCTGCCCCCCCAGAAAAGAGCCACATTTTAAAAGGGTATAATTTATGCCCACATGGTCTGCTAAGCAGCTTACAAGTGCAGATACCAGTTGCACAAACATTCGTAATCAAAGCATGCGAATTAAAACCTCATTAGAGATTGCATAGCAGCGCCCACTATCTGTGCTTTCCAGAAACATCTGAAAACATTAAATTATTTTTTTGCCTGGACGAGTTTTCCCAGCTGGGTGAGGTGGTCCCTCAGGGTTCATTTCCCAATATCTCTTCAAATGACACCTCCTGGTCTTTCCTATTTCTAAGGCTATTATTTTGGTGGCCCCTTGAGACAGAGATGCAAAACTAATAACAGGCGATTCATAAATTGCACAATAATAATAATAATAATAATAATTAAATATTAATAAAAATAATTATATTTTATTTATATCCCGCCCTCCCCAGCCGAAGCTGGGCTCAGGGCGGCTAGCAACAATCAAAATAATCCAACAACAATCAAAATAATCCTAAATTAATACTTTTAATTTATTTTCTAAGACTTGGGTTGTCCCAAGCCCTGACCACTCACATGCCCGCCTGGATTTCACATATCCTACTTCCCCTGAAATGGCTGGATCCTGATGCTGTTTCAAATCCAGCCCCCCCCCCCACTTTCCTGCCCAACTGTACCTGTTGGATGACTGCATTGTCAGGCTGCAGCAAATTTGACAGTATCTTCTCCAGCTCCTCCGTTGCCATTGCGCTGGGAGGCGAAGGATATGTATATAGATATATAGATATATAGATATATATATACCCGAGGGAGGGGGAAAATAAAAAAAATAAAGTTAGAGGGGGAAAGGAGCCCCACTGAAAAAGTGGGGCAGGGAGACCCCTGGCTTGTATGGGGAGGGGAAGCCCCACTAGGGCTGGACAGAGGAGATACCAGGCCCCCCCACCCCCCAAAAAGAGAGAGAAATGGGGGGGAGAAGGCTCAGCCCCACAGGCGCAGGGAGGCAGCTGCCAGGCGAAGCCCAAAGTAGCTGTTGGTTACAGAACTCCCAGCACATGTGGAGCAGACAAGGCGGCCGCTTCCGGGGGACAGAGGGGCTCCGCCACGCGTGCTTCCGGCGCCTCGGGCTCCCCCTGCTGCCCTGGGAGGACCTACTGGCCACCCTCTTACAGATAGGTAGCCGTGTTGGTCTGCCATAGTCAAAACAAAAAAAATTCCTTCCAGTAGCACCTTAAAGACCAACTAAGTTAGCTCTTGGTATGAGCTTTCGTGTGCATGCACACTGTGTATCTGAAGAAGTGTGCATGCACACGAAAGCTCATACCAAGAACTTACTTAGTTGGTCTTTAAGGTGCTACTGGAAGGAATTTTTTTTGTTTTGGCCACCCTCTGTTCTGGATCTGGGGGTGGGTTGGTTGTTTTTTTACGCTCGTTGTTTTAAACTGTTTCTGTTTATGAAATGTGCTCGGAGTCGAGTGTGGATTTCATGCTCTTTATTCAGCTCATAGCAGTGAGGTGTGGGAGTTCCTCCGAAATGTCTGCTTTATATACAGTGGTACCTCGGGTTAAGTACTTAATTCGTTCCGGAGGTCCGTTCTTAACCTGGAACTGTTCTTAACCTGAAGCACCACTTTAGCTAATGGGGCCTCCCGCTGCCACTGTGCAATTTCTGTTCTCATCCTGAAGCAAAGTTCTTAACCCGAGGTACTATTTCTGGGTTAGCGGAGTCTGTAACCTGAAGCGTATGTAACCTGAAGCATATGTAACCCGAGGTACCACTGTACTGATTGGCTAATTCTGGGATTCTCCTGTAAGCCAATCAGGATGCAGGTTCAGTTCCACCTGGAGCTGGATTGGGTGGCTCCTGCAGACCAATCATACTGCTGCACTGTTCTAGGACCAATCAGACTGCTGCATTCTGGATCCTATTGTTCTAGGACCAATCAGACTGCTGCAATCTGAAATCCTATTGTTCTAGGACCAATCAGGCTGCTGCATTCTGGATCCTATTGTTCTAGGACCAATCAAGGCTTCTGCATTCTGGATCCTATTGTTCTAGGACCAATCAGGCTGCTGCATTCTGGATCCCTATTGTTCTAGGACCAATCAGGCTTCTGCATTCTGGAATTCCTTATGTTCTAGGACTCAATCAGACTGCTGCATTCTGATCCCTATTGTTCTAGGCCAATCAGGCTGGCTGCATTCTGGATTCCATTGTTCTAGGACCAATCAGGCTGCTGCAATTCTGGATCCTATTGTTCTAGGACCAAAATCAGGCTGCTGCATTCTGGATCCTATGTTCTAGGAACCAATCAGGCTTCTGCATTCTGGATCCTATTGTTCTAGGACCATCAGACCGCTGCAAATCTGAATCCTATTCGTTCTAGGACCAATCAGGCTGCCTGCATTCTGTCTGGATCCTATTGTTCTAGGACCAATCAGGCTGCTGCATTCTGGATCCTATTGTTCTAGGACCAATCAGGCTTCTGCATTCTGGATCCTATTGTTCTAGGACCAATCAGACTGCTGCATTCTGAATCCTATTGTTCTAGGACCAATCAGGCTGCTGCATTCTGGATCCTATTGTTCTAGGACCAATCAGGCTGCTGCATTCTGGATCCTATTGTTCTAGGACCAATCAGGCTGCTGCATTCTGGATCCTATTGTTCTAGGACCAATCAGGCTGCTGCATTCTGGATCCTATTGTTCTAGGACCAATCAGGCTGCTGCATTCTGGATCCTATTGTTCTAGGACCAATCAGGCTGCTGCATTCTGGATCCTATTGTTCTAGGACCAATCAGGCTGCTGCATTCTGGATCCTATTGTTCTAGGACCAATCAGGCTGCTGCATTCTGGATCCTATTGTTCTAGGACCAATCAGGCTGCTGCATTCTGGATCCTATTGTTCTAGGACCAATCAGGCTTCTGCATTCTGGATCCTATTGTTCTAGGACCAATCAGGCTGCTGCATTCTGGATCCTATTGTTCTAGGACCAATCAGGCTGCTGCATTCTGGATCCTATTGTTCTAGGACCAATCAGACTGCTGCATTTTGGATCCTAACCTAGACAGCATCTTAAAAAGCAGAGACATCACCTTACCAACAAAGGTTCGTATAGTTAAAGCTATGCCCAGCAAAATCCTTCCATCCAGCATTAGATATCTTCCTCACCTTTATACTTGCTAATTCCAGCCCATGGTTCATTTTTTACCCCAAGATATTTCTCTACCTCTCCTGGCGGCTCTGTAGGCTTTCAGAAGGAGGGCGATTCAGGTAGGTAGCCGTGTTGGTCTGATGCAGTCGAAATAATTAAAAATTTTAAAAAAATTGTCCAGTAGCACCTTAGAGACCAACTACCGTGCTTTGTAACCACGTTTTTGTGCCATTGCGGCCCCATGCAACAGTGGGTGCGTGATTTTTTTGGTGCAGGCTGTAGCCATGGACATGCTATGTGATCTGATGGTGAATTTGGCGTGACCCAATGTAAAAATAGGGACGCGGGTGGCGCTGTGGGTAAAAGCCTCAGTGCCTAGGGCTTGCCGATCAAAAGGTCGGCGGTTCGAATCCCCGCGGCGGGGTGCGCTCCTGTTGTTTGGTCCCAGCGCCTGCCAACCTAGCAGTTCGAAAGCACTCCCGGGTGCAAGTAGATAAATAGGGACCGCTTACTAGCGGGAAGGTAAACGGCGTTCCGTGTGCTGTGCTGGCTTGCCAGAGCAGCGATGTCACGCTGGCCACGTGACCCGGAGGTGTCTCCGGACAGCACTGGCCCCCGGCCTCTTGAGTGAGATGGGCGCACAACCCTAGAGTCTGTCAAGACTGGCCCGTACGGGCAGGGGTACCTTTACCTTTTAATGTAAAAATCCTGAGGATCCATGGGCTTTTACCTCCCCCCTCCCAGGCAGCCTCCCTTATCTCTCTCCCAATCCCACCGATCAGCTGCTTCCTTTCAACACTCCCTTCCCTCCTTTTGCCTTAGTGTCTTTTCCTTAGCTGGAGCAGTTTTTTGCTCCTCCTTTTCTTCTAATTTCTCTCATTGATTTAGTCTTCCTTTCTCCCCTCCTTGCAAGTTTGCTGTCTTTACCTCCCCACTCCCAGGCAGCCTCCTTTATTGCCAGTGTCCCTTATCTCGCTTCCGATCGCTTGCGATCAGCAGCTTTGTTTCAACACTCAGTTCCCTCTTTCAAAAAACATAAATAATGATCTGTTTTTCACCCCTGGGCAATTCAGCTCCAGGGGCCACACATTCGCTCCATAAGACGCACAGCACACCACTTTGAGCTCCTTATAATATACGGTAATAATGATAATAATGATAATGATAATAATAATAATAATTTATTATTTATACCCCACCCATCTGGCTGGGTTTCTCCAGCCACTCTGGGCAGCTCCCAACAGGATATTAAAAAGACGACAAAACATCAAACTTCCCTAAACAGGGCTGCCTTCAGATGTCTTCTAATAGTCAGATAGTTGCTTTTTTCCTTGACATCTGATGGGAGGGTGTTGCATAGGGCGGGTGCCACCACCGAAAAGGCCCTCTGCCTGGTTCCCTGTAACCTCACTTCTCGCAAGGAGGGAACCGCCGGAAGGCCCTCGGCGCTGGACCTCAGTGTCCGGGCTGAACGATGGGGGGTGGAAACGCTCCTTGAAGGAAAAGGTAGGGTATAAATGCAAGAAAGAAATAAAGAGACAGCCAGAGAGTCTTGCAGCCAGGTTTTTTGGTTTTTCTTTTTAATTAATAAAGTTTCATTTCAAGATCTGTAAAAAGAAACGGCTGGAATGAAACAAAAATCAAATTAAAACAAAACAAAACAAACCCCTAGCTTCGATCCTTGCTAAATATACATAACTCCTCATATATATAATTTCCATATATAATTATAGGCATTTTCTTGACTGTGGCAGAAGGCGAAGAGACAGCTTCTTCCCCCACCCAGACTATAACAGCCCCAGGCACCTTGGGAGTAACAAAGGAGGCAATGAAGGAGAGGGAGAGAGAGCACAGGTATTGGCAATGCAGAGAGGCCTCTGACTGGAGGGGAACTACCTTGTCCATGAGGTGGCGGCGGTTGGTGAAACAAATCCACTGAAGAGGCTGGATCCCTTGCTGGGTCCCCTTCTGAAGGGGTCGACCAGTGTTCTCCAAGCAGAAAGATGTTGGACTACAACTCCCATCATCCATGACCGTTGGCGAAGCTGGCAGGGGATGATGGGAGTTGTAGTCCAACAACATAGGGGATTCCCAAACACTGGTGCAGCCTATCCCACAACGTGCAAATAGGGGGAATCCTTAAAAAGCTGCAGGGGAAGGCCCGCCAAATATAAGACTCTTTCTCTGTCCCCCTCCAACATGGAGAGATCCATTTTAACCTAGCCCCCTGGGAAGGTCTCTGGTCAGAGGAAACCATTATCCAATCCTTAGCCCGCCAATTCTCTCCTGCATTAAGAATCCCGTAGAGGGGGAAACCCCGAGGGACAAGGTGGTGCCGGTGGCTGGGGCAATTTCCATCTCCAGGGCCGGCCCTGCCGGTCCTCGTAGGGGCCAGTTTTTATTTCGAATACGATTGGCTGGGACCTGTCACCCGATTGCAATAAACTCTGAAGGAAGCGAATCGAGGCAGAACAATCTTCCTCGTTTCCCGGCTGGTCAGCCGCCAAGAGCCCGACTTCCCTTTGGAAGGGAAGGAGCGTGATTGGCTAACCGAGCCCGGCGTTGGTCAACTGACCAGGCCGCCCATCCAATAGGAAGAGAGCTCACCCGATTGGTCACATTTCAACCCGTTTAAAGGGAGTAACAAACCATAATTCCCACCCCAAAGCGCACAAACTGCAGTTTCGACCAATTTTTTTTTTTTTATAAAAGAAAGAAAGAGGAAATTTGTTGCAGTGCCCACTAATTGGCCAGATTGACAGGTTCGCTGATGGGCTAGCGGCCCGGACCAACAGGAGAGGAGGGCTTAATGGATCCTGTTTCCTGCTGCTTCCCGGCGATCAAGCAACCGCCACTGCGGTGAGCTGGGGAGCTCTCGGAAACCGATCCCAGCTGACGAGAGAGACGGATCGTTTAAAAGCCCGGTTTCCCCGAGCTCGGGCCGATCTCCCAGCCAACCGGGAGGCCCGGCCTTTGAGCGGCGCCTGTCCTAGCCAATGGGGAAGCAGAGCTTGACGGCGGCCAACGAGAGCGCAGGGAGGGGGCGGGCGCTCAGTCCATCTTGAGGTTGACGTATATGTAGCGGATGAACTTGAGGGAGGCGAAGAAGGAGATGGTGCCCAGCATGAGGAAGAAGACGTAGCCGGTCAGGAGGGAGTAGCCGAAGAACTCCACCGTCTGCACCGCGCCCGACATGTTGGAGCGGCGGGAGTAGTAGAAGACGGAGTAGAGGAAGATGAAGAGGCCGGTGGAGCCCGCGCTGAGCACGGAGCGCCACCACCAGCGGTAGTCCTCGCCCGAGAGCTGGAAGTAGGTGAGGGCGATGGAGATACAGGCGCCGACGCTGAGAAGGATGGCGAAGACGAAGAAGAGGATTCCGTACAGGGTGTACTGCTCCCGGCCCCACACAGTGGCAAAGATGTAGTAGAGCTCCACAGAAATGGCGCTGCCAATGAGAATAAAGTTAATAATAAGCGTCTTTCCACCTGCCTTGCCCCACCCTCCAGCCCTGGGTCTCCTCATGAGGAAGCTGTGCCTGGAGGAAGAACTGTAAGGGGGGAGACTCCATCAGGCAAGGCCTCCTTCCACCTGCCTTGCCCCACCCTCCAGTCTCTGCTTCTCATTTTGTATTGTACAGTGGTGCCCCGCAAGACGAATGCCTCGCAAGACGAAAAACCCGCTAGACGAAAGGGTTTTCCGTTTTTCGATGCGCTTCGCAAGACGATTTTGCCTATGGGCTTGCTTCGCAAGACGGAAACGTCTTGCGAGTCTTGTGATTTTTTTCGCTCCCCCCCTTTTTCTAAGCCGCTAAGCCGCTAATAGCCTTTTAGCCGCTAAGCCGCTAAGCCTTTAATAGCCTTTAGCCGCTAAGCCTTTAATAGCCGCTAAGCCGCTAATAGCCTTTTAGCCGCTAAGCCTTTAATAGCCGCTAAACCGCTAATAGCGCTAATCCGCTAATAGGGTTGCTTCGCAAGACGAAAAAAACCGCTAGACGAAGAGACTCACGGAACGGATTATTTTCGTCTTGCGAGGCACCACTGTATTATGTTGTGCACTGTGGTTTGCTGTTGTTTAATTGACTGGAGTTTAGAAATTACTTATTGTTGATTGGAGTTTAGAAGTTTAGAAATTTAGAGTTTAGAAATTACTTATTGTAACTGTTGAGTGGATTTCTGTTTAACTTTAAAATGCTGATATTTAATATTATTCTATATTGTTTTAATGAATGTTGAATGTTACTTTATTTGCACATTGTATATTGTATTATGCATACTGTCTTATTTATATGATGTTAGCCGCTCTGAGCCTGGCTTTGGCTGGGGAGAGCGGGATACAAATAAAATTTATTTATTTATTTGTACCTCACCCGTCTGTGTTGAACCGCTAATTCTGGACACAATGGAGATGTAAAAGATTTGGATCATAATAATAATAATAATAATTTATTATTTATACCCCGCCCATCTGGCTGGGTTTCCCCAGCCACTCTGGGCGGCTACCAACAGAACGCTAAAATACAATAACCTACTAAACATTAAAAGCTTCTCTAAGCAGGGCCGCCTTCAGGTGTCTTCTAAAAGCCTGGTAGTTGTTTTTCTCTTTGACATCTGGTGGGAGGGCGTTCCACAGGGTGGGTGCCACTACCAAGAAGGCCCTATGCCTGGTTCCCTGTAACTTGGCTTCTCGCAGCGAGGGAACTGCCAGAAGGCCCTCAGTGCTGGACCTCAGTGTCCGGGCAGAACGAAGAAAAGATACAGGAGGAGATTATTAGGAAGAGGGCCCACAAAGGGGAGGATGGAAGTTCAGGAGATTCCTTGGGATATTGTTTTTATAGGACTGCAAAATTTTAATCTGAAAAACCAAATAAATACACTCGTACCTTGGACCCCAAACACCCTGGAACTCGGGACGTTTTGGCTCCCGAACGCCGCAAACCCGGAAGTGATTGTCGCCGTTTGCGAACGTTCTTTTGGAACCCGAAGTCTGATGGGGCTTCCGCGGCTTCTGATTGGCTGCAGGATCTTCCTGCAGCCAATCAGAAGCCGCGGTTTAGCTTCCAAACGTTTTGGAAGTCGAATGGACTTCCGGAACGGATTCCGTTCGACTTCCAAGGTACGACGGTAAATTTAAAAGCCAAAGAAATAGAGTTGCACCAGCCACTCTGGGCGGCTTCCAAAGTTGAGCTCCGTGGGATGCCCACGAGCTCCGACGTTATAAGAAAGCGTTCTCTAAGCGCTCTCTCTTTTGCAAACCTTTATCAGCTCACCTCCTACTTTACTTTTCACTTTTATTCATTTATTTATCCGCAAGAAAAGAGCTAACCAATCGAAATGAAAACAAAAAAATAAAGAGAAAGAGAAAAAAGGGGGGGAAGTATAAAGTCCTCCTTTCCAGGTAGCTCCTAACTTGCCCCACACAGAAAAAAGGTGAACTTTCCTAGCTCACCTGAGAGCATCCCTTTCTTCTCCCAACCTGGGAGATCTTCCCTTCCCCGCCTTTCACGCAGGGCCCTTCAACAACGAAGCATCACCTTCACCGGCATGTTAAAGGTAAAGGTAAAGAGACCCCTGACCATTAGGTCCAGTCGTGACCGACTCTGGGGTTGCGGCGCTCATCTCGCTTTATTGGCCGAGGGAGCCGGCATACAGCTTCTGGGTCATGTGGCCAGCATGACTAAGCCGCTTCTGGCGAACCAGAGCAGCGCACGGAAAAGCTGTTTACCTTCCCGCCGGAGCGGTACCTATTTATCTACTTGCACTTTGAGGTGCTTTCGAACTTTCATGTGGCCAGCATGACTAAGCCGCTTCTGGCAAACCAGAGCAGCGCATGGAAACGCCGTTTACCTTCCCACCGGAGTGGTACCTATTTATCTACTTGCACTTTGAGGTGCTTTCGAACTGCTAGGTTGGCAGGAGCAGGGACCGAGCAATGGGAGCTCACCCCGTCACAGGGATTCAAACCACCGACCTTCTGATCAGCAAGTCCTAGGCTCTGTGGTTTAACCCACAGCGCCACCTGCGTCCCTTCACCGGCATGTTAGCCGCTCCTTAACCCCGAGTAGGGCGACTGCACTCTGCATAACCCCACATCCTTATTTCAGACATCGTGATATATCGGCATATTGCTATGTTTAGCTGGTGATGCATCACGGTGTTGAAAACCAGACACCGCCCTGCCCTACCGCACGCAATAATAAAAGAAGCAAGGAAAAGAAGCAAAGGAAAAAAGAACGATAGAGGAAAGAAGAGAGGAAAAAGGAAACAAAGAAAGCAAAAGCAATATCATTTTTGGATATTGTATAATGATTTAATGTATAATGATTTAATACAGTGGTACCTCGGGTTAAGAACTTAATTCGTTCCGGAGGTCTGTTCTTAACCTGAAACTGTTCTTAACCTGAAGCACCACTTTAGCTAATGGGGCCTCCTGCTGCTGCCGCGCAATTTCTGTTCTCATCCTGAAGCAAAGTTCTTAACCTGAGGTACTATTTCTGGGTTAGCGGAGTCTGAAACCTGAAGCGTCTGTAACCTGAAGCGTCTGTAACCTGAGGTACCACTGTATTTCTTTTCTGTTATGTATTATTTCTCTTTTTTACCAAATTGTATAATGGAAAATCTAAAAATAAAATAAATAAAATAAAATAAAATAAAATGGGCAGCTCAGAGCCCAGGAGGGATAGAGAAGGACGGAGGCAGCCGGAGACCCAGGCTCTGCGCCGACTCTCACCTGAAGGGGAGGAAGCCCCCAATCGTCATATGAACCAGCGTGGACTTGTACCAAGGCTGGGGCGGGATTTCCCGGGCGATGTTCTTGGTGCGACAGGGGGCGTCAAAGGGCCCCGCCCGGTTCTTGCCGAAGATGCCGCCGATGACGGTGAGAGGGAAGCCCACCAGCAGCCAGACCGGTCAGCAGCAGCAGGATGGTGGTAGCCGGCAGCGCCTGCGTCGACCCGTTGGCCCAGTGCACCGAGTTGACGACACTCCACGTCAGGAAGAAAGGGAGCTGGGCAGAGGAAGGGAGAAGGAAGCACACACAGCAGCGTCAGCAACAAATAGCGGGGCCAGGCAAATTGGAGCCGCTGCCCCCCCCCACAAACGCTCCTTTGTGGCGGTCTTGTTAGTACAGTGGTACCTCGGGTTAAGAACTTACTTTGTTCCGGAGGTCCGTTCTTAACCTGAAACTGTTCTTAACCTGAAGCACCACTTTAGCTAATGGGGCCTCCTGCTGCTGCCGCGCCGCTGGAGCACGATTTCTGTTCTCATCCTGAAGCAAAGTTCTTAACCTGAAGCACTATTTCTGGGTTAGTGGAGTCTGTAACCTGAAGCGTATGTAACCCGAGGTACCACGCACTCTATTTCCAACGTAAAGATGTAAAGTGTAATGCTGGTGGCCAACAAAAAAGGTTTAAAGACTCTCTCAAGGCAAATCTTTAAAAAGGTGGTATAAACAATGACAACTGGGAAACACTGGCCTGCGAGCGCTCCAATTGAAGAACAGCCTTTACCAAAGGTGTCCTGGGCTTTGAAGACACTTGAACTCAGGACGCAAGGGAGAAACGTGCTAAGAGGAAGGCACGCTTGGCAAACCCTCAGCATGATCAACTCCCACCCGGAAAACTATGTCCCCCACTGTGGAAGGACGTGTGGATCCAGAATTGGCCTCCACAGTCACTTACTGTTAAGACCGTGTTTATGGAAGACAATCTTACTTAGCTATGAGTGATCGCCAGAGAAGAAAGAAAGAAAGAAGACGACAGGAGTGGGGAACATAGAGGAGACTCGTGAAGACTGCCACTAGCAGGGACTAAAGGTAAAGATAAAGGGACCCCCTGACCATTAGGTCCAGTCGTGGCCGACTCTGGGGTTGCGCGCTCATCTCGCTCTATAGGCCGAGGGAGCCAGCGTTTGTCCGCAGACAGCTTCCGGGCCATGTGGCCACCATGACTAAGCCACTTCTGGTGAACCAGAGCAGCGCACAGAAACGCCGTTTACCTTCCCGCCAGAGCGGTACCTATTTATCTACTTGCACTTTGACGTGTTTTCGAACTGCTAGGTTGGCAGGAGCAGGGACCGAGCAACGGGAGCTCGCCCGGTCGCGGGGATTCGAACCACCAACCTTCTGATCGGCAAGCCCTAGGCTCTGTGGTTTAACCCACAGCGCCACCCACGACTAGCAAGACCTAAATGTACAGAAGGAAGATATAAAGAGAGACCAGATTGTCCCAATCCTCTGGGCAAAGGAGAGGAAGCCGAAGACCTCTATCCTCCAAGGACAGGTTCCTCTCGCTCCCAACGTTTGCCCTGACTCACAAAGACTAAAAACGAAGCCTGGCCTCACCGGAGAAAAGGCTGGTGGTGAGCAGGATGTTCCAGACCCAACGCTCGCCTCCAATCTGGCGGTAGAAGTTGCTGGAGACATAGCCGGAAATGCAGCAGGTCAAGGCATAGAGAAGGATAGCGGCCGAGTTGATGGCGCCGTGCCGGTGGACGTTGAACATGCCCAGGAGTGCCATGACGATGATCCCCGTGCCCAGGGCTAGGAACTGGCTGCCCACCCCCAGCACGGCGCAGAGGAGGCTGCGGCAGGGCGGGAAGCGGAAGACGTCCGTGTGGATGATCTTCCAGCCGTTGTCGCCCTGGTCGAAGTCGTCGCCCGAGGACGAGGTGGAGGCCTCCTCGTCCAGGTTGTAGCGCGCCAGGTCGTTCTTGAGCACCCTCATGAGGATTACGACGACAAAGCCCACCAGCAGGAAGACCAAGACCATGGAGTTGATGATGGAGAGCCAGTGGATCTCCAAGGTGCGGGGGAAGAAGCCGTCGTCGCCGCTGCGGCCGCCTCGCCGGTCGCCTCGCCGCTCCAGCGCTGTCTCGGACCAGCGGACGCTGTAGGTGTGGGCCACGGGGAGGACGCTGCGGACGTCGTCCAGGCTGGTGGGCTTGACGTTGCGGACGCTGACGTTGGCGTAGATGATGCGGTCGCCGTTCCACTCCAGGTGGAAGTCCAGGTGGGTCCAGAGGCCGATCTTGTGGGTGTGGGGCAGGAAGCCGCTTTCCTCCATGTACCCCACAAAGCCGCGGAGAGGCAGGTCGTCCACCACAAACTCAAAGTAGTACAACTCTTCAATGGCTTGCCGGAGATGCTCCACCTGCCAGGGAGGAAGGGAACCGTCAGGACAGAAGGGAAAGAAAGATTTATAATGAACTGAAAAAGCTGTTGAAATATACATTTGTTAAGAAACCGGAGGCTTTTCTTTTAGGAATAGTAAGGAAATGAAATATGTAAAAAAGATTGTAAACTTTTCCAATACGCAGTAACAGCGGCGAGAATACTCGTGGCCCAAAAATGGAAACAGGAAGAATTACCGACGGTTGAAGAATGAAGATTGAAATTGACGGACTTTGCAGAACTGGATAAACTAACGGGGAAGATTCGATATTTGCGAGACCAGAAGTTCACCGAGGACTGGGGAAAATTTACAGATTATCTGAAAAGTATATGTGATGAACAGACAACGCTTGTAGGTTTTCAAGACGTTCTGTGAAAATATGAGGAATATTGTAAAAAAAGGGAATAAGATTGGGGAGGTTATATTTCAAAGGCAATATTAAAATTAGAAAATGTGTGAATAAATAAACAAAACGGAAGATTGGCAGAGAAACCGGGGGAAGTAAAAATTTAAAAAAAGAAGATTATGTGATAAATTCTGATATTGGTTATATAAATTTGTATTTGAAAATGAATAAAAAATATTATTAAAAAAGAAGGGAAAGAAACCAACACACCCCAAACGGTGCTTGAGTCGTAGAACTGTAGAAATGGAAGGGACCTTGAAGGACATCCAACCCCCTGCAATGCAGAAATTGTTCACCCAACGTGGGACTCGAACCCAGGACGCCAAGGTTAAATGAGACTCATGCTCTACTGACTGAGCTTGGTCTTACCGATGGCTTTCTTCCCCGAGATTTCAAAAGCCCGAGGAAGAGATTCAAGGAAACTGATCCAGGATGCCTGGGATTCAGTATTTACCTCTAATCTGAGAGTGCACAAATAAACTCTTTTATTTTTTTTCCATTTATTGATTTTATATACAGTGGTACCTCGGGTTACATGCGCTTCAGGTTACATACGCTTCAGGTTACATACTCCGCTAACCCAGAAATAGTGCTTCAGGTTAAGAACTCTGCTTCAGGATGAGAACAGAAATCGTGCTCCGGCGGCGCGGCAGCAGCAGGAGGCCCCATTAGCTAAAGTGGTGCTTCCGGTTAAGAACAGTTTCAGGTTAATTACGGACCTCCGGAACGAATTAAGTACTTAACCCGAGGTACCACTGTACCGCCCTACGCCTGGGGGGTTTCAGGGTGGTTCACAGAATAAAATCAAGATATAAAACCACAAAGCACCTAATAAAAATAAAACAGCAACCCAATACATACACCCCCCGAAAAAAATACCCCCCCCCAAAAAAACACATTTTAAAAGGGCATAGGATGTAAATCAGATCAACCAAAGGCCTGGTTAAAAAGGAACGTTTTTGCCTGGTGCCTAAAGGTGTATGTATAATGAAGGCGCCGGGCCAACTTCCCTGGGGAGAGCATTCCACAGATGGGGAGCCACTGCAGAGAAGACCCCGTTCTCGTGTTGCAACCCTCGGGACCCCTCAAGGAGGAGGCACACGAAGGAGGGCCTCAGAAGATGATCTCAGGGTCTGGGTAGGTTCATATGGAAAGAGGCGGTCCTTGAGGTATTGTGGTCCTGAGCCATTTAAGGCTTTATAGGTCAAAACCAGCACTTTGAATTGGGCCCGGAAACTAACTGGTGGCCAGTGCAGTTGCACCAGGATCAGTGTAAGATGCTCAAACCGTCTTGCTCCGATGAGCAACATGGCCACTGAATTCTGCACTAGCTGAAGTTTCCGAACCTATGGAATTTGCTGCCCATGAGGTGTAGCGACAGCAACCAGCTCGGACAGCTTTAAATGAGGATTAGACAAATTTGTGAAGGAGAAGGCTACCAACGTCTACTATCTCCACCGTCAGAAACAGGATGCCTCTGAATTTAGAGTGCTGTTGTGGGGGCTTCCCATAGGCCTCTGGTTTGCCAGGCTAAAAACAGGATGCTGGCTGAACACGTCTGATGTTCTAACCCAACAAAGTCCAGGTTAGATTCAGAGCCAGGAATAAGACACACACACGAAATCCCGACAAAGGAACAGTGGCAAGAGAAATTGATGAACTATGCAGAATTGGCTAACTGTGACTTTAAAGAAGAATGGGAGCTTTTTACACAGTACTTAAAAAGACAACAAAATGAATTGGACTCCTTGGCAGGTTTTGAATAAACACACACAAATTTAGTGTTTAGCAGGTGGTGCTGTGGGTTAAACCACAGAGCCTAGGACTTGCTGATCAGAAGGTCGGCAGTTTGAATCCCTGCAATGGGGTGAGCTCCCGTTACTCGGTCCCTGCTCCTGCCCACCTAGCAGTTCGAAAGCACGTCAAAGTGCAAGTAGATCAATAGGTACCGCTCCAGCGGGAAGGTAAACGGCGTTTCCGTGTGCTGCTCTGGTTCGCCAGAAGCGGCTTAGTCATGCTGGCCACATGACCCAGAAGCTGTATGCCGGCTTCCTTGGCCAATAAAGCAAGATGAGCGCCGCAACCCCAGAGTCAGCCACGACTGGACCTAATGGTCAGGGGTCCCTTTACATTTACCTTTTAACATGGTAGATAGATAATATAAGGATTGAATTAATTTTATAATATGCAGAGGGTGACATGTGCTGAGAAATCAGAGAGAGGAGCTGAGGGAAGTCTTGGGGGGGTTGATGGGGAATAGGGAAAAAGGAGGGGAAAATAATGAATATGATATGTTTTGATATACTGCTATGTGGAAATTGTTAATAAAAAAATTTATTAAAGAAAAAAAGGAATAAGACACACCCACACACCCCAATATCCTGGAGCCCAAGCTGACCAGAAGAGGAACATGTGTTGAGATACCAGACTCTGAAAACAATAACAGGAATCGGCTGTCAAACATGAAAGCCAAATTAGGGATAATAATAATAATAATAATAATAATAATAATAATAATAATAATAATAATATATTATTTGTACCCCGCCCATCTGGCTGGGTTTCCCCAGCCACTCTGGGCGGCTTCCACAGAGACCAAAAACACACTAAAATGTCACACTTTAAAAACTTCCCTGAACAGGGCTGCCTTCAGGTGTCTTCTAAATGTCATGTAGTTGTTTATCTCTTTGACATCTGATGGGAGGGCGTTCCACAGGGCGGGTGCCACCACCGAGAAGGCCCTCTGCCTGGCTCCCTGTAGCTTTGCTTCTCGCAATGAGGGAACCGCCAGAAGGCCCTCTGCGCTGGACCTCAGCGTTCGGGCAGAACAATGGGGGTGGAGACGCTCCTTCAGGTATGTCCCACAGAACCAGGAACCAGGAGGTAAACACCAGCTCCATGAAACAGACCTTGGAATCCAAGATTTTCTGACTGGCCTTACCTGCTCAGGTGTGAGCTTCATTTCGCAGAGGACCTTCTTGTCAACGTTCTCCCGGAAGCGGATCTCGTACATCGACTCGGCCATGCGGTCTCCATCCAGCACCTCCCCCAAGGTCAGGCTTTTGTGGCGGATATTCTCCGGGGAGCACACGGGGAGCTGGTAATAATGGTAGGTCTCCTGGGGGTTGTGGTAAGGCCCCACTTTGTTGACGTAAAGCATCACTGGGTCCCCCCGCTGGTAGTGGGTCTCTGAAGAGGCCGTGGATAAGAGGGAAAGGAGGAAGACGAGGAGGAGGAGGACAAGAAACGGGGGGCAGGCCATCATGGGGTGGTAACAGGAGAAAGGGGGGTGGGAACTGGGCCGGGGCTTTGGGAGGAAGAACAGAAAAGCATTATTCAGCGAGGTACAATTTCTCTGGAATCACATTATATTTATAGTTTTGGGGACACTATCTTGGCCAATGCCAACTTAAGGTCTTGGTCTTGGGTCACATTCACCCCACACATTTTGAAATCACTGTATTACAACTGCAAACAGCTATGGCTTCCCTCAAAGAATTTTTGGAGCTGTAGTTTGGTACAGGTGCTATGCAGCTGGAGACAGCAACACTTCCAAACACCAGTTGTGCTGGAAACCACGGGAGCATATCTCAAAGGGAGCAGGATGCTGCGATCTGGATGCTGGGCCACCGGCCTGATCCAGCAGGCGACTCTTACGCTCCTTATCAAATGATGGTTTAGAGATGCAGTTTTGACCTGGGGTGGGGGTGGGGGGTGAGAGGGAGAGGCTCAAGCCACAGGCATCCCTTCGTTCATCCACATACACACAAGTGCCATATCGGGTCACGGCAATCTGGGGACCCTTCCTTAAGCGGCCAGCCCCTTAGGTCCACAGTTTAGGGGGATGCCCACTCTGAATGCCACACTGCAGGGGGGGGGGCTGTACTTCATGGTCATAGAACCATAGAATTGCTGAGCGGAAAGGGACCCAAGGGTCATCTAGTCCAACCCCCTGTGATGCAGGAATCTTTCTGCCCAGCATGGGACTCGAACCCCTGACCCTCAAGTTAAGAGTCTCATGCAACGACGGCAGCAAGAATATTATCGGCACAAAAAATGGAAGCAAGAAGAATTACAGACGAAAGAAGACTGGAGGATGAAATTGGTGGGCTGTGCAGAATTAGACAAACTAACAGGAAGAATTCGAAACCGGCGGGACCAGAGATTCGCAGAAGACTGGTGTAAATTTACGGACTATTTGAAAAGTACGTCTGTAGTGATTACGTCTGTAGGTTTGCAAGAAGTTTTGTGAGGTGAATAATTTGAATGATTGCATAAATGGATAAAGAGGAGGATGTTAGTTAAGATAATTAAAGGCAATATGAATTTAAGAAATGCAGAAGAAATGATAAAAATGGGGGGTCATCAGAGGTGCCGATGGAAGTCCAAAAAGATTGTATAAGATGTGAAGTTAGGTGGTATGTATGACAATTGATATGTTTAAAAATTAATAAAAATTATTATATATATAAAAAGAGAGTCTCATGCTCTACCGGCTGAGCTATGTGAGTCTTATGGGGGGGGTTCTTTTGCAGGTGCAGCAATGGCAACCTAGGAAAACCCTCCTGCACCCACCCCAGAAGCCTAACCTGGGTGCTTCGGGGCCTCCCACCACCCTAAGCAGAGGAGCTGCCCCTCTGCCGCCCCCCAAAATACCCCATATGCCCCCCAAGCCTCTGCAGCACAGGCTCCCCCTCCTCACCTGACCTCACCTCTCTCTCTCTGGGGCTGCCCTTGGCGCCGCCTGAGGGTCTTGCACCTCCTTCTGCCCGGGGGCGGGGGAGAGGAAGCGGGGGGTCTCCAGGCGCCGAGGGTGAAGGGGGAGCGCGCCTCTCAGCCCCAGGGGCTTCCCATGCCCGCGCCTGGCCCCACTGCCCCCTTCAGCCCGGCTCCCAGCCCGCTCTCTTCCCAAGGCCGCTCTTCCCCGGCTCCCTGCCAACGAGGAGGCGCGGCGGCTAAGGGTTGTGGCGGATCATTCGAGGGGCCGGAGGCTCGCGGCGCCTCGGGGTCCTTCAGGCGATCTCCGAGGGCAGGCCCGGCCACGTCCGTCGGCTGCTTCCGCCCTCAGCAAGAGCGCGGGGGGCCTGGCTGCCCGCACGGTGACGTAATTCCGAGTTTGAGGGACACGGCGGCGGGAAGCGTAGACTCCATAGAGACGGCGAGAAAACACACAAACCCCCGGCTCGCGCGCATGCGCGCAGGAGGTTGTTCCGCTCTTGCCCCGCCCACCTGTTAAAGGGGCAGGCGCGAGCTGGAGATCGGCCGAGGGAAGTTCAAGCCGGGAGAGGAGGGAAGGTGGATGAGCCTTAAAGGCTCCATTTCCCAGAAGGCAAAACTGAGGCAGGAAATAAAGACGGCGGGGGTGGGATGCCGGATCTCCTTAATTCCCCCCAAGTGGAGTGCCCATGCTACTCCACTGATCATGCTAAGAGTGCATTTTCATTGCGTGGCTGGATGTTTGCCTACTTTGCAGCAGGCAGAAATCCAACAGGGGGAGGTATTTCCGCCGCCGCCACCAGCCACAACTAGGGAAAAAAAGAGCATGGCAATAATTTCAGTAGCCTTAGCAGCAGAGGCACCTCACAGCATTTCTGCCCAGGGCTGTTCTTGTTTCCAAAGCTTCGCAGGCCTGTGGGTTCAGTAGAAAGTGAGAATTCAAGTATTATTACCTAAAAAGAGAGAGAGAGAATTGTTAAGACTTCATGCTGCAGTAAGGAACCGGGACACTTTTGACACCTAGGTGTTTATTTCTGGATCCACCTTATTTTTGTAATTGCAAGCAAAACAAAATGCTAGCACGTTTGCAAAGCTAAGCAGTTTCAAATAGGATGGGGGAGGCACGTCTTGAGGGTGTCAAATTAGAGAACCCTCAGAATTCTTTCCAACTCTGCAATTCCTTGATTCTATGATTCTATTTTAATGTTGCAAATCACCCTGGGAACCTAAGGTGAAAGGTGGATAATTAACAGAATACAATATAACAGCATCCCATAGACACTCAAGGGGACGCGGGTGGCGCTGTGGGTTAAACCACAGAGCCTAGGACTTGCCGATCAGAAGGTCGGCGGTTCAAATCCCCGCGACGGGGTGAGCTCCCGTTGCTCAGTCCCTGCTCCTGCCAACCTAGCAGTTCAAAAGCACGTCAGAGTGCAAGTAGATCAATAGGTACCGCTCCGGCGGGAAGGTAAACGGCATTTCCGTGCGCTGCTCTGGTTTGCCAGAAGCGGCTTAAGTCATGCTGGCCACATGACCCGGAAGCTGTAGGCCCGCTCCCTCGGCCAGTAAAGCGAGATGAGCGCCGCAACCCCAGAGTTGGCCACAACTGGACCTAATGGTCAGGGGTCCCTTTACCTTTATAGACACTCAGTGACTGTAAAGGAAATGCCTATAAATCTCATTGACAAGCTGATGTTAGGCGATGGAGACTGAGGCCCCAGGAGTAACACTCTGTGAACATTTAGTTTACCTTGAGGTCAGGGTGCATGGGGTTGGTTTGCAAATCTCACAGACCTATCACTCTTCTCTTTCCAAAATCAAGCCTCCAAAAATAATGTCCAGACAAGCTGAATGGAGCCCATCGGCTCTGATGATAAAGATTATGGTATCGTATTGTATCACATAGCATCCCTGAAAAGATGGTGTGTTTTCCATTTGCTGGAGCTATGGGGAAACTGCCCATCTGCGCTGCACATTGTTATAGAACAAATTGGGGTTATTCTTTTGCAACCCAACTCTGCATCGAGAGATTTCAGTGCCCCTAAGTCTGTTTTCGGTCAAGGGGGAAATGTGTGGAGGTAGGAACCAGTGGAAAGAAAGCAAGGGAGATATTTATTTGTCTGTTGCCTCACAGCCCCCCTTGCAAGGACCCAGAACAAAGGTGTGTAACAGCTTTTAAAGACTAGAAATTGCCCAACCCCTTAGCCAAAGACCACCCAAAAGCATCGTGCAAGCCTCACAGAAAGAGGCGGTTTGCAACAGAAATCTGAGTGCACGGCTTGTCTCCTGTCTGTCAAGATACCTGAGTAAAAGGAATGGGGTGTGTGTCGTAAGTACCTGACATACCACAAAATGGACAGAGGGCTGCATTGAATTCGGTGACCCATGACCTTATGCGGACCTTGGTTCGAGGAGCTGCGTCCGAATATCTCCCCTTTAATCCTGGCTAACCCCCATGTATATGTCCTCAACTCCTTTCCTGAGCCCAATTTGGAAGTTCCATTCAACGCATGTTTGCGGCTGAAGGCCCTGCAGTGCTGCGAGATTATTTTTCGGCAACTGCGTTTTTGTCCGAGGCGAGGGCCTGGGATCCTGACGCAGCGCCTGCACCCTTTGTCTCGAGACAATCCCCCATTGCCAGCCAAGGAACCGGAACCCTGCCGACCAATGGGCACGAGCGGAATGTTGGGACGCGGCTATGACATCATCGGAATACCGGGGGGAATCCAGGTTGGTGGAGGGCGGGGGTTAAGGTGTTGTTGGCGGGGGGCCCGGAAGGCTGGACCTTTTCACCTCCTTTGAAGCTATCGCAAAGAAGGGTGCCAACTTGGATTCGCCCATCCCAGACACAAGTAGGGTGAGATCCACTGGATCTCACCATCGCTAAGGCAGAAAAACGTGCCACCCAGTTCCCTTTCAGTGGGAGAAATTGACCAGCCAGCCTTCCCACACCAGGTTGGGTCTATTGCCTTCCCATTAGACACCGCCAACCTAACAATTCTTTGCAGTATTGAGCACCTTCCCCGTAGACCTTGAGCTGAAGCAAGAAGCCACTGGCTGGTTGAAGGAGGTTTGAGGCAGCACACAAGACTTCAATCATGGTTGAACATTCGGCCTCCACGCCCTACGTCTCTGTGATGGACCAGTATGGTTACCAGGTCGGCAAAGTGATCGGCCATGGTTCCTATGGGACCGTCTACGAAGCCTATTTGCCAAGCAGAAGACGATGGTGGCCATCAAAATCATCTCCAAGAAGAAGGCCTCGGAGGATTACCTCACCAAATTCCTGCCGAGGGAGATACAGGTTGTTATTCTCATGGTGCCGCATGGATACCCCTTCCAGCCCTGAGCTTTTCCACAGGGCGCTTTGCCATGGGCTCGGGCATGTTTGTTTTGAGCATCCTCGGGACGTCACCCCCATCCAAATGCTGCTCTGAATTTCTTGCCCCCGTTTAATCCAGATTTGTTGTGTCCCTTGGGAAATCTAAGAGATTTGTGGGTTTGTTGTTGTTTAGTCGTTTAGTTGTGTCCGACTCTTCGTGACCCCCTGGACCAGAGCACGCCAGGCACTCCTGTCTTCCACTGCCTCCCGCAGTTTGGTCAGACTCATGCTGGTAACCTTGAAAACACTGTCCCACCATCTCGTCCTCTGTCGTCCCCTTCTCCTTGTGCCCTCCATCTTTCCCAACATCAGGGTCTTTTCCAGGGAGTCTTCTCTTCTCATGAGGTGGCCAAAGTACTGGAGCCTCAGCTTCAGGATCTGTCCTTCCAGTGAGCACTCAGGGCTGATTTCCTTAAGAATGGATAGGTTTGATCTTGCAGTCCATGGGACTCTCAAGAGTCTCCTCCAGCACCAGAATTCAAAAGCATCCATTCTTCGGCGATCAGCCTTCTTTATGGTCCAGCTCTCACTTCCATACATCACTACTGGGAAAACCATAGCTTTAACTATACGGACCTTTGTTGGCAAGGTGATGTCTCTGCTTTTTAAGATGCTGTCTAGGTTTGTCATTGCTTTTCTCCCAAGAAGCAGGCGTCTTTTAATTTCGTGACTGCTGTCACCATCTGCAGTGATCATGGAGCCCAAGAAAGTAAAATCTCTCACTGCCTCCATCTCTTCCCCTTCTATTTGCCAGGAGGTGATGGGACCAGTGGCCATGATCTTCATTTTTTTGATGTTGAGCTTCAAACCATATTTTGCGCTCTCCTCTTTCACCCTCATTAAAAGGTTCTTTAATTCCTCCTCACAAAGAGATTTGTGGGAGGAACAGCAAAATGGCAAATCCCGATTAAACGGGGTGGGCATTATGGAATGGCGTTTTGATGAGGACACTGTGAAAAATTTGCGCAAGCAGCACCGAGTTATAAATAAACTACTGGCGGGGAAGACAACCTACTTTTATGGTAACATCTTAGGAGTGGTTCCCAAACTTGCTTCCCAATTGACCACTTGAATATTGAGGAGGGTCTTCCTCACAGACCACATGATTGTTTTCCTGCTTCTTGCAACAGTTGTAATGAGCTGTGTGGTAGATGCAGCACGATTTTTATTGTTATTATTTTATTTCTTATGCATTTTCTGTTCTGCTGTACAGTGGTACCTCGGCTTACATACGCTTCAGGTTACAGACTCCGCTAACCCAGAAATAGTGCTTCATGTTAAGAACTTTGCTTCAGGATGGGAACAGAAATCGCGCTCCGGCGGCACGGCAGCAGCAGGAGGCCCCATTAGCTAAAGTGGTGCTTCAGGTTAAGAACAGTTTCAGGTTAAGTACGGACCTCCGGAACGAATTAAGTACTTAACCTGAGGTACCACTGTATAACCTTTTCAGCCCCCATAGAATTCAAATTGCAACACGAAACAGAGAGATTTAAAAATGCAGTTAAAAATCCATATGAATATTTTGTGCGAGGGCTGTGCCGTCTCCCGTCTTCAGCTGCGAAGGCCGCAGACACGCCACGGACCACCTAAAGTCCTAAACAAAGTTTGTGGACAACTGGAAGAAGGGCAGAGTTGTGGGCTGCAATTTTGAGGACACATCATAGGAGTCAAGAGATGGCAATCTTTTCTCAGTGCTAAATTTCTGTTATCAAGAGAACAGAATAAACCCCAAATTCTTGTGTGAGCCACAGGAGATCTGAAATCAGAAACCCTTCCCAGCTGCCCCTGGCTTCAATGTAATGTTGATTTTGGGCTTTATGACTTTGCATATGTTAATTTCCTTTCCCCTTTTGAAGAACAAACATTGCTTATTGACAGATGCTGGGTGCCTTCAATCCTAGAGGTCCATACAAGGCTCTGGCTGGATAGTTTTCCATTTGCTGGAGCTATGGGGAAACTGGGCAGCGGAGTCTGATATCCCATCTGCGCTGCACTTTGTTATAGAACAAATTGGGGTTATTCTTTTGCAACCCAACTCTGCATCGAGAGATTTCAGTGTCCCCTAAGTCCATAAGTCAGTCAAGGGGAAAATGTGTGGAGCTAGGAACCAGTAGAAGGAAAGCAAGGGAGATCTTTATTTGTCTGTTGCATCACAGTCCCCCTTCCCCCCTTGCAAGGATCCAGAACAAAGGTGTGTAACAGCTTTTAAAGACTAGAAATTGCCCAACCCCTTAGCCAAAGACCACGCAAAAGCATCATGCAAGCCTCACAGAAAGAGGCGGTTTGCAACAGAAATCTGAGTGCATGGCTTGTCTCCTGTCTGTCAAGATACCTGATAATGTTTTACTCACATTCTTTTAAAATGACGAACACTTGAGTTTCCGAAACCATTGTCATACACCTCTCCTATTCGTGCATAAAATGTGCTCTTTTCGCTGGATTTGTAAGTGAAAAGAACTTATTGGGAGAGGTTTTTCCAAGATGTTTCCTTCTGCAGAGAAATATTCGGGGTCATTAAGAGTCAAGATGATTTCTGGAGTGCTCTCCTGTACTATTTCAGACATGCGGATTACAGTGGTACCTCAGGTTACATACGCTTCAGGTTACAGACTCCGCTAACCCAGAAATAGTACCTCGGCTTAAGAACTTTGCTTCAGGATGAGAACAGAAATCGTGCTCCAGCGGCGCGGCGGCAGCAGGAGGCCCCATTAGCTAAAGTGGTTCTTCAGGTTAAGAACAGTTTCAGGTTAAGAACAGACCTCCGGAATGAATTAAGTACGTAACCAGAGGTACCACTGTATGTGCTTATGGATGCTTTCCCCATTTCCTTCCTCCTTGCAAGGAAATACAGTGGTACCTCGGGTTAAGTACTTAATTCGTTCCGGAGGTCCGTACTTAACCTGAAACTGTTCTTAACCTGAAGCACCACTTTAGCTAATGGGGCCTCCTGCTGCCGCCGCGCCGCCAGAGCACAATTTCTGTTCTTATCCTGAAGCAAAGTTCTTAACCTGACGCAATATTTCTGGGTTAGCGGAGTCTGTAACCTGAAGCGTATGTAACCTGAAGCGTATGTAACCTGAGGTACCACTGTATTTGAGGTCATTTTGGGAGAGTCAAAATGGCTCCAGGGTTGCTCTCCTGTACTGTTTCAGACACTATACTTATGCATGTGTGTTTGCCTTGTGCATTTATGAACATTTATTTTACAGTATATCTTAGACCTTATAATTCTCATAACAATGGGAACTCTGGAAATTGTAGGTTTGAGAGGGAAATTGGGTCTTCTAACAATTTTCAGCACCCTTAACATACCACATTTCCCAGGATTCTTTGGGGGAAACCATGAACTATTAAAGGGCTACGAGGCTGCTTTGAATGCATAGGGCAGGCAGGGCTTAAGTGTACACAACATAGTTTTAAAGCACACCCCAAAGAATTATGGGAAGTGTAGTTTGTTCTGGGTACAGAGATTTCTAAGGTAATCCCTGCTCCCCCTCAGAGAGGTACAATTCTCAGAGTGGTTAAACAATTGATCCCGGGAACTCTGGGAATCGTAGTTCTGTGAAGGGAATCGGTCCCAGACATGTATCAGTCCGTCCGTAACTTTTTCTGCTAATCCATTTCACCAGACGTTGGCACACGATCTGTTCACGGAAAATCCAGCCTTAGTTTTCTACTATTTGCTGTTTCGTTGTCTCACTGCCATCATAAAATATATTATCAGGTCTTTGCCAAGCCACCATAAAATACATTATCAGGTCTTTGCCAAGGCAACTTTGAGTTGCTTCCGTCAACAAAAGCATATAAAGCTAATATGGTTGGGCGTCAACATTTTTTACTATAAAACTTCCTGCCTGACTAGCACGGGTTGCAACCCCAAGAATAAATGTTGAAACATGCAACTCTGAATCCCCCAAGCAAATAAAGGAATATTTGTACAACCTCAGCAGGCATAATATAAATGTAAAGGTAAAGGTACCCCTGCCCGTACGGGCCAGTCTTGCCAGACTCTGGGGTTGTGCGCCCATCTCACTTAAGAGGCCGGGGGCCAGCGCTGTCCGGAGACACTTCCGGGTCACATGGCCAGCGTGACAAAGCTGCATCTGGCGAGCCAGCGCAGCACACGGAAACGCCGTTTACCTTCCCGCCAGCAAGCGGTCCCTATTTATCTACTTGCACCCGGGGATGCTTTTGAACTGCTAGGTTGGCAGGCGCTGGGACCGAGCAACGGGAGCGCACCCTGCCGCGGGGATTCAAACCGCCGACCTTTCGATCGGCAAGCCCTAGGCGCTGAGGCTTTTACCCACAGCGCCACCCGCGTCCCTAGGCATAATATAGTTCAGCCTAAAGCTTTGTAGCATATATAAAAAAAGTTTCACAAGAACTGGCAGGAGGAGCCTAGTGAGTGGAAAGGGGCACAGTGGTGTCAGATGTGGGCAAATCAATTTCCCCCCATATAACAAGAAGCAAACAACACCATAAAAACAATCCTATTGTTGTTGTTGTTATAATTTATATACTGCTCTATACCTGCAGGTCTCAGGGCGGTTTACAGAATAAAATCAAAATATAAAACCACAAAAACAATAATCAAAAACAAAACCTAAACCCCTGTCTCCCATACGACTAGAGATGAAAAACTTCTGGAAATTTTAAAGCCACAAGGGGGGAAAACACACACACACACACAAACCCCGTTTCCCCCCAGGAAAAATAGAAATTTTGGGGGGGAAACTTTAAAAGTTCAGTGTGGAGTAGTTTTACAAATTGTGTGAAACACAGTGTATATGAAAGTATTATTTTATGCTTGCTATAAAACAGGTAACCCCCTCTTTCCCTCAAAAGCAACAAAAAAAAGCAAGAAACCATCAGCATAAAAAATAATCAGATTTGCCCCTTAGCACCAACAGCAAATAAAGTTCAGGTCCACCTCAATATTTAAGCTCCATAGAAGGTCTACCCTTTGAGTAGTTCTTGGGGGGGAAAAGAAACAGAAGAAACCGTTTGACTTCCAAAATGTTCAGAAACCAAAGCACGGCTTCCATTTGGCTGCAGGAAGGTCCTGCAGCCAATCGGAAGCTGCACTGGACGTTTGGCTTCCAAAAATTGTTAGAAAACCAGAACACTCACTTCTGGGTTTCGATTGTTTGAGAGCCGATTTGTTTGGGAGCCATGGCGTTCAAGATCCAAGGTACGACTGTATATTAACATAACCCATATGTCCAAATAGATATTGAAACAAGACTGAGGGTTGCAAGATATACATGGAGAAGGCAGACAGATTTTCAAGCCAATGAGTAGTTGATAGTGGATATTTATTCCTCCAGTCTCATAATATAACTCTTTTTGTGACCATAAGAGTTTGCAGGATCCGCTTCCATTTCCCATCTGTTAGTCCATCGTTTATCATGCGAACACCTGCATACACCAAGGGTTTTCCTGAAACAAATTTAATCCAGATCCTTTCTGACAAAGCGCATGTTTCGCCTTGCCCTCCAGGTGATGAAAACCCTGCGCCACAAATACGTGATCAGTTTCTACCAGGCTATCGAGACCACGTCTCGCCACTACATCATCATGGAGCTGGCACCCTGTGGCGACGTCCTGGAGTGGATCCAGAAATCGGGCGCCTGCTCCGAGGCCCTGGCCGGGAAGTGGTTTTCTCAGCTGTCTCTGGGGATCGCCTATCTGCACGGCAAGGGCATCGTGCACCGGTGAGTAAATGGAGGAAATGGCGATAGGCCAGGAAAAGAGGCAGTCCTCAAAGCTGCCTCAAGAAACAGCTACTTTTAAGACCTGGGCTGTGTGTGCACCAGATCTACTGTATGCATGTCACATTCAAAGCACACACAGCTGGCTGGTGTTCAGAAGCACTTCCTGTCTGCCTCTTTCACATAGCTGTCAACTTACAGATTTTAAAATCAGGGACCAGCAGCCTCAAAAATAAGGGATCAGCAGCCAAAATAAGGGATTTTCCAAGCACAGGTATGTTCAACTTCTGAGCCCCTCCGAGCCAAAGGCAGAAAGCCCAGCCAGCAGCCAAACGAAGCCTCAAGCGGTGGCTCCCACAGCGCAGGAACCCAGCAAAGGGGATGCAGCAAGGAAAACCACCGTCCCCTCTCCGCTGGGAAGCACTGAGCAAAGGCGAGTCCCCAGGCAACGGGGTCGATTTGATCGGCACAAGGCATGCAAGCTTCACCCCCCAGTCGTTCTCAGACTCCTTATTGGGTGAGCAACGCAGCCAAGCAACACAATTGGAGCCTCCCTCCTCCCTGGCCGGCCGGGAGGGAGAGGAGCTGCTTCCTTTGAAACCCGGGAAATTTAAGGGACATCATCATTAAGGGACAGCAGCGGGACACGGCGCTGGGATAAGGGACTTTCCCGCCAAATAAGGGACGGTTGACAGCTATGCTCCTTGGAGGATGAAAACAGCCATCCTGGCTAGTAGCCATCAACAGCCCTCAACTCCTGGCTGGCTCGCCAAATCGTTATAAGAAAAAACTGCTCCCTTTTCCTTATGGGGTACCCAAGAGCCCGTACAGCAGGGGTAGGCAACCTAAGGCCTGTGGGCCAGATAAGGCCCAATTGCCTTATCAATCCAGTTCACGGACAGTTCAGGAATAGGCCTATTTTTTACATGAGTAGAATGTGTCCTTTTATTTAAAATGCATCTCTGGGTTATTTGTGGGGCATAGTAATTTGTTCATCCACCCCCCCAAAAAATAGTCTGGCCCACCACATGGTCTGAGGGACGGTGGACCGGCCCACGGTTGAAAAAGGTTGCTGACCCCTGCTGTACAGAGTCCTTATGTAGGTTCTCTATCAGTAGGAGAAAATAACTGGCCAAACAGATAATTATGAGAAGCAAAGCAGCTAGTAAGCCTGATCTTTATTAAACTGTTGCACCAGGGTCCCCACTCCCCACACGCAGGAGGGAGGAGAGAAACCCAGAATAAGCCCTTATATAGACTTTTGAAATTGCCCACCTTGTAGCCCAAGGCCACTCCCCCCCAAAACATCATCCATCCATCACATAAGGAGGTGGTCTACAGCAGAAATTTGAGTGTGTTGCTTCTCTCCTGTCTGCCAGGATACCTGATCATGCCTTACTTGATTGCCTTTTCTGGGTAGCCTGGACATTCATTTGAGATGGTAAATACTTAGTAAGCCTTCAAAAGACAACCGGAAAGCTTTCCCCATTTCCTTCCTCCTTGCCGAGAAATATTTGAGGTCAATTTGGGAGAGTCAAAATGGCACCAGGATTGTTCTCCTGTACTATTTCAGACACGTGGCTTATATACTTACGTGTTTGCTTTGTACATTTATGAACATTTGTTTTATATCCGAGACCTTAGAATTCTTATAACACCCTTCTTTTTATCTGTCCTGAGCATTCAGCTTTGCGCAATGTCCAGGAGTTCCAGCATTGAGGGAGAGGGAGCGAAACTTCCCTTTATGCCATGCTTAATTTAATAAATTTAATTTAATAAATGTCTGTCTTCTTGCTTCTCACTCGCTTTTCTCCAGTCCCTTTTTGGGGAAGGAGAAGTCCCCAGAGCTCCAGACTTCCTTGGTAGTGGAATCCCCCCCCCCAAAAAAAACCTCTCTGGTTGTCGTTTTCTGAACCTTCTCCAACTCTGCTATATCGTTTCCACACTCGAGTCTGAACCTAAGATGTCCCTATGAGAAAATCCTGCAGGTTTAACCCACTTCCCCTGTGATAGGAATTTTGAGGTCTTAGATATTAGTTAAATGTTCATAAGTGTACCAACCAAGAACATACATAGATCAGCACAGGAAGACCGACCTGGAACCATTTTGATTCCCAAACTGAGCAAATGTTTTCTCTGCAAGGTCAAAGGAAAATGGAAAAGCCTCCCCATTGTCTTTTCCTTCACAAATCCTGTCTTAAGGGTATGTCTGTGTTTGAATAGGGTGTGAGCCTGTGACCTGGCCCAGGAACTAAGTATTTATCATTACAAAAGACTGGCCAGGCTACCCAGGAAATCCAATCAAGTAACCTGCCAGACAGGAGATAAACAAGGACAGGAGAAAAACAACATTCAACATTTCTGTTTTAGACCGCCTTTTCTATGATGTAGGTGTGATGTATCTGAGGGGTGGTCTTAGGTTACACGCCTTCTGTGATGTATGTATGATGTTTCTGGGGGTGGTCTTGATCTACAGGGTGGCAATTTCAAAAGTCTTTATAAGGCCTTGCACACCATTTTTCTGGGTCCTTTCTCTCTCCTGCAAGTGAGGGGAACACCCTGTTGCAACAGATCAATAAAGGCCAAGCCTACAGGCTGCTGTTTTGCTCCAAGTAATCCTGGTTGGTGTCTTTGTTTTTGTCCAAGGGAGCCCTCAGATTTTTTCCGTTAACACCTCTAAGATCCCCAACCGAATCCCTGTCTCTTTCCTTTTCTCCCCGCTACCCTTTCCCGATTGCAGGGACCTGAAACTCGAGAACCTTCTCCTCGACAAGCGCGAAAACATCAAGATCTCAGACTTTGGCTTCTCCAAGATGGTGTCCACCCAGACGCAGCCTCCCCCGACGCCGTCCTACCGCATGATGAGCTGCTTCTCGCACCTGAGCCAGACGTACTGCGGCAGCTTCGCCTACGCTTGCCCGGAGATCTTGCTGGGCCTGCCCTACAACCCGTTCCTCTCCGACATCTGGAGCATGGGGGTTATCCTCTACACCTTGGTGGTGGCCCACCTGCCCTTCGACGACACCAACCTCAAGAAGCTGCTGCGGGAGACGCAGAAGGAGGTCAGCTTCCCCAGCCACCTCCAGATCAACGAGGAAATCAAGGTGAGCGGCGCGACACCTAGGAGCCGTACCCACAAAAGCCACCAGGGGGGCGCCGTGCCAATACCACTGAGTGCCACTAGGGACGCGGGTGGCGCTGTGGTCTGAACCACTGAGCCTCTTGGGTGTGCTGATCAGAAGGTCGGTGGTTCGAATCCCCGCAACGGGGTGAGCTCCCGTTGCTCTGCGCCAGCTCCTGCCAACCTAGCAGTGCGAAAGCACACCAGTGCAAGTAGATAAATAGGTACCACTGCAGTGGGAAGGTAAACGGCGTTTCTGTGTGCTCTGGTTTCCGTCACGTCAAAAGCGGTTTAGTCCTGCTGGCCACATGACACGGAACGCTGTCTGTGGACAAACGCCGGCTCCCTAAGCCCAAAAGTGAGATGAGCGTCGCAACCCCATAGTCGCCTTTGACTGGACTTAACCGTCCGTGGGTCCTTTACCTTTACCTACTCATGGGATAACGGTGTGGTGCCCATACCCCAGTAGGGGCTGCTGATGTGGGGGTGCTGTATCCAGGCCCTCAAAATCCACTATGGGGTACTTGTGCAATGGTGTCCATACCCTCAAATGCCACTAGGGGGTGCTGCTGCATGGGTGCTACCTCAATACCCTCAAAAGCCACTAGGGGGCAGGTGCGGGACGGTGGTGCTTCTGTGCCTGCCCCCTAAAAAGCCACTCTGGGGTCCTCGTGTAAGAGGTGTTGTCTCCTCTCCCCTTGCCCTCAACTCACAGCTTCTCTTCCTTGGGCTTTTTTTTTTTAAAAAAAGTTTTTATTATTAAAATAATTCAACATTAATACACACATATTGTGAATATACAAACATACATTTCATAGCAGTCCTTAAAAATGTTCAAACATACCTACACTCAATCCCACAGATAATTCCTTTTCCCTTCACCATCCACCACCCCTCACCCCACCTTTGTGTTAGACTTCCAGTCTACTCAATTGCAATTTCTTTCCATTCTATTACTTTCTTTCACACGCCTTTAACCTAATTTCATGCTCCTTTTTCTATTACACATCATTATCCATCTTATTTAGTATTCCAGTATTTAAAACGGAACTTGTTTATTCTAATAGGAGTTCTGATTTCTCAATATGGTTTTGCAAGTATCCTTTAAACACCTTCCAGTCCCTGTCTATCTTCTCTTTTGAGATCTCCTCCTTGGGCCTTTAACTGGGTTGGAACAGGCAGAAATCCAACAGGTGCGGTTTTTCCAGCCAGTGCCATTCACACGTCAGCCTGGCTGCAGCGCCGATACTCTCGACTGCAGCAGGCGTACTTACTGTGGGGCTGGCCCTGCGTGAACCTCTCCACCCACCCAGCACCCTGAGGCTGTATCACGGGGGTGGCAGGAATGCCAGCTACACCCTGGTTGATCACCTGCTTCCTCTAAGCATGGACAAGAGCTGTTACCCGACTCTCACGGCGCCTTCCTCCTGGAGCCTTCATTCTCCCGACGTCAGCAGCTTCCAACGATTGGCAAGACACGACTGACCAAGGAGGTGGGCACCCAGCTCCTGGGAGTTCAGAAGAGGGCAAAAAATACCAGCCGCAGGCAGAGTTGGGGGTTCTTTCCCGCCCACGGCAGAAGTCCAAATTTATCGGGGCTCCTCACCAATTTGGGGTGGCCTTGTTGGCTCTTGCGGGCTGCAGCAGGAGAAATATGTCACCCAGATCTGAGGAAACAAGCTCTAAAGCCAGATGCCACTGTAAATCGTTTAGAACAGGAGTCCTCAAACTTTTTAAGCAGGAGGCCAGTTCACTGTCCCTCAGACACTGTTGGGAGCCGGACTACAGTTTGAAAAAAAAAATGAATTCCTATGCACACGGCACATATTTTATTTATAGTGCACAAAAACAGGAAAAACAATACAATATTTAAATTGAAGAACGGTTTTAATCAACATAAACTTTTAAGTATTTCAGTATGGGACTTGCTTTTGGCTCCTGAGATAGTCAGTATCCGGTTTCATATATGTCATTAGTCGTAGCAAGTGTTTATCAGTTAGTCTGGATCTGGTTGGAGATTTCACATGTTTCATTCGGGGGAAAGTCTGTTCACAAACATAGGTAAAGGTAAAGGGACCCCTGACCATTAGGTCCAGTCGTGCCCGACTCTGGGGTTGTGGCGCTCATCTCGCTTTATTGGCCGAGGGAGCCAGTGTACAGCTTCCGGGTCATGTGGCCTGCATGACTAAGCCGCTTCTGGCGAACCAGAGCAGCGCACGGAAACTCCGTTTACCTTCCTCCTGGAGCGGTACCTATTTATCTACTTGCACGTCATGCTTTTGAACTGCTAGGTTGGCAGGAGCAGGGATTGAGCAATGGGAGGTCACCCCGTTGCGGGGATTTGAACTGCCAACCTTCTGATCGGCAAGTCCTAGGCTCTGTGGTTTAACCCACAGCGCCACCCGCGTCCCTGTTCACAGACATAGGTGCTGCCAGAGATGGTTGCGATTTTGAGTGCACGGTTCCTGAGATTAAGATATGTCTTAGAGGGGAGAGATGCATAAAAATTAGTGAGGCTGCCTGATTTGAATGTGTCTTTCACAATTTTGTAGTTCGGCCAATTCCATTTGGTAAATCGGACTGACAGTTTCAATGTCAACAGAAAACTCTCAGCCACAGAGCATAGAAGGAGAGAATGCAAAAGCACCGGCCTGTGTGTGCAGGATCGCATCATCCCTCCTCTTGCACGCAAGAGTTACTTGCGGTATCAACGGACGCTGGATGCAGAGGTCATGCTCAGGCACAGGACGCCATACTTCCTTTCGACATAGACCCATTAGACAGCGGCGGGTTCTGCAATTGCTGGGCAGGCCGGGTTCAGGACTGGGCGGGCCAGATCTGGCCTGCGGACCGTAGTTTGAGGACCCCTGGGTTAGGAGGACCGCAAGATGCCTCAAAAGGTTAAAGTTTGTTGTTTGATCCCGGAGGGAAATGAACACGACTCCCGTGACTCCCCTCCTCCTTCCTGGGAGCCTGATTTTGTCGTCTCCTTAGGTCAGCGTGCGGAATCATGTGCCAACTCCCCGAACCTTAAGAATGTAAGGCCCGATGGGGCTCTTTTACTGGGGCTTGCAGGTAACACACTCCCAAGGTCGTTTTCTGGGCTTCTTCAGTGGTCTAATATCAAAGCCTTGATATGTATTTTTCGCTCTATAAGACGCACCAGACCACAAGACGCACCTAGTTTTTGAAGGAGGAAAACAAGAAAAAAAATATTCTGAATCTCAGAAGGCAGAACAGCAAGAGGGATCGCTGCGCAGTGAAAGCAGCAATCCCTCTTGCTGTTCTGGCTTCTGGGATAGCTGCGCAGCCTGCATTCGCTCCATAAGACGCACACACATTTCCCCTTACTTTTTAGGAGGGAAAAAGTGAGTCTTATAGAGCAAAAATACGGTATATTGATATTCAATTTCATAATGAATAGTATTTCTTGATTTAAGCATAAGAGACCGATTTGCTTAGCAATCAGCGGCCTCACTTGGACTGCCAGGGCGAAATAGGTGCAAAACGCCAGCACCCTGTCTACAACCTCATGAACATTCATCTACAACTTCACTAGCATCTCTCAGTATTGTGAACAACACCAAACTTACCCTTTGTTGGTATCTTTATGAACTTACTTAAAAAGATAAAGAAAACAAAAGACTGAGTCAAGCATTTGAAAAATCTATTGAAATTAGACATTATAAGTTCATCTTAGGTTGGGTAAGTTTCTGTGGTTTTGCACAAGGTTTTGTATTTTTCTCAGACGATCAATAAAGAATGTATAATTATTTTGGTAATTAATGGTAAAGGTAAAGGGACCCCTGACCATTAGGTCCAGTCGTGGCTGACTCTGGGGTTGTGGCGCTCATCTCGCTTTACTGGCCGAGGGAGCCAGTGTACAGCTTCCGGGTCATGTGGCCAGCAAGACTAAGCCGCTTCTGGCGAACCAGAGCAGCGCACGGAAATGCCGTTTACCTTCCCGCTGGAGCGGTACCTATTTATCTACTTGCACTTTGTGCTTTCGAACTGCTAGGTTGGCAGGAGCAGGGACCGAGCAACGGGAGCTCACCCCGTCACGGGGATTCGAACCGCCAACCTTCTGATCAGCAAGCTCTGTGGTTTAACCCACAGCGCCAGCCGCATCCCTATTTTTTTGGGGGGGGGAGGTAATTATTGTGTGTATATTAGTCGCCAACGTGTTGCACGAGTCGTACTACTTCTATTTGCAGCACAGGTTGCATTTTTCTAGCATCAGTCGTTAAGCAGCAACAGCATGCATGATGGTTTGCGGAGTACAAAAAGGTTAGACTGCGTCCTCTACGGTTTACGGTCTTCCCCGCGAGATGGCTGTTGCTAAGGTGTGTTTGTGAGAGAGAGAACTTGGGTAAATTCAGAAGCGGATTAGAGCTCCAAAAATTGGAGGGAGAACTCCCTTCCTCTTCACTGAGACCCTTGCTAGATTTTGCTACAGACATAGCTTTCATTGGGGCTTTTTTGGGGGGGGGGCGGAGAAACATGGCCAGATGAACTATTGTTTTTTCTTTTCTTCAAACAACCTGTTACTAAGACCATCCCAGTTAAATCATAAAATTGTAGAGTTGGAAGGTGTCCTGCAAGTCATCTAATCCAATTGCCTGCAATGCAGTAATCTTTTGCCCCATGTTGGGTCTCGAACCCACAAGCCTGAGATTTAAAGGTCTCGTGCTCTACCGACTGAGCTACCCCAGGTCCCAGACAGAAGCTTTTCCGTTTCAAGTATTGTTCAATGCAAAGGACGGTTGTGCACACCTTGGTCTCTGAGCAGCGAGAGACTCCGGCGCTTACCTGCAATTTGGTTGCGTTTCCTTGGAAATTAAGATCAGCGGAGACTGCAGTGTCCTTAGGCTATACATATTACACAGATATACAGCCTTAACACTCCAGATCTTGCCTGTTCATGATTACGAGTCCAGCACACATCAAGACAAGCCCCTGTCTCTCCAGCATCAGCCAAAACTCACAACCAACTTGCCTGGTTCTCCTTCCTAGCATCATGTGGCATCCAGCCAGGCGAGTTCGGAAAGTGCTTACAGCTTCCTGGAAGCATCTTGAGTAGTCGCTATGGCAACACATCTCTTCCCAGTTAATGCCTTAAGATGCTGATGAGGCCACCAAGACCATTACCTGAACAAAGGAACTGGTTTCCTCTTGCAGATTCTAACCTTGCAGGTGTAGGAGCGCAGGTTCGGGACCCCTGGGCATCATCCAAATTGACCCCCCTAAAAAAATCTATTGCTAGAATCGAAGATTGTTGTTGTTGTTTAGTCGTGTCCGACTCTTCGTGGCCCCCTGGACCAGAGCACGCCAGGCACTCCTGTCTTCCACTGCCTCCCGCAGTTTGGTCAAACTCATGTTCGTAGCTTTGAGAACACTGTCCAACCATCTCGTCCTCCATCGTCCCCTTTTCCTTGTGCCCTCCATCTTTCACAACATCAGGGTCTTTTCCAGGGAGTCTTCTCTTCTCATGAGGTGGCCAAAGTCTTGGAGCCTCAGCTTCAGGATCTGTCCTTCCAGTGAGCACTCAGGGCAGATTTCCTTCGGAATGGGGAGGTTTGATCTTCTTGCAGTCCATGGGACTCTCAAGAGTCTCCTCCAGCACCAGAATTCAAAAGCATCCATTCTTGGGCGATCAGCCTTCTTGATGGTCCAGCTCTCACTTCCATACATCACTGCTGGGAAAACCATGGCTTTAACTATACGGACCTTTATCCGCAAGGCGATGTCTCTGCTTTTTAAGATGCTGTCTAGGTTTGTCATTGCTTTTCTCCCCAGAAGCAGGCGTCTTTTAATTTCGTGACTGCTGTCACCATCTGCAGTGATCATGGAGCCCAAGAAAGTAAATGACAGGCGTAATTTTTTGCAGAGGGCTCCTGCTCCTTTGCTGCACTGGTCTCTCATAACCCTGAGCAGGGATGGGGAAGTTGTGGCCAAACAGCTCATCGTAAAGGCTACAACAGCCGGCTGTCCTGAGACCATTGGCCACACTGGCAGGAGATGTTTGGATCTAGAGTCCAAGAAGACCTGGCAGGGCACATCTTTCCTCCTACCTCAGATCTAACGAAGGCCTCTTTATAGACGATGCCTCCTGCGACGCACAAGGGAATAATCCAAAACCGAAAGCAAACCTGCTTTTCCACTTTGGAACAATTGTTTTCACCCAGTTGCAAATTCAGTTGCTTAATCGGTTGCCTCTCGTACAGTGAAGATCTTTTTAGCTGAGAGTTTTTTGTGGATGGTCTTGTGGATGGCTACCAGCCATGACGCGACGCGGGTGGTGCTGTGGGTTAAACCACAGAGCCCAGGGGTTCGAATCCCCGCGACGGGGTGAGCTCCCGTTGCTCAGTCCCTGCTCCTGCCAACATAGCAGTTCAAAAGCACGTCAAAGTGCAAGTAGATAAATAGGTACCACTCTGGCGGGAAGGTAAACGGCGTTTCTGTGCGCTGCTCTGGTTTGCCAGAAGTGGCTTAGTCATGATGGCCACATGACCCGGAAGCTGTACGCTGGCTCCCTCGGCCAATAAAGCGAGATGAGCGCCACAACCCCAGAGTTGGCCATGACTGGACCTAATGGTCAGGAGTCCCTTTACCTTTTACCAGCCATGACGGCTGGCCTTGGCCTCCACAGCCATGTTTCTGAATGCCAGTTGCTGCAAACTGCAGGAAGGGAGAGGGCCCTTGTGTTCGAATCCCGCTTGCAGGTTTCCCACAAGCCCCCTGGGAGAACAGGCAGGCGAATTTAGCGGCGCTGTGGGTTAAGCCACAGAGCCTAGGACTTGCCAATCAGAAGGTCGGCGGTTCAAATCCCCGTGACGGAGTGAGCTCCCGTTGCTCAGTCCCTGCTCCTGCCAACCTAGCAGTTCGAAAGCACCTCAGAGTGCAAGTAGATAAATAGGTACCGCTCCGGCGGGAAGGTAAATGGCGTTTCCGTGCGCTGCTCTGGTTCGCCAGAAGCGGCTTAGTCATGCTAGCCACATGACCCGGAAGCTGTACGCCGGCTCCCTTGGCCAATAAAGCGAGATGAGCGCTGCAACCCCAGAGTCAGTCACGACTGGACCTAATGGTCAGGGGTCCCTTTATCTTTACCTGGCTTGATCCGGCAGGCTCCTCTTTTGCAGCGGTTAAATCGCCTGTCCGTCTCTCCCCTGCAGGAACTGGTCCACCGCATCCTGCGCCCTGCTTCCAAGCGGCTGAACATCCTGGAGGTGCTCAAAGTCCCTTGGGTGCTCAAGTTCCTGGCTGAGAAGCCGACCACCGAGATCAAGGCCCTGGAAGCGATCTGCGGACCCCGGGCAGCCGACACCAGCAAGAACGCCACCACGCCCAGCACCACCAAGTCCCGCTCCCTCACCTTCACGCCGGACAAAAAGAAGGCCGCCAGCCGGACCCGCAGCACCGGGCAGATCAAGGGGACTAAGACCCAGGAGAAGCCCATCTGAAGGAGGGGAGACATCTTGGAACGAGGGATGGGGGGAGGCTGGAGTCTCTCACCTACAGTGACCGGGCGATATTTTCTTTGGGGGGTGAAAGTCCAGGGGGTGGGTGGTCTAGGGTGTGCACAGGGACCGTAGGGGGGAAAAGGAGGGCAGGGAACAGCCAGAAAGAGCGTTGCAGCCCCTTCTCTTCATCAGGCCTAAAGGAACAAAAGCAGCAGCAGGTTTCGGAAAATGACGTTTGGGTGCCATCTCTGAAATGCGAGATTAAAACCGAAAACAGAACAGTCCTTTGGGGTTTCGCGGAAGTCAATTTGGGAAGGTGGGTAACGGACCTTTACGCTCATCCCTTCTCTGTGATTTCTTTTATTAATGCACACCCACAAAATAAACCATGAACCATCATATACAGTGGTACCTTGGGTTAAGAACTTAATTCGTTCTGGAGGTCCGTTCTTAACCTGAAACTGTTCTTAACCTGAGGTACCACTTTAGCTCATAGCTGTCAACTTTTCCCTTTTCTTGCGAGGAATCCTATTCGGAATAAGGGAATTTCCCTTTTGAAAAGGGAAACGTTGACAGCTATGCTTTAGCTAATGGGGCCTCCCGCTGCCGCCGCACGATTTCTGTTCTCATCCTGAAGCAAAGTTCTTAACCCAAGGTGCTATTTCTGGGTTAGCGGAGTCTGTAACCTGAAGCGTTTGTAACCCGAGGTACCACTGTATGTACATTCCCTGGGGTTACTGAGCCAAAAGGCTGCGATTCTCGATTTCGCAGAATGGTAGCTTTGGAAGGGACCCAGAGTGTCATCTAGTCCAACCCCCTGAGACGCAGGAATCTCAACCAGATCCCTCCACAACATGTGGCCACTCAACCACTTGCTTAAAAACCTCCAAGGAAGGAGATCCGCTAGCTTCCGAGGGAGACCGTTTCACTGTCGAACTGCTCTTCCCGTGAGAAAATTCTTCCTGATGTTTAGCTGGAATCAGTGGTGTAGCAGAGTTTGCCAGCCTCCAGGGCATAGAGGGCGAATAGAACCTGCTGTGCTAGCCCAGGCCTTGCCACTGCCGCCCCTGGAGCGCCCCCCCTTCTGAGTTATGCTGTGCTGCCTGTCAGCCCACATGGGGGGACGACAGCCGGCCGACACCGCCTTTGGTGGTTGGATTCCCCGGACGTCCACCAAGAGGAGTGCCAGGCTGGGCTGGGCCCTTTACCTGCCTCCCTCAGCCTCTGCCCGCTCGCCAAGTGCAGTGCGAACGACCCTCTGTTGTGTTCCTGAGCTCAGCTCCTTCCCCAGCGAGGAAATTGGGAGTTTGCAGAAAAGCCACCTTAGCAATAGCAAGCGTGGCAACGTACAGCATGTGGGGTTTCAGCAGGCTCTAGGAAGCGGAGGACCAAAACACAAAGTCGTTGGTCCATGCTGTACAGTCCGCAGTGCCTTCCTGCGTTTCAGAAAGGGGACCATTTCAGCCCCACGTGGCTCTTTGAAAAAGGTGCCATTTTAGCGGGTGGCCACTGTCTAGGACTTGCCAATCAGAAGGTTGGCAGTTCGAATCCCCACGACGGGGTGAGCTCCCGTTGCTCGGTCCCTGCTCCTGCCAACCTAGCAGTTCGAAAGCACGTCAAAGTGCAAGTAGATAAATAGGTACTGCTCTGGCGGGAAGGTAAACGGCGTTTCCGTGCGCTGCTCTGGTTCGCCAGAAGCGGCTTAGTCATGCTGGCCACATGACCCGGAAGCTGTATGCCGGCTCCCTCGGCCAGTAAAGCGGGATGAGCGCCGCAACCCCGGAGTAGTCTGTGACTCGACCTAATGGTCAGGGGCCCCTTTACCTTAAAAATCAGGCAGGGCAGTGTATGTGGGGAAGCTTATAAATGATGCAAAGTGAGTAGCAAACACGCCCAGCAAACACCAATGAAAGTGAAGGCCGGGTTCAGAGTATGAGAAAATCTAAGTGCTATAGTTTAAATTAAGATGTAGCGATGTGTGCTAATAGCTTCCAGTGAGGAATGGGAACAGAGATCTGGCGGTCGCTCTTACCCGCAGTAACTGAGCAGAGCCTCCAAGCTCAAGAGCAGTCTACCTCTAATTGCACGGGAGAGGGCTAAAGAAGGGTGGGCAGTGGCTTCGTTGGGCACATCTGATTGGGCAGCGTGCAGAACAGAGGGACACTCTGTCCAATCCAGGAGGGCGTAGAGAGAGCCAAGAGGGGAGGGGAGGACTCGAAGAGCGCCGCTTCCCTCCCCAGCCCCGTCCTTCGAACAACGAAACAGCAGAAAAATTTCCGGCCACGTTTATTTTCAGAGTTGTCGTCGTAAAGGCCACTGCAGCATGTGCGCGTGAGAGGGGGGGTGCGGGTTGGGGCGGAAATCCCTCCCCTTCCCCCTCCGAATTCTTGGCCACGAGGAGATACAAAAAGAAGAAGAAGAAACTAACGACGGAGACGAAGACGAGAGAGAGAGAAAAGTTTCCGAAAAAGTTAGCGGGTTAGCACAGATCCGAGTGCAAATAACATGTAAACGCCACCCCAAGCCACATTTAAACAGACACGCTGTCGATAGGAACAGAGAAGGAGAAAGAGAGAACGTACCTGTTCGCATCAGACCCCCCCACCCTCTTGGCACAGTTCCACCCACCCTGCTGGGTTGGCATCATTCATCATCATCATTTTTTTAAATTCACATGCTGGTGGGGAGAAAATCTGTAGCATTGGTAAAGTTACGAGGCTGGGGGAGGGGGGGAATGACCAAGGCGTGAGGCATGGAGCCCCCCCCCAGCAAACAGGAGGAGCGAAGGAACACTGAACCCCCACAATTTGACACAGGCCCCAATCCCACTCGCAGCGAGTGCAGGGGGAGAACTTAACTCCGTGGAAAACCCTCTGCCTCATTTCTGGGGAGGGGGGACTCGCCCTCCCTGCCCCACCAAAGCCCCCTCACATGTTTACAACTGTGGAGAGGGTCCCGGGTTTGCTTGGGAAGGGCCAAGCACCAAGATACGCTTGCAAAGTTTGGTCCTCGAGTTTTACAGAGGGGTAACGCGGGGGGGTGCGGGGCCGATCTCCCGTTCCCAAGGCAAGCCCCCTTTCCCCTCCCCACGATACAATCTGTTCATATATATATATATATATTTCATATATATAAATCTGTCTATATAAAACTCTTTACATTCGGCACGTAAGGTTATTTCAGGCAGGGGCGGGGCGGAGGGGGTGGGGGCGTCGGTGTTCACCACCCCTCCCCGAATCTGGAACTGAAGGAGGAAGGCGGGGGGGGGGGGGGAAGGTCCTCTCCCGTCTTCCCAGCCCTCCGAGGAAGGGGAGGGAGGGAAGGAAGGGAATTTCCCACAATGCATCACGACACCCAGGCGGCGAGCTGCTTCATTTCTTCGTCGTCGTCGTCGTCCACCGCGGAGGCAGAGGCGGGCACTTTTGAGGCTGGCAAAATAAGAATAATAATTTATTATTTGTACCCTGCCCATCTGGCTGGGTCTCCTCAGCCACTCTTGGCGGCTTCCATCAAAGATTAAAAATACCGTATTTTTTGCTCTATAAGACTCACTTTTTCCCTCCTAAAAAGTAAGTGTGCATCTTATGGAGCGAATGCAGGCTGCGCAGCTATCCCAGAAGCCAGAACAGCAAGAAGGATTGCTGCTTTCGCTGCGCAGCGATCCCTCTTGCTGTTCTGGCTTCTGAGATTCAGAATATTTTTTTTCTTGTTTTCCTCCTCCAAAAACTAGCTGCGTCTTGTGGTCTGGTGCGTCCTATAGAGCGGAAAATACGGTACATTAAAATGTCACACATTGAAAACTTCCCTGAACAGGGCTGCCTGAACGGAGGGAGGGAAAGGATGAAATCAAAATGTAGCAATGGCGCCCCAAAACTTCAACCCTCTTTCAAACGGTCCTTGGAGCTCCCGCCTTTACTTAACTCCTTGCCTCGGGGTAACTGTTTATTTACTGGATTTATATGGACTTTGAAGACACTCGAACTCAGGACGCAAGGGAGAAACGTGCTCAGAGGAAGGCACGCTTGGCAAACCCTCACTGTGATCATCTCCTGCCTGGAAACCTATGTCCCCACTGTGGAAGGATGTGTGGATCCAGAATTGGCCTCACTTACGGCCTCACTGTTAAAGCTGTGGTTTATGGAAGACCATTTTACTTGGCTACGAGTGATCGCCAAAGAAGATACACTGGTACCTTGGCTGTCAAACTTAATCCGTTCCGGGAGTCCGAAAACCCAGGCACAGCTTCCAATTAGCTGCAGGAGCTTCCTGCACTCAATCGGAAGCCGCGTCAGATGTTTGGCTTCCAAAGAACGTTCACAAACCGGAACACTTACTTCCAGGTTTGCGGCATTCGGGAGCCAAAACGTACACATACCAAGGCGTTCGAGAACCAGGGTACGACTGTAGCGCTTTCAGGCAGACGTCACAAAGCGGTTTGTGTAAGGTTACGGCAAGAAGAACACACACACACATACAAAGGGCCTTCTCTTTTTAAAAAAATCACAATATCCAGGCTGGATTATGACCTTTGGAGACCCTAAGCACTTAAAAACTTTTGGAGCCCCCATACCTATCCAATTCAAAATATAAGCCGGAAAATAAAATTTTATTTTTCGAAATGAAGCAGAACCTACATTCAGGTGGGAAATGATGCTTATTTTTGTACGCTTCCACTTTACGTCCACTCACTTTCTCCAGATCCTTTTGGGACTGCCGCCCCACACCAGCCAGAGGCATGATGGGAGTTGTAGTCCAGTCACACTTGGAGTGACCCAGGTTGGCAAAGCCAGGGCTTTGAGGGGAGCTGAAACAGCAAGCAACGCCATCCCAAGACCCAGGGGCTTGTGCCCACCTCGCTGCCTCCCCAGACCCCCTTACCTGGCACGCTGGGCAGGCGAGAGGCAGGCACGCTGGGCAGCTCAGGGGTCGGTTCCCCAACATTCAGCAGCTCCTTGTCCAAGTCTTCCTGCTCCATCTCCTCCAGCTCAGCTAACAGCTCGTCCTGAGGGCAGCAAAGGCAGGGGGATGAGTAGAAACACAAAACAGGTACCCATTGCCAGTCCCCCCCTCCCAATGCCCACTGCCCCACTCCTCTGGGGCTCAGCCCCCCACCCCCAAGGCGGATCTGCAGACCCATAACCGAACTCCCTCCTCCACTTTTCATGAGGGAGAGGACCTCCCCTTTTTATTATTATTATTAAATATTTTCTTGATTTACAAAAGTGTGTGCAATGTCTCTCTCTCATATATATATATATTTTTCCATGCAACATTTTTACAAATCAGTTTCATTTGTTGAGACATTGGGAAGACAAGGGGGAAAGAGGGGGGGGGAGATGAGGGGGGGGGTCGGGTGGCGAGGTTTCTACAGTGGTACCTTGGGTTAAGTATTTAATTTGTTCCGGAGGTCCGTTCTTAACCTGAAACTGTTCTTAACCTGAAGCACCACTTTAGTTATTGGGGCCTCCTGCTGCTGCTGCGCCACCGGAGCACGATTTCTGTTCTCATCCTGAAGCAAAGTTCTTAACCTGAAGCACTATTTCTGGGTTAGCGGAGTCTGTAACCTGAAGCGTATGTAACCCGAGGTACCACTGTACTTTATGTGGGGTTTTGTGTCAGTGTCACTTGTGCAGGTTCTTTGCTCTTCACTTGTGTTCCTTTGGTGGTGAGAGAGGTTGGGGGTGGCCTAGGGTGTGGTTGTTCACTTGTGATTGGCTGTGCTGAACTTTGTTTTTGTGTGTGGGTGAGGTGGGTGGGTGTTTTGGATCAGGTTAGCCATATTGATTTGTATGCCGTTGGTGGATTTTTGTCAGTGTCTTGTTGGGCTGTGTAAAGGGGAGCCATACCGGGGTGAAGGTGTCTTCTTCTATTTGTCCCCGTGTCAGTTTCAGTTTATTGGTTAATTTTTCTAGCAGGGCTGTTTCCCATACTATTTGGTACACTTGGTCCATGCTTACTGCCTGACAGGTCTCTCCAGTGTCTGGTTATGGTGTTTCTGGCTGCGGAAAGTAGGTGGGTTATGAGTTCTTTGTGGTGTACGTGGGCATTATTGTCTTGGAAGATGTTTAGTAAGGGTCCCCCGCTTTTGACGTTACCTCATCTACGTCGTCCCCAAAGCCGACAGGCTTCGAGATGGCGTCGGAGATCTGCTGCGCGATGTCCTGCTGCTCTGTGATCTCGGCCATCAGGTCGTCCACTTTGTCGATGTCCCTGGAGAGACGGGGTGGGGGAAGAGGGTGAGACACAGCGGAAGGGGCAGGTGGGCTGCTTTTGCTGTTGCACCAGGAAAGCTCCACCTCGAGGGAAGCGGGGGAGGCCAAAGGAGCTGGAAGACCGAGCAAATCCGAGATCCAGGTCCGAAAATGCGAGCAGCCGCCACGAGGCAAAATCCACAAGGCAGGGCTAAGAAGGATGGAGCCAGGCTTTGAAAGGGGAACCTTTCTTTAGCCAAGGGCCGCAATCCCACCAGGGCACCTTTCTGGGGGCCACAGGTCTGGACGCACACAAGCCTCTCCATCCTGGTTTGACCCCAGTCAAAGACACAGACCAGACAGGTAAGCTTACTGCCAGGTAAGCTTACTGGAGGGGGACTCAGAGATGGCCCAACAAGGGGCGTGGCCTGGGCAGAGGATTCTGGGAGCTGTAGTTTGTTAAGGGCACTGAGCCTCGCTAGGAGAGCCCTATTCCCCCCCTCACAGAGCAGCCATTCCCAGAATCCCCCGGGAAGAGAAAGTGGCTGTTAAACCGCCCCGACAACCATAGCTCTTGTGAGGGGAATAATGGGGTCTCTCAGCACCCTTATTGGACTACAGCTCCCAGGATTCTTTGCGGGAAGCCACAACTGCTAGCATTGTGTTTTAAATAGAGAAGATGCACGTGGCCAGAAATGATCTCCTCCTTCGCACTTGGGGCTTGCTGCTCTCTCCGCCTTCTCTTTTGCCCTTTCCAGGCTCCACGCAAGCACCCCATCTCCCTCCCCCCTCCAGGCAGCACAGACGCCTGCCCTGAAGGCCCCACAGCCTCGGGACCCACATGTGCTGGTGGGCTTCCTTCATGGCTCGGGCTGCGTCCGACATGGTCTTGAGCACTTCGGTGTTGGTGGTGGCGTTCTCGAGAGCCTCGCGCTGGAACTCGATGGTGGAGAGGGTCCCGTCGATCTGCCCCAGCTGCTGCTCGTAGCGTTTCTTCCGCTTGAGGGCTTGCAGGGCAGCTGGTTCGAGAAGGGAGGGAAAGAGGCAATGCGTTATTCTGTTTTTAATATTCAGTTGACAGCTGCCCAGAGTGGCTGGCATATCATCATCATCATCATCATTTCCATTTACTCTCTGACACAGCCCACCACTTAAACTTTACAAACCCTCCATTTCCTCCCCTAAGGCTACAGGGTCCCATTCCTCAGAAATGTAGGATGTGCTGGAAGCAGGCACACAGCTCCCTAAAATCCCCCGGCTTTCATTTTGACACTGCTAAGTTTCTTTTTTTAGTGTGTGTGTGTGTGTATAATTGAATTTAAATATCACATCACAAAAGTAAAAAGAAAATACACCACTTAATTTTATTTATACAGTGGTGCCTCGCAAGATGAAAATAATCCGTTCCGCGAGTCTCTTCAGCTAGCGGTTTTTTCGTCTTGCGAAGCAACCCTATTAGCGGCTTAGCGGTTTAGCGGCTGTTAAAGGCTTAGCGGCTAAAAGGCTATTAGCGGCTTAGCGGCTTAGAAAAAGGGGGGGGGAGCGAAAAAAATCGCAAGACGTTTTCGTCTTGCGAAGCAAGCCCATAGGGAAAACCGTCTTGCGAAGCAACTCAAAAACGGAAAACCCTTTCGTCTAGCGGGTTTTTCGTCTTGCGAGGCACCACTGTATATGACATTTACTTTTTGGTAACATTTTACTTTCTATATAACATATTTTTGCTAACCGACAAGCGGTGTATTTTCTTTATTTTTCTTTTAACACTGCTAAGTTTCTAGTCCTTATGAAAGCAAAGCCCTTTCAAAGCTGCTGCTTTAGGGATGAAGGAAATTTCCATTTTTGTTTCCTTAACCGGCCCCCTTCCTGGACCCCACATTCCCCATATCTCCCTCCACTGCTCCATTCACCTCTTTTGTTTTTCGTCCCATGTTTCTTGGCCGACTGAAGCTCCTGCTGGATCTTTTGCTCCAGGAATTCTTGTTTCTTGACCAGCACCTCCTCCGTCTCCCGCAGCTTCTGGATGGCCTCCTGCGGGGTAGGGGCTTTGGCCTTCTTACCTGGAAAGGGCCCCGGCCAGAGAGGGTGGGGGGGGAGGGAGAGAAGGGAGAGAGCCAGAATGCCCATTAATCCTCCAGCATCAATCCAACCTATTTGAGAGCCAACAACAACAGGGACTAGAACCATTGCTTGGAAAGGATGGTGCTAAAGGGAGACTGGCCAGCCCACCAAGAGACACCCCAGGTGAATTATGGGCTTTTCCCAGCAGCCATCCTTCTCCTCCATGACTCTCTTGCCCTGCTTCAAAATGGTGGGGGGGAAGCTGCCGCCCTACACCCAGAAACTGATCACTGGGGAAGAAGATAAGTTAACCCCCCAAAATAGAGCTTTTTGGAAATATGGTACAGTCCACTCCCCCCCCCCCGAAAAAGCTTGGAATGAACCCTTCCCCTTCCTTCAATACGTTTCCCTCCTTTGTTTTTCTCCCTCCACCAAGCCAGATTCTTTTCCTCTCCTCCCTCCTCCCCCCCAAGACACAAATGGTTTCTCCCAGCTGTCCGTGATCCCCTATGGCGATTGGGCGATACCACCCTCCTTCAAGGTGGGGGAATGTAAAGGTAGGGGCTCACCCTTCCCGAAGAGCTTTCCCAAGCCACTCATCTCGCCTGGTTGGTAATTCACTGGACTTCCTCTTCCGGCTTCATCCACCTCCCAGCCTTACACCGCCTCCATCCCCCCCCCACCTATCACATGACAACAGGGAAGGACCAGGGCAAAGGGGTACCAGTCTTCCTAGTTCTCTATAGAGACATCAGGTTCCCAATTTGAACTGGCTACTCTCCTCTTATGTGGAATGGGAGTGGAATTGCATTTTTTTAAAAAATGGGTTCGACCGAGACTCATTTATTAATTGCAGTTCATTCCCAATGAGGCTAATTAATCGTGGCCCAAGTCCTACTGATTTAATTTGGAATCTATTGCAAATAACTTACTCTAGATTGAAGACTGGGACCAACCCAGTGATTTTTTAAAATTTTTATTAAAAACAAACAAACACTATGGCTGCTTCAAAGAGCAGCAACGAAAGGAGAACCTCTCGCCTTGTTTGGATTTTGGCAATTGGGACTGGTTTTTAGCCATGGATTCCGCCATCGCTCCACCACGCTTGCCCCGCACATGGGAGGTGGTTTTACAAATGGAAACCGGAAGTTGAGGTTGCGGGGAGCGTCCAATTAATGGTATCTCTTTGCACCAAATCTGGGCACGGGACAAAAACGTGGGCAGGGAATAATATGACGTGATGTCTCTCCCTCTCTTCCCCCTCCCTCTCTTAAAGGAGCCGCGCCGCCCTAAAGAACCCCTTTCCAATCCTGAAACAGAATTTTGTAGTCTCGAAATTAAATTATGAAGATCCATTTCGTACAGGGGCCAAATGATCTACCTGGTTTTATGGGACTGAATCCACATTAATCATTTTGCCTGCAGTTTGAAGGTCCCCACCCCAAGCTGCCCCACCCATCCCATAATAGCGCCCCTGATCTTGAAAAAGCTGCGGGAGATTTCACAATCCAACAGGTATAGCCTTCCACTGTGGTGGAAAGAATTAGGGGTGGGGGCTCCCCTCCTTTTCACACTGATTTTCCATGTTTACTATACCAGATATGGAGATCCATTGACTCTCCTCTGTTTTAAGACTCCTATCTCCCATCATCCCTGTTTTATTGGCTGAGGCTGACAACCCAAAAAAATCTAGAGTCCCCTATGTTAAAAGCACTTCTTTGTAATCTGGCTGACATGTCTCTTCCCACTTGGCTCTGGGCATTCACACCTTTTCCTTAACGTATTATTGTTGTTTAAATAAACATGAACTAACTGAAGATGTGATAAGAATTTTAAAGTCTTAGATATATAATCAATGTTCATAAATGTACCAACCAAGCATGTACATAGATCAGCAGAGGAAGACCAACCTAAAACCATTTTTGATTCCCAAGCTGACCAAATGTTTTCTCTGCAAGGTCAAAGGAAAATGGAAAAGCCTTCCCATTGTCTTTTCCTTCGCAAATCCTGTCTTAAGGGTATGTCTGTGTTTGAATAGGGTGAGCCTGTGACCTGGCTCAGGAACTAAGTATTTGTCATTACAAAAGACTGGCCAGGCTCCCCAGGGTATCCAATCAAGTTAGCATTAACAGGTAACCTGTCAGACGAGATAAACAACGCACTCAGATTTCTGCTGTAGACCGCCTTTTCTATGATGTATCTGAGGGGTGGTCTTGAGCTCCAGGGCAGGGAATTTAAATTGTCTATGTAAGGACAGGCACACCTTTGTTCTGGGTTCCTCCTCCTTTCCTGAGTGTGACAGGAGCACCCTGTTGCAATAGATCAATAAAGATCAGGCATACTAGCTGCTTTGCTTCTCAATATTCTCTGGTTGGCCTCTGTTATTTTCTCCTACCAATAGGGAACCTACATAAAGACTCTTTATGGGTTATTGGACACCCCATAAGGGAACAAGGGCAAATGTTTGTTTACAACAAAGACAAGCATGTCTCTGGCCATGTGCAAAGTACACCTTCCTCAGTAGTAACTGCAGCTCAGCACTGTGAGCATATTGAGGGTGAAAGACTGTAGGGCCTGGCCATTGCTTTTAATAATAAAAAAGGGGAGGGGAAGCATTGGGCCTGACTGACCTGATTCTGGATATTGCATTTAAAAAAAACCAAAGCAAAAACAAACCCACACTACTCATGACTTTTAAGAAATGCATTGCATTGCCTGCTTGAAAGAGCAGAGTAAAGATATTGCAAGAAGCACAATTGTGCCAACTCTTCTGTGTATTCCTTTGTTCTCTGCGCTTGGTTCTTAACAAACGTTATATCAATTTTACATGATAAATAAGTGTCTGATCCCACAGTGACAGTGGCGTAGCGTGGGGGGTGCAGGGGGGGCCGGCCGCACCGGGCGCAACATATTGGGGGGGGCGTTCACACTCGCAGCTCTCTGCCCCTACTAAAATCCACGGATTAGGGGGCGCAAATTACTTGCCTTGCCCCGGGTGCTGACAACCCACGCTACGCCACTGCACAGTGAGAGAGAGAGAGAGAGAGGAAGTGAGCCTTAACTTGCTCCTGCCTACCTCAGCCAATTAGAAACCAGCAACCCACAAGACAGTTCTTGGGCTGCGGCTCCCATCAGAGTTCACAGAATGATAGAATTGTCGAGTTGGAAGGGACCCGAGGGCCATCTAGTCCAACCCCCTGCAATGCAGGGATCTCAACTGAAGCATCCATGGCAGATGGCCACCCAACCTCTGCTTAAAAACCTCCAGTGAAGGAGCATTGTATTCCAAAAAACTGGAAGGTGCAAAGTTGGAAAAGGCTGGGAGTCATTTTGGACTCACAGCTGTCCATGGAGGCGCAGGTTAATTCTGCATACAGGGTGGCTGTCTACTAGCTCCATCTGGTACGCAGGATGAGACCCTCCCTGCCCGCGGACTGTCTCGCCAGAGTGGTGCATGCTCTGGTTATCTCCCGCTTGGACTACTGCAATGCGTTCTAGGTGGGGCTACCTTTGAAGGTGACCCGGAAACTACAACTAATCCAGAATGCGGCAGCTAAACTGGTGACTGGGAGTGGCTGCCGGGAACATATAACAACAGTCGTAAAAGACTTGCATTGGCTCCCAGGACGTTTCTGAGCACAATTAAGAGTGTTGGTGCTGACCTTGAAAGCCCTAAATGACTTTGCCCCAGTATACCTGAAGGAGCGTCTCCACCCCCATCGTTCAACCCGGACACTGAGGTCCAGCTCTGAGGGCCTTCTGGCAGTTCACTCCTTGCGAGAAGTGAGGTTACAGGGAACCAGGCAGAGGGCCTTCTCGGTGGTGGCGCCGCCCTGTGGAACGCCCTCCCATCAGATGTCAAGGAAATAAACAGCTACCTGACTTTTAGAAGACATCTGAAGGCAGCTCTGTTTAGGGAAGCTTTTAATGTTTGATGTTTTATCGTGTTTTTAATATTCTATTGGACAAGACCAGTTGCCAGTTGCTTCATCAGGCATCCTGGGTCATAAAGATAGTAGGTCGCTTCTTTGATGTAGTTTGAGTGGCGCTGTGGGTTAAACCACAGAGTCTAGGACTTGCCAATCAGAAGGTCGGTGGTTCGAATCCCCACGAAGGGGTGAGCTCCCGTTGCTCGGTCCCTGCTCCTGCTAACCTAGCAGTTCAAAAGCACATCAAAGTGCAAGTAGAGAAATAGGTACCGCTCCGGTGGGAAGGTAAAAGGGCGTGTCCGTGCGCTGCTCTGGTCCCAGAAGCGGCTTAGTCCTGCTGGCCACATGACCCAGAAGCTGTACGCCGGCTCCCTCGGCCAATAAAGCGAGATGAGTGCCGCAACCCCAGAGTCGGTAACAACTGGACCTAGTGGTCAGGGGTCCCTTTACCTTTAAAGGCCAGGAAGAGAGTTCACAAGGAGATGGTAAATACTCTTTCCTTGCCATCCTTCCTTCCTTCCCTGCCTATTTATGACCTCTGGGGTTTTGCTGAATGCATTCCTCTAGTCCTGTTTTATTTACTCTCAGATTTGTATGCATGCTCAAAGTAGTCTTTGTAGTTAACAGGATTTCTTCTGATCTGACTTTGTCCCACGTGGGGTTTTTTGAAACGCTCAGAGCAAATCTGATCGGTTCTTACGGACACTGTGTAAAATGTCCTTTTGTGAATAAAACGACCTGGGCTGAGGGGTGGAGAGGGTTATTATTATTATTATTATTATTATTTTGGCACCTCTCCCCAGAGTCTTGCTGGCCAAGCCTCGTGTGTACAGTGGTACCTCAGGTTACATACACTTCAGGTTACATACGCTTCAGGTTAGAGACTCCGCTAACCTAGAAATAGTACCTTCGGGTTAAGAAATTTGCTTCAGGATGGGAACAGAAATCGGGCTCCGGCGGTACAGCAGCAGCGGGAGGCCCCATTAGCTAAAGTGGTGCTTCAGGTTAAGAACAGTTTCAGGTTAAGTACGGACCTCCGGAATGAATTAAGTACTTAACTCAAGGTACCACTGTATTTTATTAATCAGAGTCCAATCCTTCCTTTGCTTTGGGAACGCTACAGGTATCAGGTAAGTCCAGGCTGTTAACACGCGTGTAAAAAGATGCGCGGCAGGGAAACACGTAGAGGGTTTATTGCACGGGGTCAAAATCCCGCCCCCACCAGCACACTCCACACATGACGAGAGAGGTCCGGTTTGCGTCAGCCGCAGGCGGCACTCAGGAGCGAGCGAAGGCTTCTAGGCCCTGTTTCAGGAGGGACAGGTTCATGCCATTGGGGACGAGGATACATGTGACTCCTACGTGGAAGCGAAATAGGGGGGAAATAGATTGCACATATCCCTGCCCCCCCCCTTCATAGGAAGGTGACATTCAGAGTCAGCCTTGGGGTCCGCTTAGCTCAGGCTTGTCTCCACTGACCTACAGCAGCTCCCAAGAGTGAGGCGGGCGCCCCCTTTGCCCCACAGACAGCAGCCTCCGCCGCCTAGGGGCGAGGGGGTCACACGCAGCGGGCACATTTCTCCCCGTTACCTAATTTGCTGACGTCGTAAATGTTGCGGCTTTCGTCGTCGAAGAAGAGCATCTGTGAAAAGGGAACCCCGGTTTGTTGAGACAACCTGAGGAGGAGCAAGCGAGGGGGAGAATTAGAACTCGTCGTCCCGTTGCTCCCATAGACCAGCCTTGCCAATGGCGTGCCAACCGTCAGTGGTGTCCAAACTTTTTTCACAGGGGGCCAGATTTGATGAAGTGAAGGGCCGTGAGGGCAGAACAAAGGGCCAACCAAAGTCGTTAACCTTTTTTTTAATGACTGAAGTTGGTGAGCTTTTTTTTAGGATTTTACCCCAGGAAATAAACTACAAAACAGGGGCCGGATTAAACCGTACTACCAAAATGATTAGGGTTTTAAATGACAATTTTAGGTTATATTTTAGTGATCAAGATTTAATATATATTTTTAACTGCCACTATACAGTGGTACCTCGGGTTACATACGCTTCAGGTTAAAGACTCCACTAACCCAGAAATAGTACCTCGGGTTAAGAACTTTGCTTCAGGATGAGAACAGAAATCGTGCTCCGGCGGCGCAGCAGCAGCAGGAGGCCCCGTTAGCTAAAGTGGTGTTTCAGGTTAAGAACAGTTTCAGGATAAGAATGGACCTCTGGAACGAATTAAGTACTTAACCCGAGGTACCACTGTATCTGAACTGTCTCTGTTATACCCAATTGCAATTCAATGTATTCCTGTTGTGTTTTATGTGTATTTTCCTGATATTGTAAGTGAGCCAGAACTGGACTGTAATAATAATAAAATTCAAATAAACCAACCAGCGGGCAGGATTAGGCCCAAGAAACGGACAGAACTTGGGGGACATCACTGTGAGGGCGTACAAAGAGCCAATGGCTTGTCCAGGCTCCTCTTTTCACAGCCACCTGCCCCCCAACCAACGGGATGTAGGTCTTCCCTTACTTCTGGAAGTGGGTGACTTTGCTGCCCGGGTAGATCTCTGCGTAGCGGATGAAGCGGTTCAGGCCGAAGAGATCCAACAGCTGATTAGCCCCTCGGATCTCACCTGTCCTAGGAAGAGAGAGGGAGGGGTGGAGAGATTCATATTTGAGATCGCTTATAAGTCTTGTTTATTAAATAATACCCCTTGCAGACGACCGCAGTGCCTGGAGACGGGCAGTCAAGTCGTGCATCCGTAGCAGGGACCTGAGGAGAAATGACTGCTGGGAGGAGAACGGAGAGAAGAAATACAGTGGTACCTCGGGTTACATACGCTTCAGGTTACAGACTCTGCTAACCCAGAAATAATACCTCGGGTTAAGAACTTTGCTTCAGAATGAGAACAGAAATTGTGCTCTGGCGGCGCAGCGGCAGCAGGAGGCCCCATTAGCTAAAGTGGTGCTTCAGGTTAAGAACAGTTGCAGGTTAAGAATGGACCTCCGGAATGAATTAAGTACTTAACCCGAGGTACCACTGTACCACGATGCAACCGGACGGCTTACTCTGCCCCGGCTGCAACAAAACATGTCTCTCCTGTATCGTCTCTGCAGCAACAGCAGGCAACATCTTGACCTCACCCCCAAAGGTGCATTCTTCCATTGTCTCCCATCGTCAAACAAGGTTAAATTTGTAAGCTCAGGGATTTTTCTCAGCTGGAACTCAAGTTCCGGCACCTCTCAGGTCAGTGCCACTGCCATTGTAAGAGAGGCGTTCACGGCGAGTTCCTCTTTCTTCTAGGAAAATAGCACCGCAATCCGAAGATCGCAGGGCAGTTCGCAACACGGAAGCGCAAAAGGAGAACACAAAATGCAAAGTGAAATCAAGGACAAGAAAGAAAAGCAAGCCAGTAAACTGTCCCACAGACACATTTGAAAAGACTTCATAGGGACTAGTCACACAGCGGAACTTTAGCACGGAACTTTAAGTTGGTCGGCAAGCAGCAAACATGGTGTGGATGTCCCTGTTGACATGGAGTCTAATAATAATAATAATAATAATAATAATAATAAAATAATAATAATTTATTATTTATACCCCGCCCATCTGGCTGAGTTCCCCAGCCACTCTGGGCAGCTCCCAATCAAATGTTAAAAACAGTTAAATATGTTAAATATTAAAAACTTCCCTAAACAGGGCTGCCAAGCCAAGTAAACCAGAATAAATGGAGGCGGTTTGGGGCCTGCAGGGATGGGCGCAGGATCTGGACTCACCGTGAGGCAGCCGCCATAGGGATCCCCTCCGCTTGCAGCTGCTCCAGCACAGCCGGCACCTCGGGGTACAGATTTATGGGTCGCCCGTTGCGGTCTCGTATTGAGCCATCGCTGAGGGGAACATTGACAAAAGAGTTGTGAGGTTTGTTGCCTTTAAAACAACAACAAAAGTGTCGGAATGGTATATGTGTTTTTAACATGGCAGGCAGAAATCCAACAGGCACAGTTTTCCCCAGGACACAAAGGAGAGCTTCACCTGTTGGGTTCCTGCCTGCTGCATGGCGTTTAGGGGCACAGAGTCCTCTAAGCATAAAACAAACATCAGGGTCTCCTCCCCATGTGGGGGGAATAAACAGCTCCCCAAAAGGCCCTTTGTATTGTGCATTAGTGACAATTTGTGCTCATGATGGTTTCAGAGAAGTTAGACACAGAACTCCCGTTTGACATTGTTTTGGGGTTTGGACACCCCAATTGGCACATGCCCCGTAACCTGCTGATGAATCCTGCATCTTATTTAAAATAATAATAATAATAATAATAATAATAATAATAATAATAATTTATTATTTGTACCCCGCCCATCTGGCTGAGTTTCCCCAGCCACTCTGGGCGGCTTCCACAAAGACCCAAAAAACACTAAGATGTCACACATTAAAAGCTTCCCTGAAGAGGGCTACCTTAAGATGTCTTCTGAATGTCAGGTAGTTGTTTATCGCTTTGACATCTGATGGGAGGGCGTTCCACAGGGCGGGCGCCACTACCGAGAAGGCCCTCTGCCTGGTTCCCTTTAGCTTTGCTTATCGCAATGAGGGAACCGCCAGAAGGCCCTCGGAGCTGGACCTCAGTGTCCGGGCAGAACGATGGGGGTGGAGACGCTCCTTCAGGTATACTGGGCCGAGGCCGTTTAGGGCTTTCAAGGTCAGCACCAACACTTTGACTTGTGCTCGGAAATGTACTGGGAGCCAATGTAGGTCTTTCAAGATCAGTGTTATGTGGTCTTGGCGGCCGCTCCCAGTCACCAGTCTAGCTGCCGCATTCTGGATTAGTTGCAGTTCCCGGGTCACCTTCAAAGGTAGCCCCACGTAGAGCGCATTGCAGTAGTCCAAGCGGGAGATAACTAGAGCATGTACCACTCTGGCAACACAGTCTGCGGGCAGGGAGGGTCTCATCCTGCGTACCAGATGGAGCTGATAAACAGCTGCCCTGGACACAGAATTGACCTGCGCCTCCATGAACAGCTGTGAGTCCAGAATGACTCCCAGGCTGCGTACCTGGTCCTTCAGGGGCACAGGTACCCCATTCAGGACCAGGGAGATATAAACAACGTTCTAGTTTATGTATTTATTTTGCCCCGCTTTCGTTGCGTTACAGCACAACAGTTGCCCATGTGGATGACAAAGACATGGTAACCTTAGGGAAGAATCGCATCAGGGAATCAAATAAGCGGTACAATGTGTGCGGATCGCCCAGTATAAATCCATCACTATTTATTTCATAAAATTTGTAAAAATTGATTGTAAAAAAACCAACAACCAACCCCTCAAAGAGGTTTGCGAAAAAGATAAAACAATGCAATTCAAGAAGAATTAACAATAATAATTTAAGACTTTTGAGAAATGAAAATGAACCAAAAACAGATTAAAAGCCACATTAGTGTGAGTCAATGGCAGGCATAGGCAAACTCGGCCCTCCAGATGTTTTGGGACTACAACTCCCATCATCCCTAGCTAACAGGACCAGTGGTCAGGGATGATGGGAATTGTAGTCCCAAAACATCGGGAGGGCCGAGTTTGCCTATGCCTGGTTAATGAGATGCTGCAGAAAAACACTACCAGTCCTATAAACACTCCATATTATTATTATTGTTTATTAAATTTGTATTCCACCCTTCATCTAAAGATCTCACCTGCTTTTCTGGAAGGGGGGGTCCACGTGGGTGTCTACCCAGAAGGGCCACAGGGTGTAATCTGTAAGAGAGAGATCAGTTGACCTTGAATTCCCCTAACCCCCAAAACATAAGCATAAAATTTCATGTTTTTTGCCTGCTTCACTCATTCCCATTCTTCCCAAATTGTCTCCTTTTACTACACAAATTCTGCTTGTTGAAGGCAGAATCTATGGGGGGGGGTGGGATCTTCAGCCCGAGGGCCAGACAACCTTCTGATTCCTTTATTATTTTATTCACATAATAGACATTCTTTACAACAAACAACGCCAAAATAAACAGACAACTCCAAAATAAAATCATGTAACAGAACCACAAGTCTCATGTTTTCATTTACACTGATCTACTCTCTGATATTTCTTGCTGCTTTCTGCTTTCCTTACAGAATCTTTATAAAAATTTAAATCTCTTAAATCCTATACCAATCTTTAACAATTTCCATTAATCCCTTCACCTCCTCCCCCACAGCCCACCCGTGTGCGATCTTCTTTACCAACAATTATTTTTGTTATTGTTGCGTTATTCACTTTATTTGTTATTCCATCCTTATTATCCTATCTCCTTGCGCCTTTTAAACTTTTGCATATTAATTTTTAAGCTCCGAGGGCCGGACAACTTTCTGGGGGCCACATGTGCAAAGCGGGCGGAGGCAGAAATGCATGGGGCAACGAGTGCGAATTTTACCTTTGTAGAGTGAGCTAGTTTCTACATTCCCACCCCAACACCCCCTGGCTATCCCTTCATCTAGGCAACTACCAGAGTTGAAGGACACATTTCCAGGCAGAAATACTCCAGGAGGTTATGAAGCAAGAGTATAGAATTGTCGAGTTGGAAGGGACCCCGGCGGTCATCTAGTCCAACCCTGTGCAAGGAAGGAAAGTTCTGCCCAAGGTGACACACACACACACACACACACACACACACACAGGATGAGCCCCAAAGCAACGACGGAGCAACTTACCCAAGTCAAACACAACCAGCGACGGCCGTTTGCTCATCTCCTTTCTATTTCCAGGAAGCAAAAACAGGAAAAGTAGGGGTCGCACTCTAGGAAAAAAAGAGACTTTTGCTCCTCTCTTTTTTTTAAAAAAGGAGGCAATCAGGGGCCGGCGGAGCTGCGAATCAGGCCCCCGCTTTCTTCCTGCGAGGAGCAACGGGAGATGCAGAATCCGGCCCTCCAGGAACTAGCAGATCGGCGGCGGCGGCGGCGGCGGATGAATGACAGGCTGCCTGTCACTCGGGCGCTTCCTCTTTCACTTTATCGCCGAGGAGCCACGTGCTGCTGCTGCTGCTGCGGAAGCTCCAGATGCAAACAGCGGCTGCGAGAGCGTTCCAGGGCCGCCCCCGGGTTAACCCCTTCAGTCCCGGGGGGTTGTGGCGAGGGCAGGAGATTGCCAACACAGCAGGGCTTTTCCCCCTTTTATATTTAAAAAAGGATGGGCTGTGATTGTTGCAGGAATTGGCAGCGAGGGAAAGGCGAGGATGGTAGATTTTTGTCATGCTTACGATCATATTTTCTTCTTTTGTTAATGATGCTTCTTTAAATGCGTATGTTATATTTGACTTCATTTAGCCATGTTTCTTCTTTTCCTTTTGAAATGTTAAAGATTTGTTTTTGTTCCAAACATGTCTTCTGTAGTTGACCTCCTTTGTAATGTTTTATTTTGAAATCCTTTAAGGTAATATTTTAGTTTTCTGTTAATTATGTTGCTTTGGCTGTATACTCTATATTTGATTTGCTTCAGAAATGTTTGATTCTGGATTGTTTTATTGAAGTTTTAATAATATGCTGTAAACTGCTTTGGGATTTTTTCTTTAAAATATAAAGCGGTATAGACATGAAATAAATAATAATTTTGTGCACGCTTTGAATAAAATTCTGATTGCAGCTGTTCTTTAAAGGATTATTATTTCGGTGCAATATATAAAATGTTAATTTGGGCTCTGTATAAATATATATTTAAAACTTGGGCACCTCTTTAAACAAAATGTAAATCTGGGTGCTATATAACATTCTAGTTTGGGTGCTATTTAGTTTGATTTTGGGCACCTCTAAATATTTTTTTCTAATTCAGGCACCTCTTTAAATAATGCGACAATGATCTTTCTGTTGGGATTAAAGGGGACAGAGCAGAATATCAGAAGTGATTTAAGAATTTTTTTACTGCAGGTTTTATATTTGGCTTTCAAGCTGTTTTTAGGACGTCATAAACTGCCGGAGCGGTTTTCTTGAAAACATAGAAGTTTGCCTTAAAACCACCTAAATAAATACATCTGTGGCATCCAGATTTGCTAGATACAGTGTTAAGAAGAGCTCTGTCTCAGAAAGTCATCCAGAGCTATGAACCTCAGATGTCAGAGGAAGAGTGGGGCAGACCTATTTAGGATTGTACAGGACCAGTCAACCCAGCTGATTTCTGGGAACAAGCTGTGACATCTTCCATGTGGCATCTCCTGTGTTTAAGACACAAAGTGTTTTGAGGAAACAGGGTGCAGTTTGGCGCAGCCTATGGCAGGGAGCGGAGGGACGCAGGTGGCGCTGTGGGTTAAACCACAGAGCCTAGGACTTGCCGATCAGAAGGTCGGCAGTTCGAATGCCCGCAACAGGGTGAGCTCCCGTTGCTCGGTCCCAGCTCCTGCCAACCAAGCAGTTCGAAAGCACGTCAAAGTGCAAGTAGATCAATAGGTCCGGCAGGAAGGTAAACGGCGTTTCCGTGCGCTGCTCTGGTTCGCCAGAAGCGGCTTAGTCCTGCTGGCCACATGACCCGAAAGCTGTACGCCGGCTCCCTCGGCCAATAAAGCGAGATGAGTGCCACAACCCGAGTCGGTCACGACTGAACCTAACGGTCAGGGGTCCCTTTACCTTTACCTATGGCAGGGAGCGCCAACGTGGTGCTGTCTGGATGTTGGACTCCCAACTCTCATGCGCCCAGGCAGAACGGCCAATGGCCAGGGATGATGGGAGTTGTAGTTCAACACCCAGAGGCAATGCCATTGGCTACCCCTGGGTCGACATCAAGTCACACAGCAAGGATCTGCAGTCAAGCTCCCTGGCGCCAGTGCTTTCTCTCATCCCAATAAGGCAAAAACCTTCACAAACCCCAGAAATTTCACGACATGAAATGAACATTTGGGGAGCTCACTCTCCTTCCAACATCGTCCTTTTGTATAAATGATGTAGTGGGGGAACGTCCTGATGTATACACGGACAGGCAGTGCACGTGTGAAGAGATGTAAAAAGAGGCTGTTGCGGAAGGATTTTGCTAGGAGAATCCGCTTACTCAGACTGTACAAGGAATGTTTGCACAGGAAAGCTCCGCCACGGGTTAGAGAGGTAGCAGAAACTCTTCCCGCCGAGTCAGGCATCCAGCTCTGTTAACGGAGCCCTGCTTTCCGTCTGAAATTTAATTTCTACGCCTGTGTAAAGCCGAGGCGAAGGAATGTCTCTCTATAAGCCTGTGTTAATACTTAATAGCCAGGCAGACTCCACATTTATTTGGCCCGCTGTGGTTCTGAGCCAATAAAAGCCGCCTTAAACATTGCAATGGGAGGGGTTAACTAAAGAAAATCCACTACTGTCATGGTTCCTGCCGCAAAAAAATCTGGGAACAGCAGCTCTGTTAGCCCTTGTTTCCCTGTGCATACATATACAGTGGTACCTCGGGTTAAGAACTTACTTCGTTCCAGAGGTCCGTTCTTAACCTGAAATTGTTCTTAACCTGAAGCACAACTTTAGCTAATGGGGCCTCCCACTGCCAGAGCACGATTTCTGTTCTCAACTTGAAGCAAAGTTCTTAACCTGAAGCACTATTCCTGGGTTAGCGGAGTCTGTAACCTGAAGCGTATGTAACCCGAAGTACCACTGTACAGTGGTGCCTCGCAAGACGAAATTAATCCGTTCCGCGAGTCTCTTCGTCTTGCGGTTTTTTCGTCTTGCGAAGCACGGCTCTTAGCGGCTATTAACGGCTTAGCGGATCTTAGCAGCTTAGCGGCTATTAACGGCTTAGCTGCTATTAACGGCTTAGCGGCTTTAAGAAAAAGGAAACAAACTCGCAAGAACTCGCAAGACGTTTCGTCTTGCGAAGCAAGCCCATAGGGAAATTCGTCTTGTGGAACGACTCAAAAACCGGAAAACCCTTTCGTCTAGCGAGTTTTTCGTTTTGCGAGGAATTCGTCTTGCGGGGCACCACTGTACAAACATACATGCTATAGCAGGGGTCAGCAAACTTTTTCAGCAGGGGGCCAGTCCACTGTCCTTCAGACATTGTGGGGGGCCGCACTATATTTTGAAAAATAACAATGAACGAATTCCTATGCCCCACAAATAACCCAGAGATGCATTTTAAAGAAAAGGACACATTCTACTCATGTAAAAACATGCTGATTCCTGGACTGCCCATGGGCTAGATTTAGAAGGCGATTGGGCCAGATCCGGCCCCCGGGCCTTAGTTTGCCTACCCATGTGCTATAGATCCCAGAGGAAAGGAAGTGCCTTTTGAGCCACTTTTGACTTGAGGATCCCGAATACCCCCAGTGAGAAAGGCACATCGTAAGCAGAGTCGAACACAGTCACGAGCCTGCAACTCGAGAAACCACGTGAAACACCTTTATTTAACATTCAGCCATTTCAACTGCGGGAAGGGGGAGTGGGCAGGGAGAAGGACATTTGAACGAGGGGAGGCAAAACACAGCCAACGAGCATAGGCAACACTTGAGAAGTCGCCGGGGTGGAAATGCATGAGGATCGGGGCCGGCGGGATGCGGGATCCCCCAGGAAGGCAACAAACCATGGACTCCCCCCCCCGCAATGCCCCTGCTAAATGGCACCTCCCTCAAATGACAGCTTGCGGAAGATCTCCGGAGTGGTGGGCGGCAGCGGCGGCCATTTTCTTCCTGGATCCGGGAGGAAGAAAGGGTTTGGGAGGGTAACTATGCGCAGCCTGGCGGTGTCCCACACGCAAACGGCAGATCTGTCCTTTGTGGGGAGGGGGGGAGGGAGAGGGGGACGTGCTGAGGGACGGGTGCGCCATCATCGCAGGCCTCCCCCTCGTAGCGCCAAGACCAAATGGAGCACAGAGCCGCCCTGGATCTTGTAGTCAGCGGCCGTTTTCTCGTCGTTCCTGGGAAGAGCAGAAGGCAGGAGTGGTTAGAGCGCCCAGGGCCAAGCTGGAGTCCTACAAATGTTCTGGACTACAACTCCCATAAGCCCCAGGGGCTGGGGTTCTAGACTGGCATGTAATACAGCACGACACATTATGGCTGTCACTTCCCAAGCAGTAGTACAGTGGTAGCTTGGTTTAAGAACAGCTCAGTTTATGAACAACTTGGATTAAGAACGCTGCAAACCCGGAAGTAGGTGTTTCGGTTTGTGAACTTTGCTTTGGAATAAGAACATGTTTCGCTTCCTGTTGAGTGTGTTCCATTTGTAAATTGAGTCCCCCACTGCTATGGGAAAGCACGCCCTGGTTTAAGAACGCTTTGGTTTAAGAACGGACTTCCAGAACGGATTAAGTTCGTAAACCAAGGTACCATTGTAATAATAATATTTTTACCCTGCTCATACCCCAACAATAAGATATCGTTGAAGAAAGCAAATGGGCTTGGCCCATAATAATGCTATTTCATTCGTTATTAACTGAGGCAAACATTTTTGCACAAGATAATTTCCTTTCCCAGCGTTCCCCTACAACAGACTTGCCAAATCTCTGGAGGGCTCCAGATTTGCAAAGGCTGGGATAAGGTCTTCACGGATGTATTGTGTAGTCGAGCAACCGGCCACAGAATACACCCAGGTACATTGCAACTGTCCTCCTGAGGTGACCAGGGGCGCTTGTAACTTCCAGAGACTATCTGGAGACAATGCGGGATTTGACGTCTTTCCACAGGGCCTGCAAGACGGAGCTGTTCCGCCAGGCCTTTGGGCAGCATGCAGTTTGATTTACTTTCCTTTGTATAAAACAAGCCCAAAGGTGGCCCTCAACTCACCCACAGGTCCTTGTAGCATCAGTGTAAACAGTTGGTCCTGGCAAGTATTAACCACTCTCAACTCCAACCTGATAACTGCCACCTGCCCAATTTTAACTTGTCTGAATTAATTTTAAGATGTATTTTAATTACAGTGGTACCTCAGGTTACATACGCTTCAGGTTACAGACTCCGCTAACCCAGAAATATTACCTCGGGTTAAGAACTTTGCTTCAGGATGAGAACAGAAATCGTGCTCTGGCGGAGCGGCGGCAGCAGGAGGCCCCTGTAGCTAAAGTGGTGCTTCAGGTTAAGAACAGTTTCAGGTTAAGAACAGACCTCCAGAACGAATTAAGTTCTTAACCCGAGGTACCACTGTAATTGATGTCTGCTTTTATGCATATTGTGTTGTTTTTATGATGTTAGCCGCTCTGAGCCCGGTCTCGGCCGGGATACAAATAAACATTTATTATTATTATTATTAATTTTGTCTCTCTCCCACTGATATATGGAACGTGTTTGGCAGGGACGTGAAGAAGGGCTTTTGCAGAATCGTAAAGTTGGAATGGACCTCAAGGGCCATCTAGTCTGACCCCCTGCAGTGCAGGAATTTCAAGTGACG